AATCATTAAGGGTCCATTCAAATTTTGGATTTTTTTTTAATTTTTTGTTTATTTTTAAATTTTTATTTTTATTAAAAAAAAATAATTTTTAAAATAATTCTTTATTTTAATTATTTTTATTTTTAAAAAATATTATTTTCCCTCAATTTCCATTTTTAAACATTCTCTCCTCCTTCATTTTTGACATTTTCCTTTATAAAAAAAGATTTTGTTTTTAAAATATTTTTTTTTGTATTTATTATTTAATGAGTTTCTTAGAATTCATTTAACACAAAAAAATTTTCACTAATTTATTTTTATTTTTTTAATTTTGAATATTTTTTCTATTTTTGTTTTTTTAATTCACCTATTTTTCTTTTTATGTATTTTGTGTTATTTTGTTATTTTTATTTATTTTCAGAATTTTGTGCACTTGATTTTATTTTTATATCATTTCCGTTTATTTTTGTATTTTCTTTTATTTTCAGAATTTATTTTCAGAATTTATTTTTCAGAATCTATTTTCAGAATTTATTTTTCAGAATTATTTTTCAGAATTTTTTTTCAGAATTTATTTTCAAAATTTTTTCAGAATTATTTCAGAATTTTTTTCAGAATTTTTCATAATTATTTTTTCAGATTTTATTTTCTGAATTTATTCTTCTAAATTTATTTTCAGAATTATTTCAGAAATTTTTTTCAGAATTTTTTTTCAGAATTTTTCTTCAGAATTTCTTTTCACAATTTTTTTCAGAGTCTTGCAGAATCATAATTTTTCCAGAATTTCAAAATTTAAATTTTTAAATAATCAGAATATTTTCTATTATATTTTTATTTTCTGTAATTTTATTTTCAGAATTCAGAATATTAATTAATTAATTTTATTTATTTACCTCCAGTATTTTATTTTTTTTAATATTTTTGTGTCCGTATTTTTTTTTTATTTTTGCATGCTTTTAAAATCTTCTTCCGCTTTTTTTTGTACTTTTACTGTATTAACTAATTTTTTACTAATTTATTTCCTTTCAGGTATATAATAAATATACCTTTTTTAATACATTCCAAAGCAGAATTATTTTTTAAAATTTATTTAAAAAATATTTTTAAAAAATTTTCCAATGCTTCATAAAATGTTAAATCAACAAGAAGACGAACAATCTTCTATTGCTTCTTTCAACAGAAAAATAAAAACAACAGAAAATACAATTTTTAACGACCACCTACAACAACAACAACCAAACAAAAATCCAAAACCTTTAAATACAACAAAAACAACACCAAAAATTGTTTCGGCATCATTCCCCTTATTATTCTTATTCACCATACTAGTAGTTGTAGTAATTTTGCCATCATTAACAAATTGTTCGTCGTTGGAATCTTCTTTTGAAGGAGCACCTAGTAGAATTATTGGATACCCTTTTATTTTATTTGAAGAAAATAATAGAGGAGGAGGAGGAGGAAGTTTTGAGGACCCAAATAATAATTATGAGGATATTATTGAAGATAAAAAGAAATCACAAAGACAACGACGACTTTTACAACAATTAGTAGCTAATGAATTGGTTGCAGCAACGGAAGGAGATAATGATCCTACTTATGGACAAACATTTCGTGGAGCGAAGAGAACTAAAGGTGAATAAGATTGACTGATTATTTGGTCAAAATTAATTGTTAAATAATATAATACTAATAAAATGCCAATTAATTGGTCAAATAATAACAATTAACTGTTCAGAAATACCAACAAGTTACCAATTGAATACCAATTATTTGGTCATCTAATATAACAATTAATTGTTAAATAATACTAATAAACTAACCAATTAAATTCCAATTAATTGGTTAATTAAATATCAATTTTTTAATAAAAAATACCAAATAAGTTAACAATTATTTGGTTAATTAAATGCCAAATAACAGATGTCAAAATACCAATTAATTAGTTAATTAATTAAACAATTAATTGTTTAATTATACCAACAAATAACCAATTAATTGCTCAATTAACTAACAAATAATTGCTAAACAATATGAACAAATGGCCAATTAATTGGGCATTTAATGACATTATACGGTCATTTAATGCCAATTATTTGACCAATATTGACAACAAAAAACCATTTAATTGGGCAACAATAAACAATTAATTGTAATTAATTGACCTTTCAATAATAAAATTTATTAAAAAAATAAAAATAAAAATTTCCTCAGATTCATCAACGTCAGGATTTGCCAAAATGGATGCCCTAAAGAATAACATGATGCGGGCATTGATAAATCTTAGGCGATATTAAAAAGAAAAATTGTTATTTAAAAAAAGATTTAATTAATTAAATGCTTTGCATTTTCTTTAAAATACAAAAAAACGAAATTAGAAAATGTCAAAATTTATTTTATTTTAAATAAAATAAAGAAAGATCTCAACAACAAGATTATAAATTTGCGAAAATAATTTAAAAATATTTTTTTTCTATTTTTTAAAAATTTTCATAAAAAATTAAAAAAAAATTTTTTTCAAATTTTTTTTAATTTTTAATAAATTTTTACAAAAATTAAAGGAAAAATTTTTTTTTTTATTTTTGTAAGAATTTTTTAATAATTTAAAAAATAATTTTTATTACTGATGCATTTAAAAAATTAAAAAAAAAATTTTTTTTTATTTTCCTAAACAATTTTTATTTTTTTTTTAAATATTTTTTGAAATTAAAAAAAAAATTTTTTTTAAGTCTAATATTTTTTAATTTAAAAATTTTTAAATTAATTTCAAAAATTTTTTTATTAATTACTATTTGACCAAAAAGACTGTGACATAGTAAAATAGAGCAGTGATAAAGTATAATCTCTTCTTTGCAATTTGAATTTAAAATTAATTATAAAAATTAACAAAATAAATTTTTTTCTTTAAATTAATTATCTGTGACACTTGGTGAGACGAAAAATCATTTTTTAAGAATTTTTATTTTTAATTAATTAACAAAAACGCAATAATAATTTTACAAGGCCGGAAAGCCTTCACAACAACCTTGAGAGCAACTACCGCTTGGGTGTTTGGGAGAGAAATTTTATTAGTTGCGATTCGACATTGAAAAATTTAATTTAAAAAATTATTTATGCGGTTAATTTAATAATTAATTATTAAAAATTATTAAAGAATTATTTTAAAATTATTTAAAAAATTAAAGTACCCCTATTGTAAATCTCTTAGCCCCGGGTAAGCTTGGATCCTGCAATCTCCTGGCAGTTTTACTAGAAACTTTCTGTTACCACGTATAGGTGGCCTACTGACTAAATTATTAAATTATTGAGACGCTCGCCAGATAACCATTCTCTATTAGTAAGTATTTGAAATTGGATCTTCCTACCCTCTTCCAAATATTAGGTTTATTGTAACGAGCTTTCACTAACCTCGCACATGTGATCTTATTAAATTATTAAGACGCTACCTTCACCTTATCTTCTTTAACTTATTTTAAACCCTCCTCTACTTACAAATTAGTGTTTAAAATGCTTACTTACCCTAACAAATCCTGGCAGTTATTGCCAGTAGCTTTTGCTCACCATATATTAGTGCTCTAACCCCCTCAAGTCCTCCCCTCTTTTTATAAGAAAAAATAAAATAAATAAAATTATTTAAAAATTGAACAGTAGACCTTAGACCTCTATTTTATGAAATAATAAATTTTCTTAAATTTATTGTTTAAAATTTCAAAAAGAATTATAAATAACAATAATAATATTTTTTTAATTTTTTACTTCCTTTTATTAATTTAAAATTAATTTTTAAATTTTGTCTAAAAATCAAAATTTAATTTTAAACTTTTTAAACCCCCCTAATATGTTTCAAACATTTTTAAAAAGTGATTAATTAAATTTTATTTTATTTGGAGGGGTTGCTGACGTTATTAATAAGTGTTCTTAAAGGTTAGGGGGATAATTTGTCTTCGATTTTTTTATTTTTTATTTTTTATTTTTTTTTTTGAATTTTCTTAGGGAGGGGTGTAATTAATAGTCTTTAAATAAAATAAATTTTTTTGGGATCATTTTTTATTTTTTTTATTTTATTTTTTTATTATTTTTAATTTTCTTGGGGGAGTAATTGAATTAGGCAAATAATTTAAATAAAATTTTTTTTTTAAAATATTTAAAAAAATATTAAAAAAATATTTTTTCTTTAATAAATTTTCTGGGAATTTTGTCTTTACTTTTATTACTTTAATTTATCATTTTTTTAAATTTTATTTTTTTTTATTTAAAAAATTTTTTTTAATTTTCTTGGGGGAGTAATTAATATTCTTTAAATAAATTTTTTAACTTACTAATATATTTATTTTTATAATTAGAAAATTTTTTTAATTTAAAAATATTTTTTAAACTCTTTAACAATAAGGAAGTACATCTTGAATTAGACAAATAATTTAATTTTTTGTTTTTGTTGACCTTTTTTTTAATAATTTTTTTTAAACTGGTAACTGATGGGAGGGGAAGGAGTGTACATATTTAGACAACTTAAGGAAGTTAAAAAATTTTATTTTTTTCAGTTAGCCCAATAATTTAGACTATAAATAGAAATATTATTTAATAAAAAAATTTTATTTTTGGCCCACTCCTTCCCCCAAATTAATTATATTTTGGTAACTGGTGGGAGGTGTATTTAGGCAATTTAAGGAAGTTAAAAAAATTTTTTTAGGTTAGAAAAAAATTTTTTTTTATTTTATTTTTAATAACTAAAAATATTTTTTTATTTTTAATTTATTTAATAAAAATATTATTTTCTGGCCCAATCCTTCCCCCCAAATTAATTACTTTTTTAACTGATGGAAGGTGTATTTAGACAATTTACGGGGGTTAAAAAAATTTCTAAGTTAGTAAAAAATTTTTTTTAATTTTATTTTTAATTTTTTTGGCCCAATCCTTCCCCCCAAATTAATTACTAGTATTTATTATTTTTTTAAACACTTCTTATTTTTATTCTTTACATATTTATTAATTTGTCCACTCTATAAAACAAAGAAAAAATTTTTTTATAAAAAATAAAAATAAACATGTATATATGTCCACCAAACAATAAGAACAACAACAAAAACAATAAAGCTCTCATCTTGTTTTTGTTTAAAGTCGGCGATTTTTTTGGGAGGAGGGGGATTTTTATTAATAAAAAATCCACTAAAAACTATTGCTACTTGCGCGCATCCCTTTATATTTTTCTCTAAAGCAATTAAAAAGTAAATGACCATTAATAAAAATAAATTGAACACTCCTTGCCCTAGATATATATTAATATTACGTTTGATTTACTTGTTTTATTAATTAAGCTAAAAAGAGTCCGCAAACATTGTCCGCAAAATATTTTCTTTATGATTTTTTTCAAATTCTGATTTTTTCAATATTCTGATTTTTATATTTAAAAATCAGAATTTATTAAAAATCAGAATTTTGTGGCTAAAACTTAAGTTTACAAAATCAGAAATTATAAGATTTAAAATTAAACTTTTAAATCAGAATTTAAATTATGAGTGAGAACCTAAGTTTGTAGCATCAGAATTAAATTAAAAAATTAAAATTCAAGTTTACAAAATCAGAATTAATTTTAAGAGAGAAAACTTAAGTTTACAAAATCAGAAATTAAACTTGAAAATTAAAATTTAAGTTTACAAAAAAACTTAGACTCGGAAATCAGAATTTTTAAATTCTGATAAGAACTTAAGTTTACAAAAGCAGAAATTAAAACTTGAAATTAACTTTGAAAATCAGAATAAAATCTTAAGTTTACAAAATTAATTAAAATTTTAATTCTGATTTCGCAAACTTAAGTTTTCATTTTTAAATTTAATTCTGATGCTACAACCTTAAGTTCCTAAAACTATAAATTAAGTTTACGAAATCGGAATAAAAATTTAAGTTTACAAAATAAATTTAGCTTAAAAATCAGAATTTTTAAAAACTTAAATTAAACATTAAAAACCAGAACTTAAGTTTACAAAATCTAAAATAAAATTTAAAAAAAAATCTAAAATTAATTTTTAAAAATTACAATAATTAATTCAATCATTGGAGAGAGTCAACCTGTATTGGGTAGGGGGAGAAAAGATGTAAAAACGCTGCTAAATAAGCAACTCGCGCACGGGTTTTTAACTATTTATTAACTTCAATTAGTAATACCAAATAAATGTTCGTTCCAGCTATTTTATTTTTACATATTTTTAATTGCTTCCCACACGCGCGTAGGTGGGTTGCAGAATTTTTAAAAAATATTTATGTAGAGGAATAGTCGTCGGAATATTTTTGACTAATTTAGGCAGGCTTCTGATTTTATTTTTTTTAAATTAATTATAATTTATTTTATTTTTTGAGTACTTACTTTATTATTTTAACTGTCGTCACTAAATATGATCCAGTTCCACTTTTTTTTTCTACTTTCCAAGCAATATCGCGCAAATAATGTTATAGCTTTGCTACTACTAAGTGTACTTCCTTTGCTACTTTATCCTTTTTATAAAAAATCCGTAATAAAATTTCCACTTAATGGGATAATTAAATTCTAGACAAGATTTCTGATTTTGTAAATTTGTATTGTTATTATTTGTAAACTTAAGGTTGTGCTTTTTAATTCTAGAATTATAAGAGTTTCGATTTTGAATTTTAATTTCTGATTTAGTAAACTTAAGTTTTCATATTGAGATTTAATTCTGATTTGCAAACTCAAGTTTTTTAAATTTAATCCTGATTTGCAAACTCAAGTTTTTTTAATTTAATTCTGATTTGCAAACTTAAGTTTTTTAAATTTAATCCTGATTTGCAAACTTAAGTTTTTTAAATTCAATTCTGATTTGCAAACTCAAGTTTTTTAATTTAATTCTGATTTGCAAACTCAAGTTTTTAAATTTAATTCTGATTTGCAAACTTAAGTTTTAATTTCAAGTTTTAATTTCTGATTTTACAAACTTAAGACTACTTTTGAACATAATTCTGATTTTTATTAAGTTTTTAATTTAATTCTGATGCTACAAACTTGAGTTCGTACTATTAATTTAATTCTGATTTTTGAACTTGAGTTACTTCTTTTTAAAATTTCGCATACTTGAGATTGTAAATTTAAATTCTAATTTTTAATATGTATAAGTTTCTGATATTGAATTTTAATTATTAAGGACCAACAATAATTACCAAATAATTTTACTTAAAAAAATAACAATTTATTGTTGTTTGTAAATTTCTTTTTTTGTTATGTAACAAAAAAAACATAATATAAATTTATTGTTCCTCACAAGAACGAGCAGTAATTTTGGAGAAAATTTGGGGGAAGGGATAGATTATAGGGGGATTGAGGGAAATTGTTTTATTGTTTAGTAGTTTTGATTGAGGGAAAAAGACAATGAAAAAAAGTAAAGAAAGCGTGCAAATATTCTGCAAAAATTGACAAAAATTAAAATAAATTGTTGTTGTTATATTTGCGCTGTTAATAAAAAAAGGGGAAAAATTAAACTGAAAATAATTTTTAATTATTTTTTATAATAAAGGCTGAAAAAAATTATTTTTTAAATTCATCCTTCATTCATTTTGGGTTATAAATGACAACAAATAATGAAAAATCGAGTCAAGAAAATCAACAAAATCAACAAAATTTAAATAAAGAAGATACAAATTCACAAGAAAGACGCTCAAGTAATTCGTCTTCAAATAGCACCATATCATCCTTAGGTAACAGTACCGGAAGCGATTCTTTTGGAAATTCTACAAAAGGTTTGGTTGTAAAAACTTTAAAATATTCTGATGAACAACTTGCACCAACAACAACAAAAAAGTCTTTTATTCCAAATTTATTATTGGGATCAAATGTCTCAAAAATTAATCCAACAGCTAACAACAACAGTAATATCCCACAAAATCTTCATCCTTCACTAGTTTTGGATAATAAATGGAAAACTAATGAGAATTCTTGCGTAGAAAAGGGAAGAGAATTTGAGAGGAAAAACTGCTTGATATGGGTAAGTGAAATTTTGAAGTTTAAAGTTTTGCGAAATTAAGTTTTCTTAATTTGGCAAAATGTTTTTTTAATGTCCCATATATCACCAATTCCATATTTTGCCAATAAGGCTAAAAACTACATTTTGTCACTGAAGCCTTATTGGCAAAACGAGCGATCAGTCTTATTGGCAAAATATGGTATTGGCGAAATATGTGTTGCCCTTTTATTTCACCTAAATTGGGTTATTGACATTTTAGACACTATTTGGTATTATGAAAAGTTTACAAAATTTGATTTTGGAAGAGTTGACACTTTGAAAGTTTTCAACACGTTTCTTCTTTTCCTTCTTTATTTCTCTAATTTTTCACTATTTTTCTCTATTTCAAGTTTCTTATTTTCTCTATCCTCTTATATTTCCATGCTCTCTAAGTCTGTTTAATGTTGCATTAATTAGACACATTTTTAAAAATTTTTTTTTCAATTTTTTTCTAAAAATTTTCTTCACGTTTTAAAAACATCTTTAGAAAAATTTTAAAGCCAACAATTTTTTTGATTATTTTTTTCCTGTATTTTCGTGGTTTTGTAGTTTTTAGTATTGAACACTCCCTTTTTTCCTCTCAAAAATAGCTATTTTGTTACTTTTAGTTTTCTCCCCAAAAAATGATTTCTTTCAATTTCTTTCAATAACACCCTGTTTAAGCATTAGAGTCTTTTAACTTTTCTTTTAATAATTGCTTAGATTACTGAACAATTTTTAGGAGACTAAAATTCATTCTGGGTTTACTCTTGGTTGATTTCATAAACAAAATTTCAGACTCTAATGTCCCCTCCCTGTTATCTTTATTTTCCCCAAAAATTTTTTTTCCGTTATTTTTTATAAGCGCTTTATTTATAATCACTTCTTAGGAAAACTAAAAAATTGATAAAAAAAACTTATATCGATGCGCCCCTTTCGAGATACTTCAGGGGCCCGTCGTAGAAATAATGGGGCATCACAAGAACGACAATCACTTCTACAAGAAGAAGAAAAGGACGACGAAAAAATGGACAATATTAGCAATAAAAATTTCATTATTAATAATATTTCTGGAACTGATTATTCATCAAAACAGGAAAAAGAAAGGTTATCTCTTATTGGTTAGTTTTTTTTATTTTTATTTGGGTGTTGGGTCTGACCATCTTCAAAAATTTAACAAAGGGAAAATTTAATTTTCTGGGTTTTATGAAAATAACGGAAAATGACATGTACCCTTTCGACTATCATTTTCCTTTTTTTTATAGAAATAAAGGGGCTAGGTGTCAGTGGATATTATGTCCCTATTTGGTCTTGTAGCCAAGCTTTTTTTCTGGGGCCTTGCCTCTCCCCTTACTACGAGCCTGCCTACTCTAGTTGACTTGCCTTAACCGACCTGTACCTCCCTGGCTATTTGTCCCCTAATTTGGGCATCTTTTTCTTTTTTCTTTATTAAGTGGGTTGGGTGTTATGGACGTGATGTCGTCCCTATTTTAGCTACATATTTTTGCTAGTTTAATAATTTAATTTTTTTGTAGATGGACCAGCTTCACTTGACACTTCATCTATTCATCAAAATTCTTCATCAAAAAGTACTCCATTACCATTTAAACACCTTAAACACGGCAAAAATGATTATCGTCATGTTCCGCATACTCCAGAAGATTTGATGGCACACGAGCCCAATTTTGGTGGAAATGCACAATTAGGATTTTATTATCCAGAATCTGCAGATGACGATAGTTATGACGAGGATAATGAAAATTTAAAGCCTGATGAGGCTATTATATTTGCGAGGAAGGAGGTTTAATTTTTATTAAAATTGCTGTGGAGGGGTGTTAGTCACTGTCGGATTTTGTTTCAAGATATCTTGGGGCCGAAAAAATTTTATATCCTAGATCAAGAATTAGGGAGACACCTTTAAAATTATCATTTTTTTCTGAAAAGCATTCTGTATAAATAATCGACAATGCTGATGTATTATCTTACTATTGTCTTATACCAGATATAACTATTACCTAGTCGAGAGTATCCATCTACAATCCAACTTGTAAATGATATTCAGATTTTGTTTTAATTTCTAACGGTGTTGGGTATTGGGCGTTTTGTGGTTTCGGCTAGAGCTAGCTCATGGAGTTATGATTTTTTTTCTCACCCAGTTTTGATTTCTAACTATTATTATAACTCTATTCTGAAAATGTTTTTAAAGTGTTCTATATTTTTTGTGATTATTTTTTCTAATTAAATCTCTGTTTTCTTTTCTCTATTTTTCTTATCTGGATATTTTTTTAAATCTTTTTCCTTCTACGCTAACGAAGAAACGATTTGAAAATTTTCTTTTTTTTAATTTTAAATAAATTTTTAAATAATTTTTTGTTTAAAAAATTTTTTTCTAGTCAATAAGTAAGCCACTACGATGGGCACAACGTATGAGAAGAGAATTAAAAGACGATTTTGGATCAATTTTGTTGTTACTTTTGCTTTATCTTTTACAGGTTTTTTTGTTGATTTTTTCGAAATTTTTAATTAAAAAAATTTTTTTTCAAGGGTATACCATTAGGTTTAATAGGAGCAATTCCATTGCTTTTACAATCAAAAGGAATTACTTATGCACAACAAGCAGTTTTTTCTTTTGCATATTGGCCGTTTAGGTTTTCTTTTTTGAATTTTATTTTTAAATTAAAATTTTATTTTTTTTAATTTTCTGTTTAATTTTTTTTAATTTAAAAATGACATTTTTAAGTTACCTCACACTTTTTCCGGACATATTTATTCTTGGGTTCATAATGGTCAGATATAAAAAAGTCAATCATTCTAACTCTTAATATTCGAATACATCACTTCTTCGAATGCATGACCTTTTTATTTAATTGGAGGGGAAATAGGGATGCTCTGACCATTATGAGACCATTATGATTATCCGCATAATTTTGTCCGCAAAAAATTTTTTGTCCGCCTAAAATAAAATTAGTATTTAATTTATTTTGACCTTAAAAATGTTTATTTTTTTAGTATGAAATTATTATGGGCACCAATTGTTGATTCAATTTACTTCAAAACTATAGGACGTAGAAAATCCTGGATGGTTCCTTGTCAATATTTAATTGGAATTTTTCTGTTGGTTGTTTCTTATCATGTCCCAGAAATTATGGGATCGGAAGAGGATCGTGTAAATAGTGAGAGAAATTAATTTTTTTTATTTTATATTTTTTTAATTAAAATAGGGGACATTTTGTCCACTTGGGGATTTTCAATTTTTGGGAGGAATATTTTGTGTTGGTTCTAAATATTATTTAGTTTTAAAAATTGAAACTTTATTAAGTTGTCTGTTGGTGTAATGGTTAAGGCTGTGGAATTTGTATTTGGTTTGGGCTGGGTTCGATTCTACCTTATTCCCTGATGTTTTTTCAACTTTCTTTTACCTCCTTAATTTATTTTTAATAAGTTTAAAAATATTTTTTTAACCGAGAAAATTTTTTTTTAAATTTCTAGCAAATTTTTAACACTATTTAAAATTCATTTTTATAGAAAAACCCCCCAATGTTTTCTTTCTAATGTGTGTTTTTCTACCTTTAAACTTTTTGGCTGCTACACAAGATATTGCTGTTGATGGTTGGGCATTAACTATGTTATCTAGAAAAAATGTTGGATATGCTTCTACGTTTGTTTTTTATTTTTTTAATTAAAAAATTTTTTTTAAAGTTGTAATGTTGTTGGTCAAACAATTGGTGTATTTTTGGGAAATGTTGTGTTTTTAGCTTTACAATCTAAAGAATTTGCTAATCGTTTTCGAGCTGTGCCAGAAGAAAAAGGATTTGTTCAATTGGATGGTTGGTTTTTTTAAACTTTTTTTTTTGAAAATTCTTTTGAAATTTTTTTTTCTTATTGGCTATCTTTGGGGGTATGCTGGAACCTTTTTTTAATTTTATTTATTTTCTTAATACCTCTTCCTTGGGAATTTTTATTAAAAAATTTTTTGAGTAATTTTTTTTTGTTTTTATCTGTTTTAATTTTTGACTTTTTTTTCATTTTTTGGGGAGATACTTGATCCTTATTCTTAAGTTTTTTTATTTTTTTTAAATCTTTGAACTTCCTTGTTTTTCTTTATTTTTTATTTCTTCTCCCCTATTTATCCAAAAAAATTTATTTTTAAAAATTGCACACCATTCACAAAAAAACAAAAATTCCATTAATATTTACAAATACATAAGTAAAAAATGTTCTAATTTTTTTGATATTTTACATGTTAAGAAAGCTTCCTCTCCTCTCTATAATTAATTAAGTTAGCATGTCCTTCCTAACCAATAAAAAGTATTGAAAATCATAATTTCACAACTTTAAAAAATTTTTTTTGGAATTTTTTTAAAAGGAAAAAAGAAAATTTACCTTGTATTCTGATATTTATCATAAACTGTACTCATTCCATAACCTCCCCTATCACTTATAATTACGGCACTCCACCAATTACCAAAGCGACTTTCTGCCATTTGTTTCATATGTCTAATAAGGGGGAAATTTTTTTAAATTTTTTTCTCTGATTTTTTTCTAATTTGTTTTTTAATTAAAATAGAATTTTTCTTTTATTTTCAAAAAAATATTCAAAAAATATTCAGGATATACACCTTAAGAGATACTTTTTACTCGACCCAAGAAAATTTTCAAAAACTCGATTTGAAACCCAATATTCGGCTTTTTTTTACCAACTCAATCCCTTAACTGACCCGTTCCGAAACTCTCGACCTGAGACCCTAATCCGGATTTTTTTCCCAACTCGAAACCCGACCACTGGTCATAAATTTCAATTTTGCTCGACTTCGTACCAGCCTATTTTTGGCCTCGCATTTCGTACAAGCCTATTTTTTGCTCGTACTTGGTACGAGTGCGAGTTAATGAACACTGAACCCTACTTAAAGGAAATTTTGTAAACCTCCGACCCGGCTTTTTTCTCTCAACCCAAGGGACATTTTCATTGATTGTGTGTATACCAGGGCTGGGCTTTGCTTTCGCTTTCGCATCTTTCGCATTTTTCGCATTTTTTGGCGCGAAAAGTTTCGCATTTCGCATTTTATTTTTTGATTTCGCCCAGCCCTGGTGTATACTTAGGGGGTCTGACTATAATTTTAATTTAATTATATACTTTGCTTGATGGCTATATTGATGTGGATATACTCCAATAGTTTCAAGTATAATTTCTCGTAGTTTTTCCGATTTACAATTATCTTCTGAAAAATTTTAAGAAAAATTTTTTTAAAGAAATTATTAATTTAACTAAATCCTCTTTCCATAGTTTCCATTGGGAATGTAATTAATACTGATGCGGCAATTAATAAAATTATAGAAATTAAAAAGGGCATACTAAAATAATTTTCTAAAATAAAAAAAAATTTTCTTAATTTTTTAAGAAAAAATATTTAAGGGAAACATTTAGGGGATGGGGGGGGGGATGGAGTGCTGGTTAAAAAAAGTTAAAAAAATTTTTTTCTTAACTAATTTTATTTTTTTCTTTCTGATTTTATTTTGACATTTTTTAAATGAATTTTTAGATTTTTAAAAATTATTTTATGGGGGCGTCCTTTTAAAAATGTTGAAAAAAAATAAAAATGTGTTTTATGACCGAATTTAGTGGTTAATTTAATTTTGTTAAAAAACGTGTGTGCCATTTCCGGAAAGTTAAAAAAAATTTATGGGAAAATGATGAGGGAGGGAAAAGTACATTTAAAAAAAGGAAAGAAAAAACAATGGGTGGGTGTTGTAATGACGTGAATTTTTTTGTTATCTATTTTTAGTCATTTTTAATTTTATTAAATCGAAAAATACAAGAAAAAAAGGTTGTGGTATTTTTCTTAGGATTTAAGTAAAAATATTAAAAAAATTTTTTTAATTGATTTTTAATTATTATTTTTATCAAGGGAAAATAATTTCTTAAAAAAATTTTTTTGAAGAAAATTATTTTTAAAAATAGACCCAAAAACCCCAAAATATATTATTAGATGCGCAAAAATCGAAAATTTACGGGAATAAAATACATAAAAAAATTTAATGAGGAGTGAATAAATGAGAGAATTGATGATGAGTTACGCGACCAATAACCCCCCCTCCCAATTCTTCCGTTTACGAGTTTGTTTTGATGGGATGCTTTTTATTTATTTATTGGCCCTACTAGACCATTCAAAACAAACAAAAAAATTTTTTCGGAAGGGTTATAAAATGACGACTTTCCTTTAATTTTTATTTTAATTTAATTTTTCTTTGAAAAAAAAATTTTTTTTTAATTTTTTAAATTAAAATTTTCAATTTTTTAATTTTAATTTTTCATTTTAATTAAGAAAATTAAAAAACAAATTTTTTTAAATTAATTTTAATTTTTCTTCAGGATTTGTCTTCTTTTGGGGCATTATTTTTCTAATTACTACAACTCTTGTATTTATTTTTAAACATGAAATTGATCATTCTGTTGAACAAAATCCTTCCTCGACGTAATTTTTTATTTTTAAAATTTAAAAAAAAATTTTTTTTTTAATTTTAAGAGCAGAAAATGGCAATAAAGGAAGTGATGAAGAAAAAGAAAAATGTGAAGAAGAACTTTCTTTGGGTGTTAAAGAGACTTATACAGTTTTGGCTAAAATATTATGCCTTAAACCAATGCTTGTAATGATTGTTGTTTTGCTTACTGGAAAGGTAATTGGGGGGAATTTATTATTTTTTTTAATTAATTTTTTAATTTTTTTTAAGATTGCGTTTGCTGCTTCTGATGGAATGACTGGTAAAATAATAAATTTATATTTTCTTTTTAAGTGTTAAATTATTTTTGAGATTGTAATTTAAGTTTATTTAAATTTACAAACTTAAGTTTGATTAATTTTGTAATTCTGAGAACTTGAGTTTTAGTCAAAGTTTATTTTTATAAACATAAGTTTATTTAGTTTTACAAACTTAAATTTTATTAATATTGTAAACTTAAAACTTGACGATTGTAATTTAAGTTTATTTAAACTTGTTAGACTAAAGTTTATTTAAATTTTACAAACTTAAGTTTATCTAATTTTATAAGCTTAAGTTTGTTTAAATTCGTAAACTTAAGTTTATTTAAATTAATTTTGTAAACTTAAAACGACAATTGTAATCCAAGTTTAATTAATATACAAATTAAATCAGAATTTTCAAACCAGAATTTTAAAATAATAATTTAAGTTTACAAATAAATAGATCTAAGTTTATTTAAATTTACAAGCTTAAGTATGTCATTTTATGGACTTAAGACTAATTATTTTTGTAAACTCAAGGCTTGACAATTCTAATCTAAATTTTACAAACTTAAAAAATTTAAAATATTTTTTATTTTTTTCAGATTTAAAATTAATAGCTGTCGGAATAACAACAGATAAAATAGCTAGCAGATCTTTATTTCTTACTCCTTTACATATTGTACTTCCTTGGCTATTAGGTAAACAAACTGCTGGTCCTAAACCTCTCAACGTCTTTCTTTGGGCATACCCTTATCGTCTAATAATGGGTGTTGTGTTTGCTTTACTTGTTTATTGGACTCCTTCATTTAAAGAATCATCTGGCGATTATTCCTATTTTTATTATGCAATATGGATGGGGGCTTACTACCTTCAACAGGTTTGTTTTTAAAAATAATTTGGATGTCATGGTTAAATTTTGCTCCTGGGTCTTCCCTTCGCTTTCCTCTTTTTCGTGGACCTGTGATTGCAAACTTAAGTTTGTAATTTTACTGCATCAAACTGCAGTGCTTCTTTTAGAAATTAGAATTGTTTGTAGTTTTACTTTTACAAATCAGAATTTTAAATCACCAGCGGGAAATTATTTTTTATAATAAGCTTAAGTTTGTAAATCACAATTTTTAGAATAATAAACTTAAGTTTGCAAATCAGAATTTTTGTGGAATAAAGACTAGCTTACAAATCAGAATTTAAAAAAAAATTAAGTTTTTTAATCAGAATTTTAAAAATAATAAACCCAAGTTTGCAAATCAGAATTTTTAAAATAATTAACTCAAGTTTACAAATCAAAATTTAATTTTCAGATAGCTTCTTATTGCATATTTCTTTCAATGATGGCTTTTAACGCGCAAATATCGGATCCAAAGGTTAAAAATTTTAATTTAATTATTTAAAGAAATTTTTTTAATTTATAGATTGGTGGAACATATATGACATTATTAAATACCTTAAATAATTTGGGTGGAAATTGGCCAGTAACTCTATTTTTGAGCATCACAGATTTTTTCAATCGAAAAAATTGTGTTGCTACAGGGACAAAATTGTAAAAAAAATTTTTTTTAATTAAAAAAATTTTTCCCCTTATTTTTTAAAGAATTCTTGGTGCATGTAATACCAAAAAAGATGAAGAAATGTGTGTTAAAGGTGGTGATGTTTGTGAATTTCATATTGATGGTTATTACATTTCTGTTGGAATATGTACTATAATTGGTTTATTGTGGTATAGAATATTTTATAGACGTATTAAATATTTCCAAAAAATTCCGAGACAAGAATGGAGAGTTATTAAAAATAAATAAACGGGAAAAACGACGTTTGTGATTTTTTAAAAATATTATTATAGCTTTGAATTTTTGTAAAATTTTAAAAGTTAGAGATCGAGAAGGGTGCCAAGGGGATCTTGGGATTCTTGGAGGTTTTTTCTCCTTTAAAAAATTGAGATTTTAAAAAAATTGAGGGTTTTCTTGAAGGTTTTCTCCTGTACCTTGGATCCTCTGATTAATTGACAGTTTTAGATTCCAGGCTCATTTTTGTTTTAAAAGGTACCTAAGGCTCTCTTGGATGTTTTTCTTTGGGGGGTAGTTTTTCTCCTTTACCTAGAGATTAATGAATAAAGTTTCCATTCCTGAGCTAGCTGTTTTAAAAGAAATCTCTCGATCTTTAAATATATTCTCTATGTTATACATGGTGTTTTATTTTTTAAAGGGTTGGGGCTAATTATTATTTTTTTTGGATAATTAAATTATATATAATATACATATTTATATATATTTTTAATTTTTTTCTTCAAAAATTTTCTTTTTTTTTGCATATATGACTTTTTTTTATAATTTCCACATTCGTTGTTTTTATTGTGTGAAAAATACATTATTTTTAGGCCTTTTTAATTGTGATTTTTAAATTTAAAAAAATTTTCTTTTTCAATTATGAATAAAAAAATGTATTTTAAATATGCTTCTATTTTTAATTTTTTTGTTGGTTGGATAAACCAAAGAATTACCTCAAAATATCGGCTTAAATGTTAGTTTGGCTTCTGTCGAGATTTGACATAACTGACCCTTTTTTAATAGTTTTCGTTGTTGGACATTTTGTCTTTCGATGTTTTTTAATTTTTTTAATTTTACACTTTGACATGTCAAAGTGTAAAATAATTTTTGTGAAAATGTCAAAATGTAAACTTTTTTTGGTTCAATTTTTGTTTTTATTTTGAGGAATTTCTGCCATATTTTCACTTATAATTTTCTATTTCCACCAATTTTTAGTATATTATGCATTTCTTTGAGGTTCCTGAACGTATTTTTGACTACACAATAAATCAAGTTGTTACAATTTTTTACAATCGCTATCCAAATTCATTTTCTAAACATGTTATTTCTGAAGATGTAATTTCACGTGAAATTAAAGAAGGGAAGATTATAACAAGGAAATTGATTGTTAAGAGAGGTTTGTTTATTTTTTAATGAAATTTTTATCTTTGTGTGGACTTTTCGGTTTTGGGTCACCAAAAATTCACAAACAAATTTTCAAGATTTTTCCCCCTGGAAAACATATCATTCGAAAGATATTCAAGCTGAGTTGAATGACACTAAAAGCAACAAACACTGCCTTAACAGATTTTTGGCAGACTCAAAACTGTCAAGTACCCTTCATTTTTTAAAGGTGCCGGTTTTCTCAAGTCAGTTCCTCATTGGATTTCGAGACAGACTCATGTTGCTTTTATGCCAACTTTGGAAGAAAGCATTTTTGATGTGAATGAGGGGACTTTAATTACACATACGAGAAATGTTTCTTGGACAAATACTTTGGATATGACAGAGACTTGTACTTACAAAAAATTGGTATTTTTTGTTTTTTACGGGGTTATAAATTTTCGACGGGTGTTTAGATGAAAAATTGAACTTGAGTCAGGATCCAAAACTTTATTTTTCGTTGACTCGAGATGGACGAATCTGGGTAATGTCGTCACTTGGAATGGTTCCTAATTTGGGACGACAGTTTTTCGAGGTTTTCTGATTATTCTGACATTGGAATTTCCTTTAGGTTAGACTAAACAGTTCGAACTAGAACTATAAATTTTGCGATGATTAGTGTCTTCCCTTGTCAAAAGTCCTTCCGTATACATGAAAAAGACGGTTCTCCTAGGAATAAATTCAAACCAAAATTTAACCTTTTTTCTAGCCTGATTCTAAAAGCAGCGTTAAACGTATTCTGTCGGTTAAAGCAAATTGTCGTTTCTCCAATTTAGTTGAACAATTTTTGCTTAAATTGTTTCGTAAATCTACAAATAAAACTTTGAAGGGATACGATGAAAAGTTGATTGAAAGGTTTTTTGATTCTTTAACTAAAAAAATTTAATTAATTTTCTATAGATTTGGACATCATACTTCAACACAACAACAACCTCATCCAACTTTGGGAGGAAATCAAAAACAACTTTCTGAAAGGGCTAATGATTTAATTAAAAAACATCGTGGAGCTCAAATTGGAAATGGTTAAGTTGAAGGAAAAAAATTTTTTTCAAGGATTTTTATTTTGCTTGGGATGGCTGGTGAATACCTAGGTTTTCCTTCAAAAATATTCTTTTTTATGTATTCCTTATATAATTTAAAAAATTACTTTTGTTCTTTCATTTGATAGGGTGGTGTTCTTTGTTGTTAAGTAGATTAAAATTTTTTCTCTCTTAAATTCAGAATTTTTATGATTTTTTAAAAAATTCATTCCATTTTACACCACTCATCAATGTTGGTAATCATATATATTTAATTATTTTGACGTCTAAAATTCGTTTAAAAAGACGGATTGAATGTTTGGCACTCGTTTGGATAATGATAAAATTATCGGAAAATTTTAAAAAACTTTTGATTCCGTTTGGGGATCTTGACCAGATTCCTGAGCTTGAGTTAAGGAAAAAATCAAGATCTGGAGCCAAATCCACACCGATCTCTAGGATTTTTGTATATGTTCCTCGAGCCTCGCTCCTTGATATACACTCTTGACATGTGCCGAATATTTTAATCTTCGAACCTTTTAATTGTTCAAAATAAAACAAAAATTTTATGAAATTTTTTTGAATAATTTACCTTTTAAACAACATTTGTTTTTGCTATTTTCTCTGTTGGATTTATATAAACACTTTAAAATATTATTATTTTTTCGTTTTTTAATTTAAAGGTTTCTATACCTTTCATTTTTTAATTACATTTTAAAATTTTTTTTCTTCTTTCTAGATTTTTAAATTATTTTTTTGAATTAAAAATTATGAATTCATCTGTTGCTCTTGTTTGGAGAACTTTGTGTTCACTTAGCATTCTTTCACTTGCTCATTGTGCTTATAGCGCTGCTCAGGTTTCTTTAAATTTATTTCATGGTCTTCCCTTCATCTTTTTTGGTATTCCTGGGGATTTCTAGGTCAATTTTTCATTTTTTGGTGAATCTCGTTAGTAACCTCCATTTTATAATTTTTGTTTTTTTTTACCGCAAGAGCGTAACTTTATTTATACTTAATTTACTTGTAATGTTGGGGCGATAAGCTGAATCTGCGCTATATCAGACCATACTCGGGCTTCTTTTTCCCAATATTTTTCTCTTTTTCCTCATTTCGGGGTGGGAGGTTTAACCCTCTCAGTTTCCCCTTGGCTAAGCCCTTGTCGGACCATACTTGGGCGTCAGATTCGGTTACTTACAACATTGTGGTATTTCGAGCTTTTGATGCCTTGAACCTTTTCGCTTAAAAAATTTCATTTTTTAGCATCGTTCATATCTTCGTTTAATTGGTCAACCATTTACTTGTTTACCAATAGATTTGTTGGTTCAAACAATTATTAGTCTTTTAATCGCGATGATTTCTACAGCTTTTGTTGTTGGCGAATTTCAACCGATTCGAGCTGATTTTTTGGTTTTTTTTTTAATTTTTTTTAAATTTTCTAAAAAATTTCTTTAAAAGACTTCAAAAAAATCTTGGGATACAATTGGTAATTGCCCTTCTTTTTATATTTTTGATCATCGTGGAAAATGTTTATTGCCTAAATTTGAGGTTGATGAAATTTAAGGATGAATTTGAAAGGTTTATTTTTTATTTTAAAGAGACAGATCTCTTTCTAGTCTTTTTTATAATTATTGTCCAATTGAACTTAGATAGTTAAACCTCTTTATTTTTTGACTTTTTTGTGGCTATTTCAAAAAATATTGTTTAAGTAATTGTGTATAGAATTTAATTTTAAGAAAACTGTAGGAGGGCCTTGCTGAATTCTTCTAATTTTTTTCTTTTTAATTTTTCCCCTTGCGAATCGTGCCAGGCTTCTCTTTCGATGAGCAACTTTCTGAAATCAATTTTTAGTTTTCCTTAATTTTTTCTAGTTCCCTTAACTCCTTAATAAATTTAATTCTATACACAATCATTTATTAATACAGTCAAAGCCTCATTTTTAAATCGAAATTTTTTTTGTTTTATAATCAAAGGGGGATCTCCAGTTATCGCTTAAGTAGCTTCCACAGGCCTGTTACTTTGAAAAAAACATTTTTGAATTTTGTATCTAATTAAAAGGCGTCTTTTAGTGAGGTTTTTGGCTGTTTTTATTTTTTTCACTTTCTGTTTGTCTTCAAAAAACAGAAAGTGATGGTTTCGTCCCTGCCTCCCTTCTAAAAATCTTTTTTTTCTCCGAAATAATTTTAACTATATATTCCACTTAAAAATTAATATTCATTTTATTTTTTTACATTGACTTCATTTTTTGATAATATTCTATAAAGTCTGTTATTTAAATTCTAATATTCTAATTTTATTTTTGTTCTTTATTTGTACTCTTTTTCCTGCACCCACTTATAAGAGTGGTGTTCGTTCAGTGGTTTCGTCCCTGCCTACACTTGAAAATGGGTTGTGGGTTCGAGTCCCATCAAATTTTAAATTTGTTTTGCTATTTTTTTCGTCTACTTTTTTCACTTTTTTTGTCTAAAATTGTTCTAAACTATTTTCAAATTTTTATAAATTTTTCGGAAAGTATTTTTATTCAATTTTTGGTTATTTCTTGCTTTTTAATATTTTTTAAAAATTTATTTTTCAATTATTTCTGTTTAACTATTTTTTTATATATTTAAATGTTTATTTCTTCTATAAATAAAACAATAAAAACAACACAAACAACAACATTAAAATCCTCTCCACAACAATACCAGGAAGCTTTAAATTATTGTGTTAAAATTGTAAAAGAAAGGGATTATGAGAATTATTTGGCTGCTTTATTAATGCCCGAAAATGTTAGGGCAAAAATATTTACGGTTTTCTTTTTTAAATTAATTTTAAAAAATTTTTCTTTTATTTTTAAAGGTTTTGGCGTTAAACGCAGAAATATCTACTCTGAGGCATAAAATAAAGAGGCATTCTGGCGTTGCAAATATAAATCAATTAAAGTTTTGGAATGATGCGTTAAATTCGTTGGCTAGAAGAGATGCTCTGTTGCCTCGGTTATTTATTTTAATTTTTGGGGATTTTTTACTAATAGGGGGTTTTCTTCAATTTTTCGCTCTCCGAGTATTTTGAAGTATTTTCAGTTTTATTAGAAGATATTAGTAGGCTTTATTGGAGTTTGTATTTAAGATTCGGGTTGTCCGATTGGTATCGTTCTGGATTTGCCCTTTTATGGGGTGAAGGTTCGATTCCTCTCTTGGTTATTTGTCTTTGTTTTCTGCTTTTTTGTTCTAAAATCATTGTAGAATCTTTTTTTAAAAATTTCTCCAGGCCTTAAAAATTTTTTCTTGAAAATTTTCGACTCGCACGATCCCCTTTAATTTTTTTAAAAATTTTTACAACTAATAAAAAAATTTTTTCAGTCAACCAGTAATTCTCGCCCTCCAAGCATTTTACAATTTTCCCCAACAATCATCTACGGAATTTAATTTATTTTTAAATCTAATAAAATCAAGACAACAAACTTTGGGTGATCGTCCTTTTGAAAATTTGAATTTTTTAGAAAATTATTGTAAATTACTTTATGGCTCTTTAATTTTGCTTCAAATGAATTGTTTAAATAGACAAGAATTTCAACTTGCTGATGAAACAAAATTGGAAAAAGTTGTAAATTCAATAGCTTGTTCTATTGGGATATTAACTTTGTTGAGGTTTTCTTTTTTTATTTTTTAAAATTAAAAGAAAAATTTCCTTAAGGGCAACCACTTTATTGTTAAAACATGATGGAATTGTACTTCTCCCACAAGATGTGACAGACCTGCATGGGTTCAATATTGATTCTGCTGCTCGTAGTGGTCCTAATACAATGAAAGAGGTTGCTAAAGATTTGTGCAAGGTTTGGAAATTTTTTAAAATAATTTTTTGTTGGTTATTTTTTTATATTTGGTATAGATTTTGGGACTGGCCCAGAGTCTTTAATCTTAGAGTTGCCTTGAACTCAAGGCTTTTTTCGAGCTTCCTGGGTTTTTTCTGAATATACCTCCTAGACTTTTAGCCCCTTATTTAAATGGGGCAAGACCATTGGTAAAATTTAGGGGATGTTTCTGAACGTTTTCCGAATCTGATTTTGTCCAGCCCTTGTCTTCCATTATCCGTATTTTCGTCTGGCTGGAATTTCTATGATAACCAGCAGTCTTAAACATTTCGTGTTTACCCGTACTTATGTTCCCTTCTTCCCTCAATATTTATTATTTTCTAGATAGCTTCTACTCATCTCAATTCTGCCCGTTCCTTAACTTGTTCAATCCACCCTTCTTTGAGGCCAGCCTTGTTAACAGCAGGATTTCGTTCAGATTGGATTTTGAAGGTTTTAGAAAAATCTGATTTTAATTTGTTGGATGTTCGACTACATAGAAGACAGCATCCTTTTGCTGCTTTAATGCTTTGGTGGAGATATAGAAGAAGAATATTTTAATTTGTATATTTTTGTTTTTTTGTTGTTTGTTTTAGGAAAAATAAAATTTTTTAAAATTAATTATTGATTTTATCGATTTTTTGGAAAAATAAAAATTTTAAAAAATTAATTATCGATTTTATCGATTAGTATTGATTTTATCGATTTTTTGGAAAAATAAAAATTTTAAAAAATTAATTATCGATTTTATCGATTAGTATTGATTTTATCGATTTTTTGGAAATTAAAAATTTTTTAAAAATTAATTATCGATTGATATCGATTTTATCGATTAGTATTGATTTTATCGATTTTTTGGAAAAATAAAAATTTTAAAAAATTAATTATCGATTTTATCGATTAGTATTGATTTTATCGATTTTTTGGAAATTAAAAATTTTTTAAAAATTAATTATCGATTGATATCGATTTTATCGATTAGTATTGATTTTATCGATTTTTTGGAAATTAAAAATTTTTTAAAAATTAATTATCGATTGATATCGATTTTATCGATTATTATTGATTTTATCGATTTTTTGGAAATTAAAAATTTTTTAAAAATTAATTATCGATTGATATCGATTTTATCGATTAGTATTTATTTTATCGATTTTTTGGAAAAATAAAATTCTTAAAAAATTAATTATCGATTGATATCGATTTTATCGATTAGTATTGATTTTATCGATTTTTTGGTAAATTAAAATTTTTTAAAAATTAATTATCGACTGTTATCGATTTTATCGATTAGTATTGATTTTTCTATACCTTGTTTAGTAAACGACAAAATGTAACTTAGTATATATGCGACAAAATGTCTCATAGTTAATAATACGACATAATGGTTCAATATGCATAATGCGACAAAAGGCCACATAGTTAAAATGCGACAAATTGTCTCTAGCTTATGATGCGACAAAATGTCACTAAAAAATGTCCACAATTATAAAAAAATATTTATCAGCAATAAAAAACAGCAGAAGCAGCAAAAATTTGTGAGAAATTAAAATAAGGGGTTTGGCAAGGGTTTTTTTGGAGAGATTATTGTAAGAAAAATAATTGGGGCTAAATATGGAAATTAAAAAAAAATTAAAATTTTAGGTCAAAAAGCTAAAGAAATATTGGGCTCTTTCATAGGAGAATGATCATCATTATTGTATATATTTTTTATTGATTTATTTGACAAGTTTAAGTCGTTTCAAATTGCAATTTTTGCTGAAATTGAAAAAAAATTTTTTAAAGAAATTTCCAAGTTCAAACCAAAAAAGATGTGATTCCAATGGGTAACAGCCTTGCCCTTCAATTTTTGAATTGAGCTTTAATCCACAATCTTCACATTTGTAACAATCTAAATGGTAGCTTCGATCCATAGCAATTACACGAGCAACTTCTGTTTCATTGCCGCTAGGGGCGATTACCTGACAAAAAATAAAAGATAAAGGTTCACTCCTGAGGCCGTATTTTCGAGCATAACTTTTTTAAACTTCACCCGATTTTAATAATTCTTATATCGATAGAAAGCTTTGAATGTGAGTATCATTTTTCCTAAAAGGATCGATTCGATCGGATTATCGTATAAAAAGTTACAAAAGGATAAGTGCAAGTAATCGTGATTTTCGATCTTTATTGGGGTGTAGAAAAGAGCCCCGCAGTCTTTTAACCTAAGAAATTAATTTAAAAAATTGTTAACGAACTTAGATATCAAAAATAAATAGTAAAAAAATTTTCAAAGTTAAATTAAATTGTCTAAAAATGTTTGGGAGTGGAAAGGAATCGAACCTTTACCGTATTTCCTATACATAAGAAAAAAAGTCTAGCACGCTATCCACTACACCACCACGCAACTTAACAGATCTCATTAATTTTACTTCAAATAGTTTAAATAAAAAACTCACTTTTAGGCAAGAAGCACATCTTGGAGAAAACCTTTCATGGAAACAATCAAGACAATAAGCTGAATTTTCAGAATCCACAGTAAATTGAATTCCATCCAAAGATTTTTGACAAGTAGGGCAAACAAAGCATTCTGGGTGGAAAGCTTTTCCGAGTGCTCGAAGAATTTTTCTGAAAAATTAAGAAAAAAATAAACAGAAAAAGGGGAAATCAAAGCATGTACATATGACCCATTTTTCGAACCATAACTTTTTTCAAACTCAACCAATTTTGACAAAATTTGTACCAATAGAAAGCTAAGAATGTCCTCATTATTTTCTTCCAAAACGATCCATAGATACGGCCATTCTTTAAAAAGTTGGAAGCTCTCAAGTACGGATAAACGTGCTTTTCTGACTATAACCTTTCAATATTATCAGCCTACAACTTTTTTAAAAATGGTTTTAAAATTGACCCAGATAGGAAAAAAATCCTTACATCCAGAGCTGTTAATAGATAACAGATTTGTTTGAATATATTGGAATTTAAAAAGTTATGGGTCGGAAAAGGGGGTCAGAAACAACCGTAAAGAGAAAACACACAAAATTCAAGCCAGAAATAAAACACAAAAACAAATTCAGAAGAAAAATCAGAAACTCAAATTAAAAATCCCTCACTGTGTAATAGGCATTTTACATTTGCCACATTTCTCAAGAGAATTCATATAATCAACTTGACACAAATTTTTACCATCAACAGCATAGAAAGAGCAACCTTATTTTTGAATTTAAAAATTAAAAAAAAAATTTCCTAAAAAAATTACCAGCCAATTGTTTTTGACATTGATCACAACAAAAACAGGTAACGTGATAAGGCTGGCCTAAAGCTGTTACACCTGGGGGATCTCCAGAAATTTGTTGACGACATTTGGTACAATAATCTTTAAGAGGAAAAAATTAATTAAAAAAATTTTTTTTTAATTTTTAATTCAATTTTTAAAAAATTAAAAAAAATCCCTAACCAAGATCATCAGCCATGATTTTTTAAAATTTATTATTTTTGATGATGGAAAAATGTAGAAAAATATAGTATATTTAAAAATTAAAAAATATTAAAATAAAATATTATATTTTATTGTCCTTATTATCTAAAAAAATATTTTTTTTTATAATTTTTTAAAATTATAAAAAAAAATTTTCTAAAATAAATTTAATAAATTAGGAGGTCTCAAAAAATTAAAAATAATAAGTTAAAAAATTGAAACAATTAAAAGAAAAAAATTTGTTTTAAAAACGAATTAATTAGTGTCTTTAAACCCCAAAAATAATTATCTACATAGAAAAAAAATTTTTTTTTTTGTAAAACTATTAATAATTGGGAGAAGTCTTTAAAATTATCCCCAAAAGAATAATTACACACACTCAAAAAAATTATTTTTTTTTCTGATTTATCCCCCCAATTATTTTTTATTCTATACAAATTACGTAAATAGACATGCTATTTATTGTTAGCTCTAAAAATGCTGTCAAAAAATATTTTTCCGTCAAGTAAAAAAAATTTTTTTGACAAAAAAGAACGCCTTTTAGAGACACGTAGTCCTTATAACAATCCTTGCCTTTCCTCCTTTTGTTCTTCCCAAGGGGATAAAGAAGAAAGGAAGAAAAAAACTTTTTTTTGGGAGGAAAAGCTTGTCAAGTCTTTTTTTAAGTAAGCAAGAAAATAACACAAAAAAAAAGAAAAATTAGCGTAAAAATGTTTTTTGGGAGGAAGTTGAGGAGAGGAAAAGCAGATAATATTTTTATTTTAGGGGAATAAAATCAGAATAAAAAAATACAGAAAAATACGGGGAAAAATAATTTAAAAGAAATCAGAATTAACGGAAATAAAATACACAAATACAAATTGGGAGACGTTACAAATGTCAGAATTAAAGAAATAAAGTCAGAAAAAATACAAAAAATCAGAATTATAGAGAAATACAAAATCAGAATTAGAAAAAATACAAATAACCAGAATTTTAGAAAATTGCACGATTGCGCGTACTTAAACAAGTTTAACTATTTTCATGGGGATTTGATCAGACCAATCCTCCAGAAAAAATTAGAGCTTTTTATTGATATAAAAATTATTCAAATCAATTAAAATTTAAAAAAGTTATGGTTCAAAATAAGGTCTCGGTAATGAAATGTGGCGAAAATAGAGCAATTTTCCAATCATTTTTAAACAAGTTTTATGTTTTGTTGGAAAATGAGAGATCAATATACACATATATTTGAGTTTTAAACCTTCTGGAAAATAATGAAACATAGAAAAATGATCAAAAAAAAATAAAAATGATCAAAAATTAATCGAGAAAAAAGGATTTAAGTATGAGAAGGATTAGAGAATCAAGGGAAGAAGAAAATTGAGAAGAGGAAGAAAATGAGAAGAAAAATTTTTAGAAGGAAGATTTTTAAAAAATAGGAAAATCTAAAAATAAAGTTAGGTAAATAAGGCCTAGAAAATTTTTCCATGTTGAATAATTTTTTTATGATTATGTAAACGGTTGAAAAAAAAGAGAGAGAAAGAATTTAAAAAGAAATAAAAGTGATTCGTCGAAAAAAATTTTTATTTTGAAAACGAGAGTGTTGTATTCGAGAGGTGGTGATTTTAGCATATGAGAAGAAAAAAAATTTTTAGAAAAAAAAGACATCTGCTTTTAAAAAAGATAAATGCATGAATCGGTTAAAATAAAAATAAAAACAGTTGGTTATGAAGATAACTAGTTGGTTAGCTGCTGGAATTTTTATATTCCTCTCCTCAAATCTTCCAATTAAAAAAAAACAAATAAATAAATGCTTGTGTGTTTGTTTTCGTTAAAAGAAAAGATGTGTGTTCAAGATTAGATAATACTTTTAAAAGATAGGATCGATATTTTTAAAAAGAAAAATTTTAAAGAAAAAATTTTAAAAGAAAGATTACAAAAAAAAAGAAAATCTAAAAAATCCCAAAATTTTTAATTAACAAAAATTAGTAAAAAAATTTTTTTTATTGAATTAAAAAATTTCTCTAGAAATCTCTTAAAATCACAAAAAAAAATAAAATTAATTAACAACTCTTCAAAAAAATTATTCTTTTTTTCAAAGACGCAACAAACAATAAAACACGAATACACCTCACATACACACACCAATTGTTCTTCCAAAAAAAAATTTTTTATCTGCTTCAAAAGAATTTTTAATTCCCAACAAATTCTTTTTTAAAACCAGCTGTTCCCTAAAAATACTTTTTCTATTCAATTTTTAAAAAAAATTTTTAAGTGCCAAAATCCTCCGAATAAATATAAATTGAATAGAAAAAAAAAAGAAGGGGACAGATACTTCAAAAAAATATTTTCTAGCAAAAATTTTCAATAACAAAACTAACAAAACTCTTATAATTATTTTTGTTTGATTGTTAAAAAATTAATAGAATAATAAAGGAAATAATAGAGGAAAAAAAATAAAAAAAACATTTAAAAATAAATTAAAATAAATCGGAAGAAGACAATAAAAATAAAAAGAAAAATCTAAAAAAGAATTAAAAAATTAAAAAAAAATCATATGATTTTTTTTAAAAATTTCAAAAACCAGACGTTTTTAAATAATTATTAAAAAAAGAAATATAGTTCAAGAGACTCATCAAAACTGGATGAGGAATTAAATTTTAAAAATTATCAAAATTAATGAAGATTGATATGAATAGATTGAAAATCATAAAAGATTTAGAATTCAATAAAACAAATTTGGAAACAAATAAGAAAGGTTAAAAAAAAGAAAAGCTAAAATTAAAATTTTTTAGACGTTTCAGGATTAATTCAAAAATTAATAAGAAGCGTTAAAAAAGTTTACATCCAAAAGGATTTGAACCCACGGCCCCTTCGACTAGAAACCAAGCACTAACCAACTACACCACAACATCAACTTTCAAGAAATAAAAATTTCTCAATTATATGTAAATTAGAAAAGAATGAAAAATTTTTTAAAAGAATAAAGAATAAAAAAACAAAAATAATAAATTATTTTAAAAATAAGAGGAATATTTAAAAATAAAAATGTAAACAAAATAAATATATAAAACAGGTTTTTAAGCAAAAAAATTAAAAATAAAATTTTTAAAAATAAAATTTTTAAAAAAAAATATTTAAAAGGTAAAAATAAATGAGGAAAAAGAAAAAAAATTAAAAAAATTCCCCAAATTAAAAAAAATATTTTTAAAAAATTTTAAAAACGCGTTAAAAAAATTTTTTTGGAAATATTCTTAAAATAAAAAAAAATTTTTTAAAAATTTTCGCATACTTTCCCCAGCAGCTCCATAACCACTACGCATTTTCCATTCCATTTCTTTAATTAATTGATCAACTGAATCTTCTTCTTTATTTTCTTCCTTATTTGAATTAATAATTTTTTGTTTATACGAAACAAAATTTTGTAAAGATGGGGGAGGTTCTGAAGTTGAAGAATAATTGACTGGTTTTTGTTGTTGATTGGCAACACGTTGACGTTCAGTTAATCCTTTAAAAAAATTTTTTTTTGATTTTAAAATTAAATATAAAAATTATTAAACCTAAAAATACACAAACATTTTAGGAAAAATAATAAAAATATATTTGAGGTTTAAAAAAAATTAGTTGACCACCAAACGGACTCGAACCTTGAACCCCCTCCTATTTTTAAATTATTTTTTTGTAAAATTAAAAATTTTTTCCTGTTTTAACTTTTTCTTTTCACGCAAGAGTAATCCAACTCATTATCAGATTCGTCGCTTGTCCACTCACATGGATAAAGAACCAAAAAATTCGAAGAAAAAATTTTCAAAAAAAGGAAGGGGGTCGAAGGTTCGAGTCCGCTTGGCGGTCAACATTTTTAAAATACCTCAAATAATTTCCTAAACATTTCCTAAAATATCCCATCCATCAATCTCAATTCCCCTATTATTTAATTAATTAAAAAAAACCTTGATCACGCAATTCCTTAACAAAATTATCAACATTTTGTTTCCTCAAGTGAATACATCCTCCACTTCCATTACTAGTTGCCATAAATTCATTTTCCCTCCCAAAATTATTTTCTCTTATTCCACCACCATTTTGTCCTGTCATTAAGGTAGCTACAGGTGTTTGTGTTGCATATGCATGAATATAACGTTTTGGGTCATTAATTAATTGTTGTTGTGAAGAAGATGACTGTTGCTGTTGTTGTTGTAATAATGGTGATTGACGATGATTAAAAGTTGTTTGTTGTGAAGTTTGTTTTATAAAAGAATTTATTGGAGAGGGTGTTGGTGAATATGATGATTTCTTTAAAAAAATATTTTTAAATAAAAATATTTAATTTTAAAAAAGTCCGCAAAAATTTTTTGTCCGCAAAAAATTTTTGCGGACACGAACCCTGATCCAATTGTTATTATTTTTATTTTTCCAATGGATATTTTATTAGAAGGTTTAAAAATTTAGAATACCCCTCTTTAAAATAAATAAAAAATTCTTTTACCGGTCCAAAATTAGTTTGTCCAGGTAAAGGCCCAATTAATTGTATAGGTATTTTTATCTCCATATTTTGCTTCTGCTGTGGTTTATATGAATATTGTTGATATTGCTTATTATTATTACTATTAAAATTGCTGCTTTGCTGCTGTTGCTGTATACTTGGACTCATCTTTAAAAAAATTAATTTTAATTTTTTATAAGCAGAAAATTTTGTCCGCAAATATTTGCGGACAAAAATAAATTTTTATTCAAAAAATAAAATCCAAACCGAAGGGCTATATCCGGAGTTGACACCGAACGCGGGAGATTGGTGGGAATAATCGTGCGTAGCATGTACCTTTAGAAAAAAATTAAAATTAAAAAAATTTTCCCCCTAACCGTTGTTCCGGTTTGATGCTGGGCCAGCGTGTCATGCTGCGGCTGATTCTTCAAAAAAATAATTTTAATAAAAAAATCTAAAAAAACTTAATAAAAATCAAGCAAACCTGCCAATATCTCCCAGAAGCCAATTGATCCGATCCGTCCAAAAATTGTTCCCGTTCATATGGTAAAAGCGATTCACGGTAGACGGTCGGGCGCAAACGTTGCGCTGCGTGCTGTAATGTCTCAGGGTGAACGCCGGCAAATGGAAGCGATCTTTCCGGAGATTCTATTTTTAACAAAATAAAATTCAAAAAAAATATTATTCAAAAATCCGCAAATTTTCGTCCGCAAAAATTTTGCGGATTGTCCGCAATAAATTTTTGCGGACAAAAATTGTGATCCGTAAAAATTTTTGCGGACAAATTGTTAAAATTAAAAAAAATTTTTTACTGGCGGTTTGAACGCTCCCGACGTTGTCACGATTGGCTGATGTCCTCCAGCTAGAGCCCAATATCTTTGAGGTGTTGAGTGTAGGGGGTGGGGGAGGGGGCGCTGGGGGCGGAACGCCCGTTGCTGGTATGGTCCCAGAATAGTCTTTAAAATAAAAAAAATTTCAGAAATTTAAAAATCAAAAAAATACCCATGCAGAATCTTCTGTAGGAAGTTCAACTACAGGATCAAGTCCGTGACCACTCAAAATTGGTGTATCCAAAAAAGAAGAACGGTTTAATCCACGAGGAAGGCCACTTCAAAAAAATATAAAAAATCTTAAAAATTGAAGAAAATTTTTTTTGATATAATTTTGGTATAGGAGGGTCATCGATGACTGACCTGCTACCAATTTATTTCAAAAAAATTTCTTTAAAAAAATTTTTTGAAATAAAATTTGAGTTGAGGGGGGGGGGGGGGTCATTGAGGACCAGAGGTGGGTCGGAACTGGCTCAAAAGTCGGAAATCGGAACTCAAAATCGGAATTCCGACCCACCTCTGTTGAGGACCAACTACCAAGAAAAAAATATTTTTCGCTTATAAAAATAGAAAAATATTTTTTTCTTTTAAAAGTTATTTGATTAAAATCAATAGGAGATGACACACAAATATTTATTTATTAAACAAAGAATACCGGCATATTAAAAATAAAAATTTAAAGGGGGAGAGAAGAACCACTAAACTACTCACCACTTATATGCTAGTTTAAACACCCTTCTCTTCTACTCTACGGGATTTTTAGGAGACCGAGATCACAAAGAGAAAAAGAAAGGAGTGATTTATTTATATAAATAGACTTAAAATATTTATTTTTAGAGGAGTAAATAAAATAAAATTATTTTCTATTTTTCTATTTTGACAGAAAGAAGAATTTAGTTTAGCAGTTTTAGTTGATCAACCAAAAGGAGAGAAAAGAGAGAGAGGATATACATAAATACAAGTGAATAAAAACAAAATTTTTAAAAAAGGATTTTGTTTTCTCTAATAAATATATTTTTGTTTGTCATATATTAATATTAAAAAAAGGAAAAAAAATTTTTTTTTCTTAAGGTCTCACAAGTTTTCAAAATTATAAGGGTTCTCTGATCACTCCCATAAAAGCTGGGTTTTCTCATTAGAAAAGAGGGCACAATCTTACCGGGATGTGAACTGTTTCTACGGAAAAATGAAGGTTTGTGAGGAAATTTGGGTTCGGAGAAGTCCCTTTCCTAGGGGGAAAAAGTATTAAGTATTTTAAATAGGCCAACTAAAAATATATTTTTTTTTAATTATTAAAAATTAAATCAGAAAAACATATGGAAAAGAATTTTTAGAGAGAAAATAAATATCCTATTTTAAATATTTAAAACCAATTTTTTCAGAAAAAAATGATAAAAATGAGACTGACTGGAAAAAAAAAGTCATTAAAAATAGTCATAATAAAAATGTCAACGAGAGAGAGGGAGATGAGAAAAAAAAACAGTTTCCGTTGCGCTGACTCATAAATAGATTTAAATAAATAAAAAGGGGAAGTAGAAAAAAATAAAAGGGGAAGAAAAACCATAATTCTAACCCAAAAATACTTTAAAAAATTCCAAGAAAATTTATAAAAATTGGGGAAAAAATTTCCCAATAGAGATAGGTATTTTTTGAAAAGTCTTGACCTGTTCCTGGGCTCTGTGTTTGATTTATTGACCTGACCCGAATCATTGGCTCGTTCGTAATCCAGGAAAACCCAGGAAGGTCAAAAAATGTTTGGGCCTAGACTCTGGGTACAGGAAAAACGAAGGCCTTGGTCCAGACCCAGACCGATCTCTAGTTCACAAAACCAAATAAAACTAACCTAAACCTTAAAAATCCTTTTTAAAATAAAAAATAAAAATTTGAGAAACCTTTGGAAATTTAGGACATCCAAAATAATTAAAAAAAAAATTCTTCACAAACCTTTTAGTTGGCGGCACAAAAAAGTAGTGCGGAAGTGGTGACAAATGGCTCATCTGATCGTCAAAGGAACACTAACAACAATAATACAGGTCAGAGCGCACGTCTTTGTATAGTTGTTTTTTTTTGTTATTTGGAAAATTGCGCTGAATAAAAAAAATTGTTAAAAATAAAAAAATATAGAACAAGAATGATACAAAAATTTTTTTAAAAACGACTAAAAATAGAGCTGTTAAGAGTAAAATGGAGAGGCACTGAAAAAAAATTTTTTTTCAGAAAATTCTAATTTTTTTTTAGAAAATACTCAATTTTTCAAAAATAACACAACAAAAATTTTTCAAGTTTGCCAACACTAGTCTAGCTGTAAAACCAAAAAAAATTTTCCAACACCGAGACGAAAAATCTTTAAAGTATTTTATTGATAAAAATAAATATAAACTTTTCTTCACTGCCCCCACTTCACTCCTTTACACCTTTTTCAAGCCTAGCCAAGAAAAAAAGAGAAAAGCAGACTTGCACAGCCTTTTTATAATTTTTAGTACTAAAAATCTTTAGCTTATTATTTTACTATTTTTATGTTCAATCAGCGATTTCCGACTAAACAAAAAGAAAAAAAATTTTTCAAAAATAAATAATCTACACTTTTCCTCTTTATTTTCTTTGTTTACTCGAACATGTGTCGCCAAACATAATTTTTCCCCCGCCCCCACAATGTTATATACTAAAGCTAGCTCATGAAAAATACTAAAACGATTGATAGGAGTGGGGATATTGGGAAAATAAATAAATATAAAATGAAGAAAACTTGGGGAGTAGCAGTCTACAAGTAAGATAAGGATGGCGATTACGAATATCCAAACCGAAATTTTCGGTGCGGATTAGATATCGATATTTTTGAAAAGCTTGGGCCTGTTCCTAGACTCTGGGGTTTGATTTATTGACCTGGGCCGGATCCTGGGCCTGTAGTCTGGGAAAAATCCAGGAAGGTCAAAAAATGCATGGGCCTGGACTCCGAACCTTTCCGTGGTAATTTATTCCTTCGTCCATCTACAGAGCCTTAAAAAGGGGTGAAGGAGCCCTTCTAAGGAAAGTACCTTTTTCTTTTGGGTCATATTAAATAAAAAAATAAGAATAAACTAACCGAATTTGCATTTTTAATTCATTAATAATCGGAGCTACAAGTTTTGACCAATTCTTCTTTAACGGAGTATATCGATGAGGAGGTATTGAAACTTTCCTCATTTCCCAGTTGACATTATCCTTTCCTTTTTTAGCATCGGGCTGGTCAGCATCAGTAGAAAGTTTGGGGAGTTTGCGTTTCTTGTTGCTCTAAAAATAGAAAAAAAATCTCAAAAAACTCATTCAAAAATTCTTTCCAAAAATCTCCCAAAAAAATTCGGGTACAACCCGACGTAACGCGAGCCCAATTACCACCTAGCTATAACTTTGTTCGAAATTGTCGAATCCATGGCGCCTTGGTATGGTTGGGTGCGGCTCGACCAGCTGAATCGAACCATACCTGGGCGTCACGGATCCAAAAATATTGAACAAAGTTATAGCTCGGCAGTACATTGGGCTCGCGGTACAATGGCCGAAAAGTTCTTTCAAAAATTCAAAAAAATAAACCTTTTTAGTCAAAATAAATCCATCATTATTATCCCCACCATCCTCCCCATTTATTTGTGGCTCTTCAATCAACTCATCATCAATATCTTCCAAAGGAGGCATTTCTTCCAACAGCTGGACCAACTCCAGCTAACCAACGAATTTCTGCTGATTTTTGTACTTCTAAAGCATACTCATCAAATAGACGGTCTTCCCGCAACAATTCACCGGCCTAAAAAATGATCTTGAAACCAAAGTAAATAATTAAAAATAACCCCATAAAAATTTTCAAGGCTTCTGGATAATCTCTCAAAACTGAAAATTAAGTAATTAAAAAAATTTTTAAACATAAAAACAACCTATAAAAAGATCAACCATTCAAAACAAACAAAACATTGCATCTAACCAATGGACATTTGCTGTACGTCTTCTAGTTTGACAAGAACTTGGCCACCATCCAATTGGCTTTAACATTGGGAACGGATAAACTTATTTAGGGGAGAAACTTTGCGGACAAAACTTGCGAATTTAATAAAGTAAAAAAGCTAACCTCCGAAGAGACCACAGCAGATTTTGTGCCCAGCTATCTCCGAAGAGACAACTTGAGCGTTTGTGCCCAGCGATCTCTGAAGAGACCACTTGAGCGTTTGTGCCCAGCGATCTCCGAAGAGACCACTGAAGCTTTTTTGCCCAGCTATCTCCGAAGAGACCACTTGAGCTTTTGTGCCCAGCGATCTCCGAAGAGACCACTTGAGCTTTTGTGCCCAGCGATCTCCGAAGAGACCACTTGAGCTTTTGTGCCCAGCGATCTCCAAAGAGACCACTTGAGCTTTTGTGCCCAGCTATCTCATAAGAGACAACTTGAGCTTTTGTTGTGTTGCTGTTGTTGCTGCTGCTGAAGTTGTTGCTGATGTTGTTGTTGTTGCTGCTGTTGTTGTTGCTGAAGTGAAGACTGAAAAAGATTGGCTATATTTTTTAAAAATTGAAAAAAGCAAGTCTTGTCCGCAAGTCATTACTCCCCCGACCCCCTCAAAAAGGTTAATCCCTAAAAAAGAAAAAAGCCATCATTCTATTGTAGAACATCTTTGCTACAAATGGACAACAGAGGAAAATCAATAATCCTGAAAATCAATAATAACGGAATGCCAAAATAATCGCCAACAGAGTATTATTTAAAAATTTACTTTATTTCTCTAGAATACACTATTTCGCGAAGAACTTCAAAATGTAAACTCAAGGTATTTCAAAGTGTAAAATATTAAAATATACAAAAACAATCTAGTCACTCTCCCAAAATTTTTTATATTTGACAATTTTCAATGTAAATTTTATAATTTTCAGGGATTTAGATTAGATTTTCAGGGATTAGATTTTCCCAAGCTAGAAAAATAAAAAAAAAATTTCTTTCACAACAAAAAATTTTTTTGGCATTATGTCACTTTATTTTTAAAAATGACATTTCATCCCAAAACTAAAAAATCTTCTAGCCTTCGGATTTTTACTTTTTTCATTAGCTAAACTCACACCTATTCAACTAATGATTAGCAACAGTGGTATTGATCCTGAAGCCGACGACAATTCATCCCCTACTAATTTCTCTAGTGGTCGACGAGAAGCTAATGAAGGAAGGAATTTATTAGCTTTTTGGTTTATTTTTAATTTCTTTAATTAAAAATTTTTTTAAAAGGCTACTTGGTTTATGCAATAATTTTGGTTATGTAGTGATGCTTAGCGCTGCAAAAGATATTCTTGAAAAATCTGAAGAATCGCCAATTGACAGTGGATGCGTTGTTAGTTTATTTGATTTTTAATTTATTTTAGTTAAAATAAAGTAGTGGGGGACGTCACAAATTTAAGAGAAAATTTTTCTAATCTTTGGGACTCTTCCCGGAAACATGCAACAAATTTGAATTTTGCGGACAAAAATTTGCTGACTTTTTTTCAACTTGCGGACAAAATTTGCGGACTCTTTTAAACTTGCGGACAAAACTAAAAATACAAAGAAATACCCAAAAATAATTTTCATAAACCTTCCCATATTTAGACAGACACAAAATACATCAAATGTTCAACCATTTCTACTGGTGCCGTCCTTCTCGCTGACATTTTACCTTCCCTTACAATAAAATTGATAGCTCCATTCACATTACAAGCAATTCCTTTTTCATTGAGACACTTGCTGGTTGTTAATTTTCAAATTTTGAGTTATCTACTTGTTGCGTATTCGAATACTATTTTTGTGGGAATTTTAGGTTTTTTTCTTTAAAAAATCTTATTAAAAAATTTTTTAAAATAAAGGCGTGGTTTTCGCAAGTCTTGGTGCTGGTCTTGGAGAAATTACTTATCTTTCGCTTTCCTCACATTTTCACAAGTTTGTTTTCTGGTTAAAAAATTTTTCAAGTCATAAAACCCTTTCAAATCAGAAATTTTTGAAAAAATAAAAATTGCGGACAAAACTTGCGGACTTTTTCTTACACAGACCAGAAACCTTTAAAAAATTAAAAAATATATTTTTCAGCGATGTAATTTCCTTTTGGTCTTCCGGAACCGGCGGAGCAGGAATTTTTGGTTCTCTAGCATTTGCCGCTCTTACAGACCATCGAATGCTTGGATTAAATGCAAAACAAGCTTTATTAGCCATGCTGGTTGTTCCAACAATTTTGGCGCTTACCTATGGTTTTTTGCTTCAAAGTCCACCTTCAACCCACAGAGTGTGGTTACGTTGGCCTTCTTTTAATGGAATGAATATAAGCATTTTTGGAAGGAGAAGGACGGGATTTTCTTCGGTAAGAAAAATTTTTTTCGTTAACTTGAGGACACGGAACTAGATTACCAAGCAAATACAAAATCAGAATTTCCAGAAAATTTTCGTAAAAATATAAACTTGCGGACAAAACTTGCGGACTTTTTTTGACCAAATAAATTTTTCTTTCGTTTTTTAGACCACAACAGAATCCTTTACTTCATCTGCCGAAGATGATTTACAAAGACTTTTACATGGAGATCATTTAGACGCACGTCAAACTTTACGTAAAAGTGTTTGGAGAAAAATTCGAATGGCTAAAGTATTTTTTAAAAATTTTTTAAAAAATCTCCCCTCAATTTTTCAGCCTTTATTACGCTTTATGGTTCCCCTTGCAATTGTTTATTTCTCAGAATATTTTATTAATCAAGGCTTACTTGAATTACTCGTTTTTAATTGTGCAACTTCTTTTAACCTTAGCCCTATGCAACAATATCGATGGTATCAAGTACTTTACCAGGTAAAAGAAAACACAAAAAATTCTGATTTGTATTTCTGATACTCCGGGAAAGTTTACAAATTAAACTTGTTTGGGTGTTTGCTTGTATTTTCGAAAATAATTCTGATTTAAATTCTGGTTTATTTATGACTCCCTAGAAAATCTTGTGTTTTCCGGAAAACACATAATTCTGATATGTGTATTTTCTAATAAAAATAGATTCTGATTTTTAAAAATTCTGGTTTTAATTCTGGACTCACTAGAAAATCTTGTATTTTCCGGAAAATAATTCTGATACCTGTGTATTTTCCGGAAAGTTTTAAGTTGTGTGTTTTCTAAGAGAAAAAAATTCTGATTTAAATTCTGTTTTATTTATGACTCTCCTAAAAATATTAGGTATGCCTTCCGGAAAATAATTCTGATTTTTGTATTTTCCGGAAACCTTCAACTATTCTTTATTTTCTTTTAAAAAACACAAATTCTGATTCTATTTATTTTTTAGCTAGGCGTATTTATCAGCCGTTCATCAATTAAATTCTTCCCAATACGAGCATCACTACTTCCATCACTTGCCCTTCTTCAAATCTTAAATGCCTTGCTACTTTTCTTTGAATCCCTTAATGGATTGGCCCATTTACCACATATTATTTTACTTATGTTTATTATTTTTTATGAGGGATTGTTAGGCGGTGCTGCTTATGTTAATACGTTTAGTGCTATACACAGAACGGTAAAAAATTTTCTAAAAATTTTTTAAAAAATCCAAAAATTTTTCAATAATTTTCAAAAGGTCTCAAAAGCAAACCGCGAATTTTGTATAAGTTTTGCCACTATAGCTGACTCTTTGGGTATTGTTTTTGCTGGTTTTTCTTCAATTTATGCGCATAATTTTATTTGTGATCATCGTTGGTAAACTAAGATTTTTTTGATTGACACCCAAATTTTTGACCAAATTTCATGCATCAAAAACGGATATTTTTTAAATTTTTACATGGGTATTTTAATTACCTTATTTATATTTTTTTAATTTTAAATATTTAAATAAATTCTTTAATTAGTATAGTTTAGTAACACATCCCGGGATAGGTCGAGTCATTCTAAACCCAATCTTTTTTCGATCCGATACATGACCTAATTTGTTCTTAACTCGGTTCCTGACTCCATCCCTGTCCTGGACGATTCCCATTTTTATTGGTTTTTTTTACATAACCGGTTCAGAGAACCAGGAAGCACCAGGAAGCCACTGATCATTAAGAATTAGAAATATTTTTCTTCAATAAAAGGAAAAAAAATCCGTCTCATTTTCTAACGTACATATAAGCGCAATAAGAAGGTGCATAATATCAGCTAATTTTTTTAATAAAAACGATTTTATGCACTTCTAATCGCGCTTTATTTTGAACGTTTTTTAAGACTAGATTGAATGGTCTACAAATTAAGGAAAAGATCAGGAAATTAAAGAAAGGTCAAGAATTAATATTTTTAAGAAAAGGGCCAAGAATCAAAAATTTTTTTAGGCCAAGAATTATTAAAATTCTAAAATAAAAATTAAAAAGCCGTTCTTAAAAGTAAAGAAAAATGGAGATAGTAATTATAATAGTTAATGTTTGTATAACACAATTTAGAGAGATAAGCACTAATAATATTCACAATCAGAGTCCCTCCCCTCCTCAAATATATTTTAAATAAATATTGGAAAATCAAACCACTTATTAATAATTGACCGGGCAATTAAGTAAATATAAAAAAATATTTTTTGTATTTAAAATATAGTTAGAAATTAGAAATGTTTTAGAGAGAAAATATAAAAAAAGAATGCCCACAAAATTTTTTTAGTAAGAGATAGAGCAACAAAAAAAATTTTTATATTCCTTAAAAATTGGTACATTTTCCTCTTTTTTGATAAGAGGAAAGAAGAAAATGAGACGAAAATTTTTTTCCTTTTTACCTTTCCCCCTTATAATACCGCCACCTTTCATTCATTCTCTTATCAGTTCACTTTTAAGGGAAAGACTATAAAATATTAATTTTTGTAGTTAAACACCTCTAAATGGCTAAAAAGGAGGTTGAGTGTTAGGGAGGAGGTAGTGTCAGAAACTTGAAAAATTAAGGTTAAAGAGAAAGGGAAATAACCCCACAATTTTCTTATGATTTCTAATTGACATTTTTTTTAAATTACTTACAACAAATATTATTATTTTGGCATTATCTAAGTCCAGACATATTCACGGATACGGATATGAAGACATTTGGGCCTTTTGAAAAATTTTGAGTTCTGATCACTTTGGGAAAAACGGATACATCCGCGGATATGGTCAAAAAGTCACGGATATAACCAAAAATTTTTAATTGGATACAGATATTAAAATCTGTATCCATGAACATGCCTGCTTAATTCTAAAAAGAACAAAAAAAAAATAAAAAAAACCTTTTTAACCTAAACTTTAATAGCGGGTGAAGATCCATTGTGATTTTCAATCCTATCAATTAAACCAAATTCCAATGCCTCGCTAGCACTCATAAAACGATCCCTTAAATTTTATTTTCCCCTCAAAAATTTTAAAAATTAAAAAAACCTGTCCAACGTCTCAGCAATTTTTTCTACTGTCTGCCCTGTATGATGAGCATAAATTTCATTCAAACGTTCTCGATTTCGGCTCAATTCTTCAGCCATAATTAAAACATCAGAAGCCATTCCTTGTGCACCTCCAGAAGGTTGATGGACCTTTAAATTGGAATTTTTGAAAAAATTCAATTTTAAACAAAAATAAACCATAATTCGTGCATTTGGTAATGATACACGCATTCCCTTCTCTCCCGCTGCTAATAATAAGCTTCCCATTGAACATGCTTGTCCAATACCTGAAGAGCAGAAATTAATAATTAAAAAAAATTTTCACTTACACCAAGTTGAAACTGGCGCAGAAATGTATTGCATCCTAACGAAATAAAAAAAAATTTTTAATTAAGAAAATAAATCTTAAAAAAAATTTTTTTTTAATTAAAAAAATGTTTTCAATTAAATGAAAAATTTATAAAAAAAATTTTTTTTGACCAAATAAAAAATATTCAAAATTACGTGTCATATATGCCTAAGCCTGCAGTGACAACACCACCTAAAAAATTAAAAAAAAATTAATATAATCCCTTTTATTAAAAAAAAATACCCGGACAATTTATGTACATATTTATCGGACTTTTTCCACTTTCTCCTTGAAGAAACAACAATTGTGCAATGATCGATGCTGCTGTGTAATCATTAATCTGTCAATAAAAAAAAGAGAAAATGCAAAATTGAAAATAAATTATAGTTGTAATACATATTTATTAGGGTTTGTGTTTTCCGAGAAAGAATAAATTAATTTAAATTTGTGTTTTTTTCTGAAAAATAATTCTGATTTTGTATTTTTAATTTTTATTTTATTCTGGTTTTGTATTTTCCGGAAACACATTTTAATTTCAGAAATTCTGATTTTTTTAAATGTGTTTTTCCGAAAATTCTGATCATGTATTCTGACATGTATTTTTAATTTTTATTTTATTCTGGTTCTGTATTTTCCGGAAAATACATATTTTAATCCCAGAAATTCTGATATTGTTTACTTAAATTTGTGTATTTTCTGAAAATAATTCTGATCATGTATTTTTAACTTTAATTCTGATTTTGTATTTTCTTAGGCTTAACACATTATTTTTGTTTGTATTTTCCGGAAAAAATATTTAAAGTTTTGTGTTTTTCTTTTAATTCTGATTTTATTTTCCTTGTATTTTTAAATATTCTGATTTTTGTATTTTTCAAAAACACATTTAACTATTTTTAAATTTTATTCTGATACCTGAGACATAACGCAAATAATCCTGTCCTTTAACAATCGAGAATAAATGTCGTAAAAACGTTCTAAAAATTAAAAAAATATTTTCATACAAAAAATAACATACCAACACGTCCATCATTGTCAAGCACTTTAAAAAAATATTTTTAAAATTAAAAAAATATTTTAAAAAAAAACCTAAAGGAACCACTCCAGTCCTTGAAGGTGATGATAGAGAAAAAGCTCTTTTTGTAATATTGCGAAATGAATTGGTGATGAGCATTTATTAAAGAAATATTTTTTTAGTTATCAAAATCTCTGAAAAAAAATTAAATTAAAAATTATCGAATCTCCCAAAAAGTCCGCAATTTTTATCTTTATCCGCAAGTTATTTAAAATTTATTTTATCAAAAAAAAAGAGAAAAAAGGAAGAAGCGATAAAATAAATTTAGTTATTATTTTATAAGACTTGCAGATGAAATAAAAATTTGCAGATAAAAACTTGCGGATTTTTAGAGAGCAAAAGAAAAAGGAAAATATAAAAGAAAGATTAATCACGTTTTTGCAGAGTAATCAATTTTAAACTAATAGAGAAAAATAAAGGTGGAGGAGAGCGCGTGTTAATTAAAGTTGTTTTAATTATTCCTTCTCATCTTTGCTAATCACGCGAAAAATCGAAAAAATTTTTTAGATAATTTTAGAGAATTTTTAGAAAAATGTGTTCACAAAGGGATAAGGTTGGTCACCTCTCATAAAAAATTATTAAAAATAATTTTTCAGGAAGTTTTGAATATGATTTTGAATCCAAATTTGCCCTTCAATTTTGACAATGAAAAGGAGAAGGAAGAAAATAAAGGTTAGAAAAATTTTTTGAAAATTCTAAAATTTTTTAAAAATTTTCTAGAAGATTATTCACATTTACAAAATTATAAAGAAAGTGAAATTCAAAATTTGGAAGGTGTAAAGTTGGCCGAGGAAGAAAAATTGGAAGAGGCTTTGGAGAAGTTTAATAGTGCTATTGAAGTAATTTTAGGAATTAAAAAAAATTTTTTTTTCATAAAATTTGGTAATCAATCGAAACGAAAAAAAGAAGGGAAAAATAGCCGAAAAAATTCAAAATTTTAAAAAATTAAGGACCAAAAAAATCAAATCTCTAAAAATAATGACAAATTAGGCCAGGAAAATCCCAAGTCTAGGAAATAATTTCAAAGTTAAAGGACAAAAAAGGCACTAAAACTTTTAGAAAATACCTAAAAATTCAAAAAAAAAAATTGAAAAAATAAAAGAAAATACAAAAAAAACCCCAAAAAATCTTAAAAAGCCCCCAAAAATCCAATCTCAAAAAATCTAATTAAACCTGTAACCAACTCCTTTTTAAAAAATTTAAAGATTTGCCCACAAAATCCATCTGTTTACAATAATCGGGCACAGCTATATCTTCTTATGAAAAAGCCTGATGAAGCTCGACTTGATTTGAACAAATCACTTGAATTAAGTACAGGCAAGGGTAATTGCGCTGCGCAAGCATATGTTCAACTTGCTTTGATTCATCGTTTAAATGGAGAGGAAGAATTTGCAAAGGTTGTTTTTCTTTAGAAAATCTAGAAAATTTAAAAAATTATTTTCAAGATCGAATTTGAAAAAGCTTCAGAATTGGGATCTAGCTTTGCCAAAAAACAATTGGTAGCTATGAATCCGTGAGTTTTTCTTTAAAAAATTTCAGAAATTTTTTTTTCAAAAAATCGAAAAAAATTTTTGAAAAAATTTTCAAAGAATTTTTTTTGTGAGAAAAAAATTTTTCTCACAAAAATTAAAAACAATAAATAAAAAAATAAAATGATTCTTTAGAAATCAATTTATGTACTTAAAAATAAAAAAAATAATTTTTAAAATTTATTCTTTAAAAAAATATTTAGATATGCAGCCATGTGCAACAAAATGCTAGGAGAAATAATGGTAAAATTACGACATGGAGAAGGAAATGATTAATAAAATATTTTTTTTTCTTGACTATACTAAACAATACTAAATAATTAATATTTTTATGGGAAAAAGAAGGGAAAAATAAAAAAAATATTTTAGGGTGATTGGAATTTTTTGTTTGGTTTGTTTACTTAAAAGGGACCATCGTTTACTGTGATAACAAATCTGCTATATTTTTTGGTTTCATTCGATAGAGGACCCTGGACTTCCTATTGCAAAGTGATATTAGTTTTCTTGCAAATTGACTTTGGACCAAGTTATGTCCGGTCAAAGTTGAACTGCTAAAGTCTGGAAGTAAAAAAAAAGAGCAACTTGTCTCTTATGCTTTTTCCAACCATTAAAAATTTCAACAAAAAAAATTCCAAAAATCACCCCACAATATTTTTTAAATTAATATATTAACAATTATAAGTCTCATTACAGAGAACAGAAAAAAGGGAGGAAGATCCTAATAATAATTATGAATTAAATTGCACTATACATACATACTTTTTTTTAAATATTAGATTAATTTTAGGCAGTCACTCGGGAGTATTTTGTTGATTATGCACAGAAAAATAAAAAAAACTTGATATACTTATGTAGAGATTTTTCTATGCCAATTAGAAGTTTTTTAGTCATCCATACTGTCCCTGTTCACCTTAAAAATAAAAAAGTTAAATTCCAAAAAAAACTTTTAAGGAAACGTTCTAGTCTGGTCCTTCAAATATAAAAATTTTTCAAAAGACGAAAAAAAATTTTTTTGACACAAAATATAATTTAAAGAACAGATGCCATGTATTCTTCATTATTGAAGGAACCGTTCTATCAATTCTTTTAACTAAAAAATATTTAACCCCCTTGAAAAAATTTTTAACTCAAAAATAATTCAAGAAAAGATCACCACCTAGTCTTGTTTCAAAAAGATTTTTTTTGATTTATTTCCGAAAAGGAACTGTTTCCATCTATCCCCCATTAAAAAATATAAAAAAAATAAAAACCGGTGGAAACGGAAATCCATGTGTCATATCCTGTGCTGGCCATTCATATGTCTCATTAATTAAATCCTCATATTTGACCGAATATAGTTGAGATCTAATAAACATTTCTTTATCTTCAGGTTCAGGATATAATTTTGCTGTTCCATCTTTGTAACATTCATCGGCAATTTTTATAGCAATTTTGATAGAAATTTCTTTAATATCTTTAAGTCGAGAATAAATACGTCCTTCTGCTAAACATTTGTCACTTACACATTCAGCGACAGTCTTTTAAAAAAAAATATCATTAAAAATTTTTTTAAAGAAGAGTTTATGGAGCAAATCAGGCTAGCGGGAGTCTATTGGAGCCAAGCCTATCAGAAACCAATCATTTCATAGGAAATCTAGATCTAACAAGAGCCCAGTCAATCGCAGGGCTTACAACTAACAATAAATTCATAAAGGGAGGACCTAGAGTTCAAAAACATTTCAGTGTGTTCATAAGGGCTTTAGTTCCAAAAAGTCAGTAAAACCGATAACCTAGCTAAGATTCTGGCAGACTAGGCTCATAAGTAAACTCTAGTCTGCTCTCAAATCTAGTCCTTAAAAAACCCAAAAAACATTTTAAAAATAAAAAAATACATTAGCAGCTAACAAAAACAGATTATTGTTAATTGTAGACAATTTAAATAAAATTGCAGCCAATGCAATACCCGGAAATATATAAGCATTATTTCCCTGTCCAGGTTTATATATGCGACCATGCATTTCAACATTTTTGAATGGACTACCAGACGCAAAAAGAACACTTCCCTAAATTTTTTTAATTATAAAAATCTTCGAGGGGTTGACTTCGATATGGTCGAAAAAAGTCGTTCAAAAAAGCTCGTCGAATAATAGAAAACCAGTCTGCGTTCGTATATGGGCCGGAATAGAAAAACTGAAAAATCAAAAAAGCATAGGGCGACAAGTTCTCTCAAATGAGCAACGAATTTTTGATCCCAAAAATCCGGTTGCCTCCATGGTTTTTAAACATTTGGGGTACGCCTATAACAAGAGAGGGAACGAGAGCCTACGAACTCTTTCGAATCGCTCATAACAAAGTCTAAGAACTCACAAATCAAATAAAATATTCCAAAAAATTTAAAAAAAACCTTGGTATATCTAAAAGCATTTTCTGCAGTACATTCAGCTTTATCTGTTGGATTTGACAACGCAAAAATTATTGGACGCAAATTTATTTCTGCCATAGTTTCAATAATTTCTCTTGTAAAAGCACCTCCAACAGTTGATGCTCCAATTAATGCATTAGGACGAACAGTTTTGACAACTTCCAAAAGAGAACGTGTTGGTTCCATATTTTTAGCAAATGGAATATGACGATCTTCAATATTTTTGCGAGAGGTTGTTATTAAACTGGAAAATTAGGAAATCATTTTTGAACTAAAAAAAAATTAAAATTGACCCAAATTTATTCCCACAAAAATTCTTTAAAAATTAAAAAACCCAAAAATACCATAAAAAATGAAAAAATACAAAAAATTTTCCAAATAAAAATTAAAAAACCACATTCCCTTTATTTTAAATATATCCAGAATATACCCACTAATCATTATCTGTAGAAGCTTGTTTGCGTAAACTATAAAGAAATAGAGAAGAAAGATAAAAAAATAAATCAGAAAAGCTCTTTAAAAAAATTCTGAATTTATTTTAAAAAATTAAAAAAATATTAAAGAGCTTTTTGAAACAATTTAAAAAATAAAATTTAGATAAAGAATCTTACTTAAACTTAATTGAAAAAATCAAAATTAAATAATAAAGAAAATACAAAAGAATAAAATCAGAATTCTAAAACAGCTTTAATTCTGAAATTTAAAAATTTCAGAAAAAATTTCAGAATTAAAACTTATTCAAAAAACACAAAATAAATACAACACACAACCTTTCCGGAAAACACAAAAATTAAATAAAATCTCAAAAAAATACAAAATAAATACAATCAGAAATTAAATAAAAATCAGAACTTTTCCGAAAAAAATACAAAAATAAAGTTCGAAAATACAGAAAACCTTAGCAGAATAAAAATCAGAATTTTACAACTTTTCCGTAAAAATACAAAAAAAACACAGCGAAATAAAAATCAGAATTTTATTAATTTTCCGAAAAACACACAAACGACTCTTAAAAATACAAAACAATAACTTACCTATATTATTACCTATTTTCATTTAACCAGAATTTATTTCAACCTCCCAACCCAACTTACCTTATAGAATTTATTTTTAATAAAAAAATTTAAAAATAATTTTTTTGCACTTACCCATCAACATCCATCAAATAAATTTTTGAACAAGCATCTTCTTTTGATAAACCTTCATTTTGCATTTGTAATACAACCATTTCAGCAATACCCAAAGCTGCCTAAAAATCACAAAAAAAAATATTTTTCAAAAAATAAATTTAAGAAATACCCCTCCAGCACCCAAAAAGACATAGGAACTTTCAGACATTTTCTTCTTCGTAACACGTGTACAAGCAAGTAATCCGGCAACAACAACAGATGCAGTTCCTTGAATATCGTCATTGAACCTTGGAAAAATTTTTATTTAAAATTTTCAAAAAAAAATTTTTTAAATTTACATGCAATAATCATCCCGATAACGCTCCAATAGACGATAAGCATTTTTATTGCCAAAATCTTCAAATTGAATTAATACATTTTGGCCATACCTAAATCAATGACATTTTTAAAAAATCTATTCAAAAAAAGGTAGACAAACTTCTTTCGACAAGCTTTCATAAAATTATCCAAAAGAGTATCATATTCTGGTCCAGTAACTCTATTACGACGTAGACCAATATAGAAAGGACTGAAAAAATAAAATTAAAAAATATTCAAAGTGGCCATTTCATCCCAAAATGCAAAAATGGACATTTCATCCCAAAATGCAAAAATGGACATTTTGTCCCAAAATGCAAAAATGGACATTTAGTCACAAAATCCAAACATGGACATTTTGTCCCTAACTTAAAAATGGACAATTTGTCCCAAAATCCAAACATGGACATTTTGTCCCTAACTTAAAAATGGACAATTTGTCCCAAAATCCAAACATGGACATTGTCCCAAAATCCAAAAATAGACATTCTGTCCCAAAATCCAAAAATGGACATTCTGTCCCAAAATCCAAAAATGGACATTCTGTCCCAAAATCCAAAAATGGACATTCTGTCCCAAAATACAAAAATGGACATTTTGTCCCAAGATGCAAGGGCATCTTGTTATCTTAACATTTATTTTTAAATTCAAAAAACCAACTCATCCAACAATTCCTGATTATCAGTCCCAACATCAATTAAAACAGGCAAACACCACTTAGGTTGTATACCAGCCAGAGCAACATATAAAGCCAATTTTCCAACAGGAATGCCAATTCCGTAAGCTCCCAAATCGCCTAATCCAAGAATTCTTTCTCCATCGGTAACCACAATAGCTTTGATTTCGTTGAATTTCCAATTGCTAGAGAAAATTTTTTTGAAAAATTCCAAAAAATTTTTAAAAAACCTCAAAATTTGGTATATTTTACTGACGCTGTTGTCGTTTATAGTAATGTAGACACCTCTAAAAATTATGAAAATTTTTAAAAAATTGTAATCAAAAAATACTTCGGATTTCGATAAATAAAGCCAAATTGCTGACATGCCAAACCAACAGTTGGAGTGTAACTAAAATAAAAACAAATTGAAAATGGAATTTTAGTCGAAAAACATACACTATCGGCATCAATTCCTTCAAATTATCACACAAAACACGGTAGAATAATTTCTCGTTTCTGTCCTAGAAAGAATAAATTTTATACAATTATAAACCAGTATTTTTACAAATCCAAAACCCGGATTCTAGGCTTAGTTCTGAAGATTAGGTTCGGACTCTAAATTTATTCCGACGTAAGTGTGGAGTCCCTGAAACCCCAAATACTGACTTTGACTCAGAGTTGGAGTTCAACCTTGGTTTAGACTCTGGATCTATTTGCTGACCTGGAAATAGAGCCCTAGAGCCCGGAAAAACCTAACAACGCCAAGATGCTCATAAAATATCTATGTCAGATCTCTGGTTACAGTAAAACCTATACCTTCACCCAAATTCCAGTTCTATATTTACTCAAAAATAGTCAGTATTTAAAACCTGAAGCGCATCCAACTGAATATAGCGGGCCAAATCATTAGGCTGTTTACGCAATTTAGAAATCACTCGATAAGCCTGCTGTTCTTCTGTCATGAACGCTGGAGGCAACAGACCATGAATTCCCAGATACTGGCGTTCTTGGAGTGAGAAAGCCATTCCCTTTGAAAAAGAAAAAATCAATGAATTCAAAAAGAGAAAAAAAGAACCTTATTCAAATCAGGAGACTTGAGCAAATCAACGCCTCTAACACTTGGGGTAACCCGTTCAGCTCGATAAAGTTTATAGAGAGCCTTCTGCTTTGGATCTAAAAATAAACTTTAGGAAGAAATTTAAAGTTAAAAACCGTCCAGATTCCATTCACGAGTAAGGAATTGAGTTGTCGAAAGAAATCTAGAAAAGTTAAAAAAGAAGATAATGAAAAATTAGGAAGAATCTTAACCTTTCTGACGAGGACAAGAGCATGTCGAGACGAGACGTTTTAAGAATTGACCCAAGCATTTTTTGGCTGTTAATATTCTTCTAAAACAACCTAGAATTGGACAAAAATTAAATTTTAAAGAAAAAAATTTATACGAACAAAATACGGACCGAAACTGACAGAAACAACACTTAAATAAAACAAAAATGAAGAAAAAAATTTTTTTGAGATTTTTAATAATTCGACACTTTGAAAAAATACATTTTTACTTTTTTAACTAAAATAAATTTCAAAATGTCGATTTTTAAGTTCGGTCAAAAGGTGTTTTCTTGGCTTACTCATCGGTTTTTGTTTGTTTTTTTTCTTTAATTATCAGCTTTTAATTTACTTTATTTTTATTTTCAGATTTAATCTCTCATATTTTCACAAATTATATTTAAAAATGACTGCCTCTACAGCACTTCAAAAGGCTATAGAACTTGTAACCCGTGCAACAGACGAAGACAAAAATAAAAATTATGAGGAAGCATTGCGGCTTTATACTGGTTCTTGTGAATATTTTATGCATGCTTTAAAATGTAAATTTTTTTTTAATTTTTTCAGAAAAATTATTAGTCTTTAATAGGGTTGGCGATCCTGGTAATCCACGTATCCGATATCCTAACCGAAAATTTCCTGGGGATCCTGACTTTTTTCTGATCCGAATCCGCCAACCTCTTTTACTCCCATAACCTATTTTTATTACTTAAAATTCCACGAAGAATTCTGACCCACCTCCGCCCACAGCGAATCATTCCTCGAATTTAATAATTAAACAATTTTTAGATGAATGCCAAGCTGAGCGTCAAAAAGAAATTATTCGTGAACGAATGCAAGAGTACATGAAGCGTGCTGAGGATTTGAAGGTTTTTTTTCTTTTTTCAATTTTGGAGGAATTTGAGGAAAATTCTAAATTTTTTTTCTTTTTTCTACGTCCCTTTGCCGTCGTTTTCTTTTCTCTTATCCTTTGTAAAAATTTTTTTTGGATATTTTGTCGACGTCTCTTTGTCCCTCCACTACCCCTCAAAAAATTCTAAAATAATTTTTAAAAATATCTCTTTCAGGATCACATCAAAAAGACCTCAAACAACTCAAAAGGAGGCAAACGTCCAGTTAAAGAAGACGATAAAGATTCTAGCGGCGATGAAGAAGATGGAAATAAAAAATTTCAAAAGGCTATAAATAAAGCTATTGTAGTCGAAAAACCAAATGTTAAATGGGAGGATATTGCTGGGTTAGATGGTGCTAAAGAGGCGTTGAAGGAGGCTGTTATATTGCCAATAAAGTTTCCACATTTGTTTAAAGGTTTGATGTTTTTTTTGAAAAAAATTTAGGGTTAGGATGACGACAATTTTACTTATTGTTAGGTTCCCTCCCTTTTTATAATTTTTTTGGATGAGTTCCGCTGCTTTTGGAATATACGCCATGTTCCAAAAAAATTTTTAAACAAAAATTTATTTAAAATTTTCACTAGGCGCCCCAAAAATCTCCCCAATTATCTCTCTATTTTCCTTCAATTTTTTCCCTATAAATTCTGTGTAAGCCCAATATGTTGATTTTGGTGAGGGTGGTGGTGGTGATGTTGTTGTGCTTGTGCCCCCATAACACTTTTATGTGCTCTAGCAGTCAAAGCCATATCCTCCTCTTTCATTTGTGCTAATGAAAGTCCATAAAGTAGAGGAGATACAGCTGAGGGGGCATAACCCAAAAACATAGCCAAAACAGGAATTGCCGAATCCAGGCCAAAGCGCCACGTTCCACTCATTGTAATAACATAAAATGGGACTTGAAATATAGGCCTGGAAAATTTTTTAAAAATTTTTGAAATTTTTAAAAAAATTTAGAAATTACCCTGCCAAAAAAGCATAAACCAAAAATCGACTTTTGTAAAGTCCAATACTTTGAAACACAATAGGAGAATGATAAAGTATTTTTAATACTTTAATATACGAATAATATGACAAGCCAACAGGGAGGCCCACACATAGAATAAGTAAATAAGTTAGAAATTTGTAGCTGTAATCTGTACTGCCCCATACACAATGTCTGAGCACCTAAAAATTGAAATTAAAAAATTTTTTTGGGAAGACTGCCAGGCATTTTTGGGATTATCTTTGCATCGGGGATCATGCTGGTCCTATTTACAAAAATTTCGTGGATTTCTGGCGGTTTTTGGGTCATAAATCGATTTTTCTGTCTCCAAGATATCTCCAAGGGTTTTCTGTCTCAAGATCCTTTCTCAAGTCCCCCAAGATCCCTTCCCATCCATCTTACTCTAAAAAAATATTTTTAAAAAATCCTTTTACCGGATCATGCACCACAATATGCGAATTTGTAATACACGGCAAAGCAATTGTAAATGCTACTATCCACGCTAGCACACATAAATAAGCTGGGGGAAGGCCAAAAAGTTGGGCATAATGAATGCGAGCAAATGTAAGTAAATGAACTCCAGCAATGCAAAGGGTCATAAAGTGAACAACCGTCCATTCGGAACACATTAGAAATGTCTGTAAAAAATTTTGGAATTTTTCAGAAAAATTTTTAGTCGAAAAAAACCTGAATTCTACACGCCATATTATTATTAGGCCATAAATGTGTCCCAGACCACAAATTTGCCAAAAATAGGGGGACCAAAACTCCAAGCCCAATCATATTAGTAACACAAAGATGGGCAATAAAATGGGAAGAAACAAAATTTCTATATAATCGACGGCAGCATATATAGCTTAAAAGCATTAGGTTGGCTAAAAATCCAAATGCAGCAATTGCGCCTAAAGGGAAGACTAGTGATTGATAGGCGTAATTTTGTTTGTTATTGTGGATTGAATTTGTGTTGTTATTATAATTTATTTTTGAAGAAGACATTTTCTGAAGCAGGCGGAATTTATTTTTTACAAATTGTAAAAATAGGCGGATTATTTTTTACAAATTGTAAAACAGGCGGAAATTTTTGTAAAGAATTGTAAAATTGTTGTTGTTTTTCTTTCAAGTTTTTATATTTTTCTGAAGCAGGCGGAATTTATTTTTTACAAATTGTAAAATAGGCGGAATTTTTGTAAAGAATTGTAAAATTTGTTGTTGCTTCTCTCAAGTTTTTTTTATTTTTATGAAGCAGGCGGAATTAATCTGAAAATTGTAATTTGAAGCAGGCGGAATTTATTTTTTACAAATTGTAAAATAGACGAATTATTTTTTATTTATTTTACAATTTGTAAATTAAACTTTTCAACTTTTTTTGCTTCTTTCTGCCCCCTTTTTAGCGCTTTTAAAAATATACAAAGGGGAAAAGGACAAGGCAGATTTTATCGAATAGTCTATACACTTGCTTTTTCTAGTTTTAATGCTAACAATAAAAGCAATGGCCACAAAACAAAAAATATATCTATTTTTTGTTTTTAAGTTAGAGAAAGAGAAAAAGCACCAGGCGCTTTTGGGGATATTCTTTTTTGGGGTGTATGGAGTATTTTTTCTCCCCTTTCCGGTGAAGAAATAAAAATTTTCCCCAAAATTTCTCGACCAAAAAAAATTTTTTTTGGGGGAAAAAAATTTTTCCCCTTATTTTCTAGTTTCTCATCCCTTTGGAATATTAAAAAAATTTTTAGAAAAATTTTTTAACCTTTCAGGAAAACGCACACCATGGCGAGGAATTTTACTTTTTGGACCACCAGGTACTGGAAAGTCTTATATTGCCAAAGCTGTTGCAACTGAAGCTCAAAATTCAACATTTATTTCTGTTTCCAGCAGTGATTTAGTTTCCAAATGGCTCGGAGAATCAGAAAAGTATCTAAAATTAAAAATTTAATTCAAAAAATAATTTTATAGACTTGTTCGACAGCTTTTTGAGATGGCACGAACAAATAAACCTTCCATTATATTTATTGACGAAGTTGATTCTTTGTGTTCATCAAGGTTTGATTTGCTTAAAAAATTTTTTTAACCTTAAAAAAATTTCTAAATCAAATAAATCATTTTTTAGATCCGATAACGAATCCGAATCTGCTCGGAGAATAAAAACTGAATTTCTTGTCCAAATGCAAGGTGTTGGCCATGACATGGAAGGAATTTTGGTTTTAGGTTTTTTAATAGAAATTTCAAAATTTTCCAAATTATTCTTTTTAGGAGCAACAAATATTCCATGGGTTTTAGATGCTGCTATTCGACGTCGTTTTGAGGTTTTTTCCTTTCTAAAAAAATTTTTTTTAAATTTCCCTCCCTTCAGAAACGCATTTATATTCCTCTTCCTGACACAAATGCTCGTAAAGACATGTTTAAATTACACATTGGAGATACACATACAAGCTTAACTGAAGCAGATTTTAAGGAATTGGCAGTAAAAACTGAGGGTTATTCAGGGCATGATATTTCTATGGTGGTAAGAGATGCGTTGATGCAGCCAGTAAGAAAAGTTCAAGATGCTACTCATTTTAAACGGGTTTTTATTTTTTTTTAAACTATACATTCACTCATTATAAGCTTCCTTTAGATTTAATACCCACCGGTTCAAGATACGTTTTTAAAAATTTAATGATCATCAGGATTGGGTCAAGGTGGTGCCCGAGACCAGGCCCGACTTTTTTTCTATACCTAGCTCATTTCTATTTGTAGTCCCAATGGTTTATGGTTGGGACTTAAACCAGCCCCACTCCCTCCCGAAAACAATCTTTAAAGCCTCCCGAAAATAATCGGTGGCTTTTTTTAAAATTAATTTTAAAGGTTAGTGGACCTTCCCCACTCGATGCAAAATTAATTGTTCATGATTTATTGACTCCTTGTTCGCCTGGCGATGCTGGCGCTATTGAAATGTCATGGTTGGATGTGCCGTCTGATAAATTAAGCGAGCCAATTATTTCTATGGTTTTTTTAATTTTTTAAAATTAAAAAAAAATTTTTTTCTTAAAGAATGACATGATCAAATCTTTAATGAGTACAAAGCCAACAGTTAATGCAGCAGATTTGCACAAATTAGATGAATTTAAGAAGGATTTTGGACAAGAAGGATGAGAAAAATATTGTTTAAATGAAAAGATGAAGCAGAATAAATACTTTTAATTTTATTTTGTAAAAGTGTTTGAGGTATGAATATTTTTTTGCTTAAGTTTACATTCATCTTTATACATATTATTTAATCGAAAATAAAACTCGAAACACACATTTTACAAAAAATAAACTTGAAGCAGAATTACAAAATAAACTTGAATCAATCACAAATCAGAAAATAAACTTGAATTGTGAAAAATAATTAAAAAAAGATAAAACCTGAAACAGAACTACAAAATCAGAAAAAATAAACTTAAATCAGAAATTCCTTCTCATATCAGAAGAAAATAAAACTTGAAGCACTTACAAAAACAGAGAAAATAAACTTACTTGAATTTTAAAAAAAATCAGAAAAAGAAACTTAAAATCAGAACTTGAAGCATTTACAAATCACAACACCCTTACATTGTTTTTACCCCTTCCTCTTTTCACCTTATTTAAAAGCAACAAAATACACACACAAGTGAAAGTGATTATTAACACATCAAAAGCTATCAAAAAAATGCAAGCGCCGATAACACAAAAAAAATCTCTCCTTTCATTCAGTTAGTAACGCTAATTCACCTTCAAATATATCCTGCTTAAAATTAGGTCATTATATCATTCAAGAACAAAAATCACACACAAAAATACACCTCAGATTTTCCAAAAATTCAAAAAAAATTTTACCCCTCTAAAAATGATTCTATTACCATTTTTATTATTTTTCCTCTCTGGAATTTCTGTTTCTGCTGAAACCCACAAATTTCATCACTGTTTTGACCGTTACAATAACCACAAAATTATTGGGGGACGATTTATTATACAACCCTTCCACAGCGAGTGGAGAATTGGAGGAGGAGAAGCTCGTTGTATTGGTAAAAAAATTTAAAAATTTGAGGCTAATTAAAAATGTCCAACAACCAAAAATATGACAAAATGCCCAATAACCAAAAATATGACAAAACGCCTAATAACGAAAAAATATGACAAAACGCCCAATAACCAAAAATATGACAAAACGCCCAATAACCAAAAAAATTACAAAACGTCAAAAATTCCCCTATTTTTACCCAGATTTCTGCATCAGATCTCTAGTAAGTTTAAGCTTTTTTAACTCAAAATCTAAAACAATCCAAGAGCCGTTGCGCTTCAATAGTATTTGACAAACACGAACACATTTGCCACTATTTTTCTATTGGTGGACTAGACAATGTTGTACCCGAAAAAGGATTTGTTTATTTAAGCCTTATATCTAAAGAGTGTATTGTTGGCTCAGAAGAAGATAAATCGGAAGCAAATCAAGAGAACAGAAAAAACACAACAAACACATCAACACCCACAGCCACAACAACAACAACAATATCACCACCTCCCCCTCCTTCCTCTCCAATAATTGTAACACCCAAGAAATACAACAGAGAGAATCAAAGCATTATCGAGCCTACTATCGAGAAGCAACAAATTTCAAAATTTTCTAAACAAGAAGTTGAACAATTTTTGTTGAATGAGGAACACTTTACAACGATGATAACAACCGAGAAACCATTGGAGGAAACAGAAGCTGAAGGTAAAAAAGTTTTTTTTGTTTAAAAGGTCAGAGTTGAAGCCTTAAAATGTCCAAAATCCAAGACGTCCCAACCTCAAAACCCCTCAAACCCCCAAAACGCCCCAACCCTCAAACCAGCCCTCCCCCAAAAAATATCAAAAAACCCCTCCTTTCATCAATTTCAGATTCGATCAGTTTTCTAGAAGAAATTGATAGAGAATTAAGAGAAAAGGAAGAAGAAAATCCAGAAGAATCAGAAGAGGGACTGGAAGCTCGATTAAAAGAAGAACAAAATTTAATAATAATTCCAACCCTTTCAATGCTTAAAATAAAGAAAAGGATAAAAAATGAAGAAGAAGAATTAAAAGAAATTAGAAGACATCCAAGACTAGACAATTATATCAACAATAAAAACAATAGAGTTGATAATTATTTGATTAAACAACAAAATCGAGTTGGAAAAATAAATAAATTAAAAGAAGAAAATGAAGGTTTTTAGTTAGAAAAAAAAAATAAATTTTCCCTCCTAAATTTTTCATGGAAGACCTCTCCCTTCAATAATTAATAAAAAAAATTCCCATAATTCACCCCCCTTTCTTAAGACCCATGATATTTTTTTGGACGTAGTAAACTATCAAAAATATTAATTCAAAAAAACAAATGTCAGAAAATAAGCCTTAAAAAAATTTTTTTAAAGAAAATCACCCCCTTTTCAAACCAATTCAATAAAATAGTTAAAGACTCAAGGGCCGATTCCCCCTTAATAATTTAAAAAATTAAAGCTTTTAGGTACATGATGAAGACAGGTACTTCATGAAGACATCCTCCTCCCTCCCCTTTTCAATAATAAAAAAAAATTAATTTACCCCCTCTTTCAAGGCTGCGGCACTGGAAAACAAGCAATTTGGATAGCTGTAGAAAATGCACGTTTTAATCCTAGCTCAATTGAACAATTCTCCCCCACCACCAACCATGACACCATCAGCCAAACCACCACCACCTCATTCACAACAGAAACCCCCAAAGAATGTGCCAAATTTTGTTCAAACACAATAACCACTTTCTTTGACAATTTTGGACGTCGACGCCGTTGCAATGCTTTTTCCTTTAATGAAAATGAAAAATTATGTCAACTTGCCTATTCAAATGTTGAGTTTCCGTCGATGCTGGTTCAAACAACAGAAGCTGATTTTGTACAGAGAGCGTTCAGGAGGCTTTGTTATGGTGGTAAGAGAGCTTTTTTGAAGCGTTAAGAGCTGAAAATATTACAAAATGTCCAGAACCCAAAAATATTACAAAATGTCCAGAACCCAAAAATATTACAAAATGTCCAGACCCCAAAAATATTGCAAAACGCCCAGAACCTAAAAATATTTCAAAACGTCCCAACCTCTAAAAAAATTTCAAAACCCCCCAAAATTCAATTAATCCCCTTTTAGCAAACTTTTCCCCCTTCTCTGGCTGCTCCGACTTTTTATCGTTTATGGACTACAAACTAAACGACGTTGCGATATCACCCAAAGAATTATATGATGGTTTACCACAAAATATACAAGGATTGTCTGCTTGTATTGAATTGTGTGTTTTGGCTAATGATTTTAATTGTTTGGTAAGTTAGAAAGGAAGGAGGGGGTTAACCCGAAAAAATTAAAAAAAACAATTCCTTGGTGTAGTTGGAAAAGTTTTAGTTTATCACAAAAATAGGTCGTGAGTTCGAACCCCGTCAGGGAGAATAATTTTCAAAAAAATTTTTCCGGACTTCTTTCATTATCTCTCTCTACTTTTCTCTCAATTTTCACCAAAATTTCCTTCTTGGTTTAGTTGAAAACGTTCTAGTTTCACAACCAAAATAGGTCGTGGGTTCGAATCCCGACACGGAAAATATTTTTTTAAACAATCTCTCAACTAATTTTAGAGTGGATTTTTTGACACTCTAAAAGGCAGATGTTTACTTTATAATGTCAATAGCCTAAGTAATCCTAGTGCTTTTTGTAAACACAATGGGAATGGACACCAATTATATTTTGAGGTTTCTTTAAAAAGTTTTTTCCACTCAAAAAATTTTTTTCTAAAGAATGGATGTGCTGAATCACACAAAGATGTCTCAGAATAGAATAAAAATTTATTAAAAACAGATTTCTAGATATTTATAATTTTTTTGAATTAAAAAAAATTTTTTTTCGCATTAATATTATGCATTAAATGAATTTAAAAAATTAAAATATAAATTCAACACAAACCTCAACCATTTTTTAAAAATTAATTTAACACAATTAATATTTTTTATACCCATGTAATAATTTACACATCCAAAAATATATATTTGTTTATATTCCTCAACCTCTCGATTTTTCTCCAAGATGAGACAACTTAAAATAAAAAATTTAAAAAGATATTTTTTTAAAAAAAGGAAATAAAGTCAAAACACAAAAATCATTTTTAGACATACCTCTCCCCTTGGACAGTAAAATGTCCTTTATAATGAGAGGTAGGTACATAAAAAAGAGATTCGTATCACCAGGTCTGTAACCAGGGGTAGGGGGGGGGTCTTTTGTTAAATTCCCTCCCCCCTCCTCCGAAATGGAGAAAAGGAAAAGATTTTGGAAGGGATTGAGGAAAAAAGTGAGGTTCGCACCTCCCTAGAACAAAAAGTCTTTTACAATGACGGGTACTTAGATAGGGGATAAACAAAAATGAGGTTTTCGACTGCATTTTTTAAAAAATCAAAAAAACCTGTTCAACAAAACATTTTGGGCTAACCATTTCTGTACATCCATAAGTTATTCTTTGTATTGATGGTTTTGTTTTTGCCCATTCAATAACATTTTGATATTCTACATAATTACCTCCACCAACTACAAAAACAATTACATCTACTACTGGATATGTTGAACGTAGTCCACTTAAAAAAATTTTTTTAAATTAAATTTAAATGAAAAAATTTTTTCTTCATATATTCTTATAGCCCTAAATGTCCTCTTTAATTTAAAATAAATTTATTTTTTTCCCACTTACTTAACTAAAAGTTATGCCCAAAAAACCTAAAAATCCTCACATAAAAATCACATTCAAACTCATTTAAAAATTCACAACTTTTTAAAAATTAAATCTAAAAATTCAATTTTATAATATTCTTAAAGTTCAAACTCTCCCCTATTTTTTTATATAAAAATTAAATTTTAATCTTTACTTAAACTAAAGTTATGGGAATTTTAATGTTGCTAGTTCGACGAAATTTTCCCACAAAAAAATAAAAAAAATCCCTTTATATTTCCCTTAGTGTAGTTGGAAATGTTTTGATTTAATAACAATTATATCAAAAATAGGTCATGGGTTCGAACCCCACCGACAGAAAAAGATTTTAAAAAATACTTTTTTAACTCTAAAAAATTTTTAAAAAATTTTCCAATCCTTAAAAAATTTTCTAAGGCCCCTAAAATTTTTAAAATTTCACAAAACTCTTTTATCGATCCTTGTGTCAATTTTGGGTCAAAAACACGAAACTCATCAGCTCCATCCAAAGCATTACTAGAACCACCAACACTTAAACCTGTTACAGACTGCATTCCTCCACTAATTTTAACTTCAGTTAATTGTTCTATCATCTTTTGGGAAAAATTAAATTTTTTAAAAATTTTCCAAAAAAAAACCTTAGTTAACGGCAAACAATGCTTCTTTGGAACTAAATTTTTAACTCCTTCCATTACAAATTTTGAACTTTGATTTAACAATTTTGAAAACATTCCAACTGTTTTGGTTCCCGCTCCCAAATGTAATTCTGTATGTCCACCAACATTTGAAAAGGATCTTTGAAAATTTTTTTGTGAAATATTTAATGGCCACGTTTTTATAGTCATCGACACATTAATTCCTAATAAAGCACGTGAACGTGTTGTGTGAGCTAAGCGGCTAGTCTTACTTAAGTTCGATTCTTAAAAATTTTTTTTAATAGTTTCAAGGCTTTAAAAAATTCATGTCATTAATTATCTCTCTAATAAAGCAACAGTTATTAGCCCCACATAACAAAAAATATGAATTTTCCTAATAGTTGAAGATTCACTCACGGCAAGTTCAGATGCCTGACCAACTAACAAGGTCGATGACTTTTCCAGTAAAAACCATGAAAATTAAAAACCTCAATTGTCTAACAAAATTTAAAGCATCTGGACTTATTCCCTTCTCTTCAAAATGAGCAAGTATTTCACGTTGTTCAGTCTTAAAAAAAAGGTTTTTTAACTAACAAAAAATTAAGAATAAAACCGTGCTTAAATTTTTAGAACATGCAGCAATTAATGCAAAACGTAATGCATCTTCATTAGTGCTACATTCACGCAAACATTCCATTAATGGTAAATCTGTTCAAAAAAAAATTAAAAGGATAAACTCCAATAGACCACAGGAAAATAAGAAGGCTCACGCGGGAACATTTCGAACTGTGACCAAAAATTTTTAATTTATAACTGCCAATTTTTGGCGTTTTTGGACATGATTCCAACTAGACACGGACCATGATTTCTACATGGGATATCACTGGTTCAACCAGAAAATTTTTCAAGACGAAGTCGGATCCAAAAAAAAATTTTTGAAAAAATAGACCCGACCATTCACTGAACCATCTCTGAACATCTGATCCTAACCCGGCCTTTTATGTAGGCAATAGAGTAAATTTCCCAAAAATTGCTCAAAAAAGGTCAAGGGACATAAAAAAAATTCTATTAGAATCAGGATCAAAGTGCCACTTTTAGAAAAAAACTTTAAAAAAATAAACACCAAACCTTGTCCAGTTAACAATTTTTCTTCAGTTTCATACAATATATCCAATTTTCTACTTTTTATATTATCTAACAAAGCTGTAGCTACATTTGTATGTAAATCAATTAATCTCTTCTTTTCTAGCAATTCTGGTAATGAGCCTACAGCACTTGAAAGTTTATTCGTTGCACTATCAAGTAAAAAGTCTGATTCATTTTCGATGATTGTGGAGCCCTCAATTCCCTTAAAAAATTTTAAAAAATTTATCTGGCGTTTCAAAGTATTAATGTTTTGAGTTAGAGACATTTTGAAAATTTTTTAAATTTGGGAGTTCAGTAGTGACCGGAGCCGGACCTGATTTTTCCGGAGTCCGGGTCTCAAATCCTGAGTTTTTTTTTAATTTCTGGATTAAAACCGGACCTGACTAATCCGGCCGGATTCGGTACGGCTCTAGTTGCAAATCTAAAATCCGGATCCAAAAAATCGATATTACCGGTCATTAGAGTTGGAAAAACTGGACATTTTTAAAATTTGGACGTTCCCAAAAAATATGACATTTCCGAAATTGGCCGTTTGAAACTTTTAAAAAATCCAAAAAATAAACCATGGAATCCTTCAATCTTCTAATTTCTTCTTCATTTTTTCTATATGCTTCCAAATCTTCTTGTATAGCTTCAGCTACCAAAGGGAAAGCACTTCCCTTATACGAATTAAATAATTTATCTTCATTGCTAAATTCATAATCTTTTTGACGGGCATTTTTATCTTTCATTCTGATACGATTTAAATCCATATCCTTTGTAAAAAAATTACAAATAAATTTAAAAAAATTTTTTCTAAGTTTAAAATAATTAATATAATCATTTTAAAGCTTTTAAAGCTAAAAATAAAGCAAAAACAAATACAAGGATTCGAACCTCCAACCTCGACCCTTGAAAATCCAGACCACTAACCATTCTACCACCCAAAAAAACAAAACAACTCTCAACTAATTAAACATATAGAAGGGATAACTACTAAAAAACCTCCCACAACACCTACCTAGTCAATTTTGTAAATTTAAAAATTATTTTGGGATCAAATGTCCTCCCTAAAAATTTCAAACCCCATATATAAAAAAACGCTAAAAATCCCTCAAAAAATTAAAAAAACCCAACCAAAATATCAGCAATCATAGCCTGATATGTCCACGTATGGTGTAGCATTGTTGATAAATCCAAACTTCTATCAGCAATAACCAAAACAGGTCGATGAATATTTAAATGACTGGCTCGGACATTTTCTTGAGTGAATAAATTGTTACGAGCATCACGCAAATTATCACGAATTTTTTGATCCAATTTCTGAAAAAGAAAATTTTTATTGAGTGGGCCTTTCGAGACACTGGGCGTTTTGAAAACTTTTGGGACTTTGGATGGCCATATCCTGGCCAAATCAAAAAACGGGCAAAAACGGCTCAAAATCCTAGCTAGAAAGGGCACATTCTCTATCGAATGAGCCCGGTCTCGACCATTTTTAGCTAGGACACTTTGGAACCTTTCCTTGTTAGGCGTTAGAAAAACCGGGTCATTTGAATTTAAAAAAATCAAAAAATAAGGTCGAGGATCCAATAACCCTTTTAAAAACCAAATTAAAAATTAAAAAAAAATTTAAAAAAAATTAAAAAAAACCTCAGCAACTCTTTCAGCCGCATTATTCTTCGGACACTTAATTATGGGAACAACACCCGAAGTTATACAAATAGAAAAAAGACCATTAGCTATACTTGAAATTATTTTGTTCATTGATTCATCACTGGCTGATGGATTGTTTAAGGCTTAAAAATAAAAATTAATTTTTTAAAAAACATTTTCTAAAAGGACATTTGGTCCCAAAATAAAAAATTAAAAAAATTTTTTACCAAAGAAAGAATAAGGGCTAGTTTGTGAATAACGACTCAACATAAACAAATCGTCTTCTAACGAGATAAATGCCAAGAATTGATCAGTGACCTAAAAAATAAATATTATTTTAGGATTTTGTTTATTTGGTAGACAAGTGACATTTCATCCCAACAAATAAAAAAAATATTTTAGACGAAATTTTCTCCCAGAAAAAATTTTTTTAGACAACATACCATTCCAATAATTAAAAATTTTTTAGACAGACGACATTTCATCCCCAAAAAAAAATTCCTAATGACAATTGATCCCAAAAATTCGCCAACTAATTTTTAAATTGGTATTTAAAAAAATTTTTTTAGACAGATGACATTTCATCCCAACCCCAAAAAAATTTTTTTAGACAAAAGTGACACTTGATCATAATCCAAAATTTCTCTAAGCAGATGACAGTTAATCCCAAAAAATAAAATTAGACAAATGAAATTTCGTCCCGAAAATTTTTTCTAGAAGGGTGACATTTCATCCCAAAAAATAAAAAAATAATCTTCCCCATATGACATTTGATCCCAAAACTTAAAAAAAATCCAAAAAACCTTTTGTACTTGTTGCACAATTCCCCCCTCAACAGCACTCAACGCCAAATCTTCCAATAAGGGTCTCGGCAATGGATATATCATATTAAAATAGTAACTATCATACATTGATTTTCTCAAATCATTACAAATTATTTGAATATTCGATTCTGTTGGCGATACAAAATAAACTGCTGGAACATCTGGCAAAGTTTCTCTTTGAGAATTTAGATGCCTAGAAAAAATTTTTTTTAATTATTTTAAAGTTTGATTTGGCTAAAAATTGAGAGGAAAAATAAAAGAAAATGGAAGGCGAAAACCATAAGAATCGAAAAACGAGAAGAGTATAAATCGGGCTGGGGCAAGTCGACGCCCAATACTTTCTTGCGTCCAGAAAAGTTCCCCGGCATTTTTTAGGCTTGTCCAGAGTTTCCCGGGCCTGTTGTCTTCTGGATTCCAACCATATCTCAGAGACTACCCAGGGCTTTCCTATATCTAGAGATTAACCAGCCACGGAGCTGTGGTTTTTAAAACTGCTTTGGATTCGAAAGAGATCAATAGATGCTTAATTTCTAAGGGTGGAAGCTTTTCAAGTGTCCAATAAAGGCCCAGGCATTTTATGTTATGTATCTACTTCGAGATGTAGTTCAGAAAACCTTCTAAACTTAGGAGACGACAGACACAAGAAACACAGACAGTTGGAATTAAGCCTAATTCAGGGACGGGCCCAAATCCTATCCAGGTACTTATTAAACACTCCCAAAAACGACCCCAAAAAATACCCCCAAAAAATAAATAAACAAACATGTGTAAAGTAACTCCAGCTTCTCTAAGTTGTTTAACATTTAGAAGGGGCGAAATAATATCTTGTCCATACCCATCAAATATCAGCAATTTCCATGTTGGTTCAACTGCTAAAGATTGAGTAAATGGTTGGTTGAGGTTCAACAATTGTTTTAGAGCTGCTGAAAAATTGAAAAAAAAATTGAAAAAATTCCTGAATTTTTTACAAAATAAAAAACCTGTTTGACGGGAACGAAGAGTTTCCATTAATTTTTTGAATCAAAAATAGAATGAAAATTCAATACAAGCTCTCTAACCTTTTTAAAATCTAAAATTTTGTTTAAACAAAAAAATAGGCAAACTGTTGGACACTAGAGATCGAGATTTTTTGAAAAAGCCTGGACTTGTTCGGTTCGATTCGTTGACCTAGCCCGGATCCTGGGCCTGCAGTCCAGGAAAAACCCAAGCTTAGAAAAAACCCAGGAATGTCAAAAAATGCTTGGACCTGGACTTTAGGTACAGGAAAAACTCAGGCCTTAGTCCAAGCCCAGCTCGATCTCTATTGGACACCTCATCAATTTACTCTCCTAATCTATATAGCCTAGTCCAGGAAAAATTTTGACCTTATCTAACAGATAAAGTCAAATTTTTCTTCCCTGAGGAAGCATAATAATGGATAGGTGTCCGAGGCACCCGAGGCTACTTATGTCAAAAATTAAAACAATTTTAAAAAATAAAATGTAATTGTGGAAAAACACAAATTCAACAAGAAAATAAAAAAAATTAGTGACCGGGGCCGGACCGGATCCGGCCGGATTTTTCCGGAGTCCGGGTCCCAAATCCGGGTTTTTTTGAAATTTCCGGATTAAAACCGGACCGGATTTATCCGGAAAAATCCGGCCGGATCCGGTCCGGCTCTAGTTGCAAATCCGGAATCCGGATCCGGGTCCGGCAAATTTTGAGCACCGGATTTGGGATTTTATACGGTTATGGAATTTTCCCATTTTTTCTTGTATTTTTTATAAAAACGAGGATTTTTAACACCTAACCATACTAAAATTCAAAAAATTTTCGCCTGCGGCGCTGAAAGGGAAGCGTTCTTCTTTATTGGTTCCAAAAATCGTACCCAGAAGGCACGACTGAGTCCCCCTTATATATAGAGAAAGAGTCTTACCTCTGTTAGAGAGTCATACCTCTATTAAGAGTCGTACCTATGTTAATCGACTCGTACCTCTGTTATTAGACGGCTCTAACAATAGATTTTTTCTCCTGAAACCTTCTAAAATTTTCGAAATTTTCGCCTCCGGCGGTGAAAAATGGAAGAAATCTGGCTTAATGGCATTCAAAAATTTTAAAAATTTTTGCCTGCGGCGCAAAAATGGAAGAAATCTGACTTAAGGACCTTCAAAATTATCAAAATTTTCGCCAGCGGCGCATGGAAGGGATTTGTGATTAAGAGGACCTGGCAGGAATCCTTGGAGGAAATATTGCTCTTTAGACTAAAAAATGCTCAAAAATTGGCAGTTACGATTACGAGGTAAAGAAGGCCTGTACGAAATTAGGAGCAAATTTCAAAATTCCAACCACGAATTACTTTATTTTCCAAACTTTTAACCTCGAAAAATCCACAAAATATCCTTCATAGCCTCCAAAATCTTTAGATATCACCCTAACAAGATTTTAACACATAAACGACACACATATTACAACATTTTAACAAAAAATTGATGAAAAAATTTTTTTTGAAAAATCCGGAAAAAAACCGGAGTCCGGTCCGGAATCCGGATAATTTCTGCCGGACTCCGGAAATTATTTTTACCGGATTAAAACCGGACCGGATTTATCCGGAAAAATCCGGCCGGATCCGGTCCGGCTCTAGTTGCAAATCCGGAATCCGGATCCGGTTCCGGAAAAATCGATTTTACCGGTCACTAAAAAAAATAAAAATTTTATTCAAAATTTCAAAATGGTAAATTTCATAATACAAAATATAAAAAATGCCAAGTATATAAAATGCAATAAAGCACATGTTCAAAGTTTACATAAATCGTCCATTTTTGAGGTATTGATTCTTCATTTTCAACGACATCTTTTTTGTAAACATGGCTACAATGAAATTTGGTAGGATTGAAAGAAATTCCAGCTGAAAAAATTTTTTAATTAAGAAATTTCAGTCAAAATGTCGAAACCAAAAATATTTCAAAATGTCGAAACCCCAAAAATTTCAAAATGTCAAAAACCCAAAAATATTTCAAAATGTCAAAACCAGACTGGTGCACGGATACGGATAATATCCGGATATCCGCGGATACCCGCGGATACGGACGGATATGGATAGTGTTTTTTAAAAAATTGGACGGATACGGATGGATACGGATATGATGCTCCAAATCCGCGGATATCCGTCGCTAATTTCTGCGATTAAACATCACTGATTAAATTTTAAAAATACATTTTGCCAAGAGAAAATAATTATATTCCGAACGGCAGGAAATTGAGTCTCGCACATGACCCCAAACCCCGACCCAAAAGTCAAACACGACCCCGGACTACGACATGCCCTCCCCGGCAAACCCTGATCCCCGACGATCCCGAAGGCTCGGGGAGCCCTACTCAGTGCAAAAATTTTTAGAATTTTGAAAAGCCAAGAAGCCAGATTCTTCCTTTTTCAGCGCCGCAGGCGAAAATTTTGAGAATTTTAAAAGGCCTTAAGCCAAAAAAATTAACTTTTACCTGAGCAACGAAAATTTTGTCAATTTTGGAGGTCCAAAAACCTATACCAGGCTCATAACCATGGAGGGAGGGGGAATTCCCCACCCCCCCTCTCGAAATGGAGAATAAGGATAAATTTGTTGAGGGGATTGGGAAAAAAATGAATTTTTTTGGCCTACGGCCTTCTAAAATTCTCAAAAATTTCGCCTGCGGCGCTAAAAGTTTTAGCGCCTGCGGCGCTAAAAAGAAAATATGCAGAGAACGAATTATTTCTGGATACTATACTATATAAAAAATATTTCTGGAATTTTTAATAAATTTCGCATTTTCGCGTTTCGCATCTTTCGCATTTTTCACATTTTTTGGCGTGAAAAGTTTCGCATTCCGCATTTCGCTTTTTATTTTTTTAAAAAAAGTTTCGCGTTCCGCATTTCGCCTTTTATTTTTTGATTTCGCACAGCCCTGCTGAGTGTGTTCCGTTTATTACAATATAGTTTTCAACCCATTTTTATAACCATTTTTTAAATTTAAATGAACCTGACCATTTTGAAAATTTTGGTCATGTTGACCATTTTGAGAAAAAACGGATATATCCGCGGATATCCGCGGATGGATATGACTCAAAAGTTGGACGGATACAAACGGATACGGATATTGACCTCACGGATATATCCGGATATGGATAGCAAAATCTGTATCCATGCACCAGTCTGGTCAAAACCCAAAAAATGGTACAAAATGTCGAAACGCCAAAAATATGTCAAAATGTCGAAAACCACAAAAATATTTCAAAATGTCGAAAACCAAAAATATTTCAAAATGTCGAAACCCCAAAAATATGTCAAAATGGTCAAAACTAACATTAAGCTGATGAGCAAAACACCCAGTAGTTTCTTTAATTAATCCAATGCTGTGTATTGCTTGGCCAACAAATTTAAGTGGGGTAGGTTCAGTAAATGAAGGTTTTGGGTTTTTAGTCATGTTTGTGGCGACTACCCCTGGGCACACTGTTTGTATTGTAATTCCTGAACCTTTGTATTCTGCTTGTAAAATTGCAGAAAGCCATCGGGCATATCTCTGAAGGAAAAAAATTAAAAAATTTTCATGTCAAAATGTCGAAAACTCAAAAAATATGTCCAAAATGTCGAAATTCGAAAACATGTCAAAATTCGAAAAAATGTCAAAATTAACCTTAGAAGCAGAATAAACAGCCAAATAATACCATTCAAAATAATTTATTGTCGAAGAAATATTAACAATAATTCCCTTCTTTCTTGGGATCATTTGTCGCAAAATATAATGTGAAAGAATTGTTTGTGGCAACATATTAACTAGCTAAAAATTATTAATAAATTAATGAATTATAGCCTCATTATAGGGGGGCCCATCAGTCATAGGGGGCCTCCTAGGAAAAAATTTTTTAAGGGTGTTTTGGGGTATCTTTAGAGGGCTGGGGGACCCAAAAGATACCTATTTGGGGTATCTTATTATTTCTAATTTTTCAAAAAAAAATATTTTTACCGCCATATCCGCCAATTTTTTAATTCCACCTTCAGTCTTCTCAAAACGTTCAGGATATTCATTGAACATTCCAACATTATTAACTGTAAAATTAAAAATAAATTTTTTTCTTCTCTAAATCTAATTATTTCTTAAATTAGAATAAAAATAAACCAAATTAAAATCGTTTCCCCCCAAACGGATTCGAACCCACGACCTTTTAGTCATAAATTTCAAACACTTTCCAACTACACCAAAGAGAACACGAAATTTTTCCCTCAAAAATTTTTTTTTAATTTTTGTAAATTTTTTTCAGAAATTTTTCAAGAAAATTTTTCTCACAAATCGTTTCCCCCCAAATGGATTCGAACCCACGACCCTTTTCGTCATAAATCCAAAACTTTTCCAACTACACCAAAGAGGACATTAAAATTTTTTTACTTAAAATTTTTTTTAATTTTTGAAAATTTTTTTTTCAGAAATTTTTCCTCAAAAAATTCAAAGTGCTTACTCAATATTCCAATATCCACATCATCAATTCTATTAAAAATATATTTATTATAATCCTCCAAATTTGGATTAGTAAAATCAAAGGCTATTGTTCTCACTTCAATTCCCTTAAATTTTTCTCTCAATTCTTTAGCTACATTATCCAATTTTGATTGTGAACGTGAAATTATAATTATATTAAATTGTTTTTTGGCTAATTGATTAACATATTCTTTTCCAATACCGTCAGTTCCACCAGTTATTAAGGCCCATTTTGCACCAGCCAATTTATGCAAATTTTTTGGGAAGGGGAAGAAAAATGGGAAGAAAATTCGAAAAAGGGCACATAGAAAGGAAAATAAAATATATTTTAAGAAAATAATTCCAAGGATTGCAACTAATATAAAATCCATTTTTTAAAAAATTCCTAAAAAATATTTTTTAAAAACATTTAAAAATGGGGGAAAATGAGTAAAAACCATTCTCAGGGGTCCAAAAAATTTCTAAAAATTTTTTTTAATTTTCAAAATATTTTTTTCTTAAATTAGAATAAAAATAAACCAGATTAAAATCATTTCCCGCCAACCGGGTTCGAACCCAAGACTTTTTAGTCGTAAATTCCCAAACATTTCCGACTACACCAGAGAGACGTTATACCAGAAATTTAATTAAATCAAGAGGAATTTAAATGGCCATAACTTTTCTTTAGATAAAGATAAAATTTTGATTTAAATTTCGTAAAATAGAGGAGAGTTTGGGCTACAAGCATATCCAAAAATTAAATTTCTAATTCCAGTTTAGGCAAATTTATTAATTTTTAAAGGAGTTAAAGTCAGAATTTTTTGAAGAAAACGGCCTCAAAAAATTCCTATTTAAAAGATTTTTTCTTAAATTTCCGAAACAAATTACCTTATAAACTAAGAAAATAAAAAAAATTAAAAATTAAACACATGTCCTTCTCCTCTCCTTTTTTTATATAACAGACACAACGCCCCTCGAATTTTTATAGAACACACTACAAATTTTGTAGTTGTGTTCGACAACAACAACAACAAAAAATGTAACCCCGCCTGTCACCCTTCTTTCTTTCTCTTTTCAAGAAAGAAAAAAATTTAAAAAAAAGAATTATACATAAAACACAACCTACAAAATACCTATAACATTAAAAAATAAAGAGAGGGAAAACCTGTCCCATAAAAATTATTTTTATCCCTTGTCATTAAAGTGGAAAATAGGGGAAACTTTACTAAAAAAGTTGCGGCCTTAATCTAAAATTTAATAGTACATACATTTTTAAAATTAAATCAATTTTTAAATTTGATGAGATTTTTTAATTGAATAGAATTAAAAAAAAATAAATTAAAAATAAATAAATTTAAAATATTGCCTGAAATTTTCAAAGTCAAAAAAGTAAAACAAAAAATTTTTTATCTTCGTAAAAGGCGTTGTGGGTCCCAATCCTATACCAAAAAATAAATTTAAAAATTAAAAAAAATAATAATAAATTTAACCAAAGGATTTTCAATAGCAGGTCCATTGTGTACAACATGAACAGTTACACGCTCATTAAATTCAAGACCATTAAGTAATTTTGGAGTAAGCCTTTAAAAATATTTTTTTATTTTTTAAAGAAAATTTATTATTCTAAAGAAGAAATAACCAAAGTTGAACCAAATTAAAATCATTTACACGAAACGGATTCGAACCCCCGACCTTTTACTAATAAATTCCCAAACATTTCCGACTACACCAAAGAGAACGTTGATAAAAAAATTAATTAGAATAAGGTCCCAGAAACTAAAAAACCCCTTATTTATCGAAAGATGACAAAATCCCAATTTAAAGGTATAGAAAAGATCCCAAAGGGAACGACAAAAAACTCCTCCAAAATCACCACTCATTGTCAACACATTTTTCGCCTAGAAAACAACCCCAATTCGTCCCTCCCCTCTAATTTAAAATTAAAAAAACCTCCTTACAAAAAATATTGTGTTTTATTATTATTATTTCCTCCTCCTCCTTCATTATTATCCAATAATTTAACCATCATATTAAAAACAGCTCTTTCATTATTTGGATCCATTCCTTGATTTATTTCATCAACACAACGAAAAGGTACAAAACATAAATTTTGTAAAGCCATAATATATAACATTGTTGAAACTGAACGTTCTCCTCCAGATTGTGTTTGTGGATTTAATTCTCGAATACATGTTCCATTACGAAATTTTACCATTATTTTAATTCCATATTCAGATATTGAATACTTGGAAAAAATTATATTTTAAGAAAAAAATAAGTAAAAAATTAAAGAAAAAAACATCCTAGGACCACCAAAAAATTTTTTTTTAATTTTTAAATTAATAAAAATTCTTATTTTCTTAAATTAGAATAAAAATAAACCAAATTAAAATCATTTTCCAACAAACGGATTCGAACCTAGGACTTTTATCCACAAATTTCAAAATATTTCCAACTACACCAAAGAAAATATTATAACGAAAAATTAATTTAAACAAGGGAAATTTAAATGGCAATAACTTTTCTTTGGATAAAGATAAAAATTTGATTTAAATTTCATAAAATAGAGGGAATATTAGGCTACAAAAATAACCAAAAAATTAAATTTGTAATTCTAGGTTAAGCAAATTTATTAATTCTTAAAGTAGTCCAAGTCAGGGATTTTTGAAGAAAATAGACATAACAAACCCCTCTAAAAAATTCCTTTTTAACCCCAACAAAGATCAAGAAACCCCTCTTGAATAAAACGGCCACTTAGGGACCAAAATCAACCCATCTACTAATTAATAAAAATTAAAAAAATATAAATACTTTATTTTCCGGTTCATCAAATCTCACTTCACCAACACATCCAAGAGTTGCAAAAAATTGAGAAAATTTTTCATTAATTGAATCAATCATTGGCCTGAGTTGTTCTAACCATGAAGCTAATTCTGTATCCATTTTATTCTTCCATCTGTCATTCTAAAAATAAAATTTATAAAATTTCAAATAATTTAAAAAAAAACCTTTTCTGTAGCCAAACGTATATTTTTTACAAGAATTTCTCTTTCCTTCAAAAATTTTTCGTATTCATCTGCATCCTAAAAAAATATTTTTTAGTCATTTAAATCAATTTTTTCTCAGATTAGAATAAAAATAGACCAAATTAAAATCATTTTCCACCGACCGGATTCGAACCCTACTCCTTTTAATTCAAAATTCCTAAACATTTCCAACTACACCAAGGAGGACATTGATCAAAAATAAATTTAATCGAGAGTCCTTTTTTTACCCCTCTTAATTACTAAAGGAAAAAAGAGGAAGCGGGGTTATAAAATTAAATTTAAAAAAATATTTTTTAAACCTTTTCAGTTCCATCTTGTCTATCTTTTGAAGATTTTTTCCTTTCCTCCGCATTTTTAAGCTCTATACTTTCCAAATCATCAGGAATTTGCTTTTCTTCAAATTCCTATAAATCAATTAAAAAAAATTTTTTTCTTCTTAATTTTCAAAAGAAAACCTTCAAAATTTTTTCAAATTTTCTTTTATCATCATTAGTTACTTCCCCTCCACTTCCAGGTGGTGAACATTCAGCAACTTGTTTAAAAACTGATTTTCTATATTCAACTTCCTCTTTGGCCTCTAAACGTCTTTTTAATTTTTGTTGATAATCTTCCTAAAAAGGAAAAATTTCTTAATTAAAAAAAATATTTTTCAACAAAAAACCTTATTCGCTTGATGAACTTGGTCAAAAAAATCTTTTTCGGCCTTAAGTTGTTTTAGTCTAGATTTTAATCTTGCATGTTCATCACAATTTATAGCTATTGTATTTATTGGATCACGTTGATTTTCCTATTAAAAAATGAATTTTAAAAATTTCAGAATGGTCAAATTTAAAAATGGTCAAAATTTCAAAATTTTAAAAAATGGTCAAAATGGTAAGGTTCCAAAATGGTCAAATTTTTATAAAATCAAAAATCATTTCAAAAAACAAACCATAGAGTCAACAAGCTTCTCAAAATCACCAATCGCGGTCTCCAAAATTTTATTTGAAGCTTCATTATAGGCTGCTTGTGCTGCTTCCAAATTAGGTTTTTCTTTAGAATATTGGCTCAATTTATCTTTACATTTTGCTGCATGGTGACGATACCTTTCAATTTCATCACTCTTTTCTTTTTCCTTTTTCTGCAAAAAAATTTTTAGCAAAAAATTTTATGCTTCCAAAAAATCCGCAAATATTTATTCCAAATCCGCAAATAGTTATTTCTCAAAATATTATTATTCACTATTTTTTCTAGAAACCATAAAAGATCACGTTGATCTTCCATCAATCAAACATGTTTTTTTCTAAAAAATCACCTTTCCTGATAAAAATAAATATATGCGGACAAAACTTGCGGATTTCTCTAAAAAACTTTTTCCGAAAAATTGATTCTGGTTCTAGTTCACAAGTCCAATCAACGCATAAACTTTCTTGAATAAAAATAATTTATGAGTTGATGGACTAATATCGTAGTCATTGGAGTCAATGAAGACTCATAAATTTTTTATAAATCCATAAAAGTTGATTGAACTCATAAACTATACCAGAGCCAAATTACACCTTTACAAAAAAAATTTTTTAAACTTCTTACCATTTTTTCTCTATATTCTTCTCCCCGCCTTTTAAAATCTTCTTTAGCTTGAGCAACTTTTTCCTGTCTTTCTTTAAGTATTTCCTTGTCTTCTTGTAATTTTTTCAATTCATTATCAACATCAATTAATGATTTTGTATGTTCCATATCAAAGCGTGGATTATTATAAATTATTGTTTTACGGTCAACATAAATTTTTTTGGGATTATGACGTGAAGAATAAACTTCAATCTTAATAAAAAATTTTTTTAAATTAGGGTTGAGGGCCCGGTTCGGTTCGATAAATCGAATCGGACATTGAATATTGGCCTAAAAAAAGACTTGAACGGCCCGGTTCGGTAAAAATGGGACCCGAAAAAATGACTCAAAAGTCGGCCGGGTTCGAAAAACCAAGCCTACTAAAAATAGAAAATTGTAGAGAGTAACATTGGAACGAGCCCAGGACCTTCAGGGCTTCCGGGGGTTTTAGTATAAATCCCCAAGGTCTGGTATGAAGTAAAAATCGGATAGCCCGCCAATTCGGAAATGCCGAACTTAAATATAAAATAAAAAAAGAAAACCCTCAATTGACGAGTCAAAAATAACTGAAATTCTGGATTAATTTCTCTTGCAGCTTGACATATACGTTCATAATTTTCTTCAACTTTTTGACCTCCAATTAACAGTTTGTCCATCTAAAAATTAAAAAATCTTATTATAAACCCTGATCCTTTTGAATTTTACCATTTTCTTTTTAATTTCATAAAAAAGGAAGAAGTTCGCCTTCTTTCTTAATATTCCTAAATCCCCATCCTGGTAAGCGTTTTAAATGCTATCCAGGTTCCGCTTCTCCGTTCAGTCAAAAAAATTTTTTAACCTTACTAGATCCCCCTCTCTTCCTTACAATTACTATACATAAAAAATAATTTAAAAAATCACAAACACTATATAATCCATTTAAGTAAGCACCAACAGGACTTGATGATTTAAACAAATTTAATAAAAAATCGACAAAACCCAATTCACCAAGTTGTGGAGATATTTCTACTTTAGTTTCTTCAAAATTTTGAATCTAAAAAATAATTTTTAAAAAATTTTCAAAAAAAATTTAAAAAAAAACCATTTCTTGTGAAACTATGCTCGAATCAATTTTAAATTTATTTATTAGCAATTCTTCATCTTGAGCACACGAAAAAATAAAAATACCCAAATCACGTGATGCAACAACATTATTGAACAAAACAAGATTGTTGGCATTAGGTATATGAACTTAAAAAAAAAGAAAAAAAATTTCACATTAATTTTTTAACTAATTTTTTCAAATTATTCTACCAGGTATGATGCCATAATACCAGAAACCAAAATACTAAACCTCCAAAAAACACAAAAAAAAAACAAAAAATTTTGAATTGTTAACAATCAATCACCTTCAACGTTGGTGGAGTAACCCCTTCACTTTAATTGAAACCAAGGGCGTAGCTGAGGGGCTTCTGGGGCTAAAGCACCACCGCCCGAAATGAGGAAAAGGGAAAAATCTGAAGAGGGGATTTAGCAAAAAAGCCTCCCTGAAATCGACCCTTTGCCTACGCCCTTAATTGAAACCTTCCTACTTCAGTTTGGTATTTTGACAGTATTCTGGAGGTTTGGTATTTAGACGTTTGCTTTTTTTCTTTAAAAAAATTTTTCTTACCATCCAAGTATGGAACATAAACTTGTCCTCTAAATTTGTCTCTATTTTTAGTATAAAATTCCCAAGCATCTGGAATTGCTGGATTATTGCGAAATTTAACAAGATTTCTTAATTTTGTTTCCATTGAATTTCGTTGAGAATTTTGATTTGAATGAAGCTCTAAATTTAAAATAAAAATTTTATTTTTTTAATTAAAAAAATTCAAACGATTGTCAAGACGATAATATATCTTTTGCTTTTCTGTAATTTCAAGTTCTTCTTTTTTTATTTTAGCATGTTCTGCATATAATTCATCTTTTAATTTGGGTAAATTTTCATCAGGAGACTTAAAAGAATTAAAAATTAAAAATGAAAAGAAATTCTGATTTTTGTATTTATATTTTATTTTTAAAATTCTGATTTTAAATTCTGATTTAATTTATATTTTATAGTCTAGTTTGTATTTTCTGTGTTTCATTTAAATTCTGATTTTTGTATTTTCCTTAAATTCTGATTTTTGTATTTTCCTTAAATTCTGATTTTTGTATTTTCCTTAAATTCTGATTTTTGTATTTTTTTTTAAATTCTGATTTTTGTATTTTCTTTAAGTTCTGATTTTTGTATTCCTTAAATTCTGATTTTTGTATTTTTTTTAAATTCTGATTTTTATTAAAGTTGTATTTTCTGATATTTAAATTCTGATTGTTTAATTTTGTATTTCTCTTTTAATAATTCTGATTTTTTAATTTTGTATTTTACCAAAGTTTAAAAATTCTGATTTTTGTATTTTCCTTAAATTCTGATTTTTGTATTTTTTTTAAATTCTGATTTTTGTATTTTCTTTAAGTTCTGATTTTTGTATTCCTTAAATTCTGATTTTTGTATTTTTTTTAAATTCTGATTTTTATTAAAGTTGTATTTTCCGATATTTAAATTCTGATTTTTTAATTTTGTATTTTACCAAAGTTTAAAAATTCTGATTTTTGTATTTTTCCCAAATTTAAAAATTCTGATTTTTGTATTTTTCCTTCTTCAAAAAATACAAATAAAAACACTTACAAATTTCTGAGAAAGTGTTTCATAAAAATTTTTGTATTTATCATATTCTTTAGTAATTGATTCTTTTTCTTTATCCCATTGAGCATATGTATTTTGTACTTTTTTTAAAGTATCTGCTGCTTTTTGTAACTTTAATTTAAAAAATTAATTAAAAATTTTTTTCTAAAATTTAAAAAAAAACCTTTTCATCCAATGAATTATGACGTAAAGCATCTTCAATTTTCTTTGTTGCTGTTTTATTTGTGTTTCTCTTAAAAAAAATTTTATTAAAAAATAAAAAAAATTTTCCCTAAAAATAAAAATATTCTGCTTTCTCCACAAAAAATCTTATTTTTTTCTGAAAATACGGAAAAACATTTTGCTAAAAATTGGTTAAAAATTTTTTTTCACGAAAAAAAAATTTCGAAATAAATTTTGAATTATTTGAATTTTTAAAAAACACTTCTTTAGAATTTTAAATAATTTTTTTTCAATTTTCTCATTAAAAAAATAAATTTCCTTAAAAATTGTCAAAAAATTTAAAAAAAATTTCCAAACCAAATCTGCAATTTCTTTTTCCAATGATTCAATTGTTGCCTCAACATTTTTAATTGATTTATTAACCGGATCCAATTGTGCTTTAGATTCGTTAACTTGTCTATCAGCACTATCTACACGTTCCGAAGCTTCTTTTAAGGCATCCAATTTATTTTGGTATTCCTGGAAAAATAATTTTTTTTGGAAAAATGTTGAAATTTTTTGTTTGAAAATTTTTCAAAAATTTCGTGGGCATGGAAGGAAATTTCAAAATTAAAAAAAATATTTTTTCTAGAAAATTCAAAAAATTTTAAAATCCTAATAAGCTTCGAGTTCTATAATTTTTTACAAAAATGGAAAAAATCAAAAAAAAATTTTTTGACCCCTAAAAATTTTTTTAAAATTTTCCGAAAATTTCCTTTTCAAAAAATATTTTCTCAAAAAAAAAAATTCTCAAAAAAATTTTTTCAAAAAAAACCTCTTACAATTAAAGCCTTTTTAATTTCCAACAAATTTAATATTCTATTTCTAGCAGCCCATTCTTTATAAGCATCCGCCCTCTGCTTTTTAGTTTTTAATTCTAAATCGACTTGTTCTCCTCTTTTAATAAGTTGATCCAATTCGTTTTGGAGTTCTGAACCTTCAACTGATTGTTTTTCTAATTTTTGATGTTTTTCGAGCAAATTTTTTGGTCCAGCCTGAGAAAATTTTTTCAAAAAAATTTTCAAAAAATTTTTCAAAAAAACCTTTTGGGTATTATACAAAAGTTTTTGAGGTCCTTGTTCAGCAAAACTTTTAACTTTATCCTGGGCAAGAAATGTACAAGGATTGTCTACCTGAAAAAAATTTTTTTAATGTAAAAATTGTCTGGAGAGATTAGGAAAAATTAGGGCGTGTAAAAAATCAAGAGCTGGTCCAGAGTCTTTCCTTTCTTCCCTCCCTCCAGTCACCCCCCCCCCCCTCAAGAAAAATGCATTCTCTCTGAATTATCCTTCAACTATAGATACTCTCTCATCTCCCACAGCTCGAAACCAGACGTCTTTTGAGCTTGGTTGGAAGTTCGTGGATGCAATAAGTCAATGCCCCATGTCTTTCCTATTTGCTTCAGCTAACATTTGCTGGATACTAGGCTTAGAGATAGTTTGATGTAATCGAGTTTTTGAAATAACCAAGAGCTCAAAAACACTTGGTAATTTTTGAGCTTTCCTGATATTTTCTCGAATTCTGTCCCAAAATCCAGCAAATTCCCGACAACCCCGCAGAATTTTTAAAATTTTCGACTCTCTATTTTCACCATCCTATTCCATTTTCCTCGCTAAAAATTTTTTTTAAAAACCTGTATATTATATTTTCCACTTTCTTCTTTCAATTCAGACTGCTTTTTATGCCTTCCATCAATAGTATACGTAGCAGAATTTTTATGAGAAACGATATTTATGCAAAAGGCGACAGCACGACCTCGATTAGTATCCCATCTTTACAAAAAAAATTTTTATTTTTGAATTCAAAACATTATTACATAAAAACCTCAACAGATCCTTCATCTTTTCCATGCATAACAAAATCGGAGATATTATCTGACCGTCCCAAAATTTTTGGAGAGCCTCCCAGAGCCAAACAGATGCCGCAAATTATCGAGCTTTTGCCTAAAAAATAAATTTTCAAATTCTTGTTCACCAGGTTTAACGGTACTTGTGGGTTACCCCAAACCAGGTTTTGCGGACATATAAATGCGGACTCATAATGGTCAGAAAATTCATAACTTTGTTTAACCTACAGCCAGAGACAATCAGTCACAAAAGTTGGTTAGGGAAAATATTGGAAGTCGGATTTACCTTCCAATTTATAACTGACCATTATGAACCCTCATTAATGTATCACCAAAAACTGGATTGAAAAAACTGATCCCTATGTATAACCCACAAGTACCTTGTTAAACATAAAAACCTGTTCCATTCGGTCCAATTATGACATTCAAATAAGGACCAGGCCTGCATTCAACATAATTGTAAGTCCTAAAATTTGAAGCTTTTTAAATTAAAAAATAGTCCAAGTCTCACAAAAAATTTTTAAAAACAATCTTGTCAATACATCCATGGCCAAGTTGTCGATTTACAGCGGGAGGAATTGTTGATTCATAATCTTCTTCAAAACTGTCTCGAGGTTCAATTTTATTTTCTTTGTCTTCAGAGATCCGGTTCATTGTGAGGCAAGTTTGTAAGCTACTGTGAATAGACTAAAGGCTAAAAAAGAGAAAATTCATAATTGATTAAATCTTAGGCTACAATGTACAAGTAAAAAAAGAAATTTGTTAAAATCTTTAAAAAAATGAAACAAATTGATTTGACTAACAAATTTATTCTCAAAAAACTAAAGTGAAATATAAAAACCACTTTTTTATAAGTCAACAAAAAAACTTAAAGAATTTTAAAAAATTCGAAGTGCTGCCATTGAAGTTGCTTCTTCTTATCCACAACAATGAGAGTTGTGGTTATTGATGGCTCAAGGTCATAGCGAGGCTCTCCCTTCTCGTCACATAGTGGTATGGTCGAATAGAAAGACTTTGGAATAATTTTGAGAAGCGCATCCTTGGCATAAGTCAGATCCGCATGAGTTTCAAACTTGAAGACATTGTCCTGGAAAGGACATTTCTCTCCACCATGTTTTCCCTACAAAAGAAAGCATTTAATCAATTAAACCAAAAAATTAAGCAAACCAATTCGCTGACAACCTTTTCCCGATCAGCATCAGACACGGTTTTCGAGAAGTTCAAAACCAAAATTGGGTCATCATCGGTAAAGGTCATCTTTGAGAGCCAGAGAGCAAGTTTCTCGTCTACATGCAACTTGTCAATAATTGCAGCTTGAGAGAACTTATAAAGGTCGTCCTGGCACATCTCATTTCTAAAAACAGAAGATCATTAAAGCAGATTGTGTTAAAAACAAACGAGTTTCCAGAAGAACCACCACTCAAGTCAAGAGATTCAAGCGACATTTTTTTGATTTTGTTGTTTGAAATAAATTTAAGTAAACTGATCTATAAAAAAATTAAATTAATAAATAAAAAATAATTGATGAGAGAAAAAAATTTAATTGAGAACAAATTAAAGAAAACCCAGGTTTAAATAGAGCTGAAAAAATCAATAAAAGGAACACAGCTTATCAGGTCAAATGTCAACTCCGCCCACACACACCCAAAAATTCAAATGTAAATCGATTAAAGCAAAAGAGAAAACAAATCCCTTTGACCATCTCCCCTAATAAACCATAATTTCTTTTTTTTTCTCTCCCTACTTTCTCTCACTCTATACACAACGCCAACAGAAAAATTACGGGTAAATTCGACAGAAAATCAAACGACATAAATAATAAGCTCCTGTGAATTTTCCCTTTTGCAAGATTTCGATAAAATTGGGACTGATTTAAAAAAAGATCGGACTATTCCGTTATCCCTGAAACTTTTGCGGACATAGACAGAATGGTCAGTTTTTCTTGGGATCATTCAATGTGAGATTAATAAAGAAAAGTTTAAGTACAAACCTAAAGAGCCTGCATCTGCTGAAAGAAAATGCCAGCCTTTAAGCATGGCAATTGCCAGCATGGGGCATGGCGATATTGTTGATAATTGTTTTGTTAGACCCTGAAATTTGAAAATTTTTGGGGTCAAAAAATTAGAATAGCTCAAAAAAGAACAGCGCAAAAGAGAAAACAAATCCCTTTGATCATCTTTCTTTTTTTCTCTTCCTACTTACTATCTCTAAAACATAACGCCAACAGAAAAATTACGGGTAAATTTAACAGAAAATAAACGACATAAATATGCTTGGGAATTTTCCCTTTTGCGCAAGCTTTCGATCAGCTTGGGAACAATTTGAAAAAAATTTTTAGGCGTTTTATGCCTAATTTCAACATAAACAAAATTTCAAAAAATTTCAAAGGCTATAATACAAGCTCTTGTTTAAAATTAAAATTAACATTGTTGTGTTTTTTTCCAATGTAAAAATAAATTCTTCTCCAAAAAAAAATAAATAGAATAAAACAACAAAATAAATTTAATATTGAGACCAATTCTTCCAAATATTTTTTCAAAAATTTTTTGAAGTTTTTTCAAAACCACGGATGCCAAGATGGATCCATTCTACACAAATTATCTGACAGTTGTGCCTGCATTAATAATTGACTTGTTGCACTCGAACCATTTTCAATGTGCGAAATTGCTATAAATTAAGAAAAAAGTAAAAGGGTTTTGAATTTGGTAAATTTCAACATTTTTGTACTTTGGTTAAGTGGGTAAATTTCTGAATTATACGAGGCAGGTTCGAACCCTTTTGGCCCAAAATGCTTTTTAAAATGTTAAAGGGGCATCACACTGCCAAATTAAAAAGTTCTACCACTTTGGTTAAGTGGGTAAATTTTACGATTTTAATAGAAAGGTTCGAATCCTTTTGGCTCCTTATGATTTTTAAATGTTTATTAAATCATCTAACTCAAAAATAAACCTATTTAAAACTTTTCAAAAAAATTCCTACAAACCTTTAATTCGAGTAAGCACTGTATCCACTGCACGTTTAACAGGATTGACAATATTCATTTTTGGGTCTTCTTCAGCAGCCTTAGAAAAAACATCCCATAAGATTGGTCTAAGCCAAATTTCCAATGTTTTTGTATTAAATGAACGTGCAATTGCTATTAAAGCACCAGCAAGATGACCTTTAAATTAAAAAAAAAATTTTTTTTTGAAAAAATAAATTTAAATAAACCGTCAATAGAAGCATCCAAAAAATGTGAAATGTTGCAAGTTAATCGAAAAGGCACAGGTCTATTTGCATCCAATTCAACTTTAAAAAACATTGTTTAATTATTGAAAAATTTTAAAAATTAAAAAATATCACTTTAAGTGGTTAAATTTTAGAACATACGAGGCAGGTTCGAATCACTTTTGGTTCCGAAAAATTCTCAAAAAAAAATTTTTTTTTTCATTTTCAAAAAAAATTTTCAAAATTTTTTCAAAATTTTCACCAAAAAATCCATTTTAAAATAATAAAAAATTTTTTAATTTAAAAAAAAAAATAAAATTTTACAGAAAAAAATCCAACAAAAAATTCCCAAAAAGTCCATTTAAAAAGTTAAAAAAATAAAAAAAAATTTTCGCTTACTAAATCTAACTTTTCCAGCCAAAGTATCACAAACTTTTTTTGTCAAATCAAATTTATAATCAAGAAAAAATAATTGTGCTGTAGAAATGTTTAATATTAATCCATCAGGTGACATACTTGAAAGGAAAAATGCATATTCACAAAGTCCCAATAAAGCAAAATGGATAGATAACTTAAAAGTAAATGTAAAAAAAAATTTCAGAAAAATTTTCAGAATTTTTCAGAAGGATTTTCAAAAAATTTCAGAATTTTTCTGAGAAATTTCGGAATTCTTCAGAATTTTATTTCAAAAAATTTTAGAATTTTTTCCGAAAAAATTAAAAAAAAATTTTTTTGAAAAAGAAAAACCTTTTTCCTCGCATTCCACAATGATTCTGCTTCTGTATATCTTGAATACATCCATTTTGATAATAAATCTCGCTTAACAATTATGAGATTATTGTTGCTGCTGCTATCCATTAATAAATCTGTTCCTCCTCCACCATTAGAAATATTATTAAATAATTCATGAAGATTTTTATGCGAATATCTTTAAAGAAAATTATTTTTTAATTATTTTTTTATTTTTTACGAAATTATTTTTGAAAAATTTTATTTTAAAAAAGAAAAAAATCATTTGGAGCCGAAAGGATTCGAACCTGCCCCCTATAATCCAAAATTATACCACTTAACCAAAGTGGTAAAATTTTTTATTTTGGAAAATTCCAACCCCTTTTACTTGTAATCGCCCTTAATTTTTAATTACAATATTTTTTTATTATTCCTTCCATCTCAAAAAAATAAAAAAATAAATAAAACCTTTGTTCAGCTAATCTTCCATAATAATATTCAACAATATTTGAAGACGTTAATAATGATTTTTCTTCTTGTAACATTTCATTTAAAATATCACCAAAAATAACAAAATTATCTGAAGAAGATGAATTTGTCATTTTAGTTATTGAAATTTGTGGACATTCAATTAAACGAACATTTGAACCAATATGAATAATTTGTGGAATACAAAATTGAATAAAACGTTGGGCTGTATGCTTAAAAATAAAAAAAAAATAATTTTTTTTTTAAATTTTTTAAATTAAATTTGGATAAAAAATTTTTTTAAAAGTTTTTAAAATATTTATGAAATAAATATTTTTTGACAATTGTAGAATTTTAAAAAAAAATTTTTTTTAATCCAGAAAAATTTTTACAAAAAATTCCCTTAAAAAATTTTCCACTAACGTTAAAAAAATAGAAAAAATTTTTTTTAATTCTGGAAAAAAATTTTCTAAAATATTTTTTCTTCAAAATTTAAAAAAAAAATTAATAAAAAAATCAACAAACCCTAGATTTTGAAAATTCAACATTTAATAAACAAAATAATTGAAGTATATGTATTTTTGTAGAATCATAACCTCCACAAACATTTTCTAATTGAAAAGTATAAATTTTTCCATTTAAAGAACGAAGTTTTATAACACGACAAATTGTTGATTCATTATGTATAAATTGATCAAATATTGGTAAAAATGAAGCTATTTGTGCGTTACAATTTGATGAAGTTGTTGTTGTTGTTGAAGCCTGGTTAAATAATTTTAAATTTTATTTTTTTGTTTAAGAATTTAAGTTTTTTCTAAAAAATTTTTTTTAGAAATTTTTAAACATGTTTTATTTATTTTTTTATGTTAAATTATTATATAAACTTCTAAAAAATCATTTGGGACCGAAAGGATTCGAACCAGCCCCCTATAATCTAAAATTTACCCACTTAACCAAAGTAACAAAAAATTTTATTTTTTGCAAATTAAAGCCCCAGACACCTTTCTCATTTAATTTTTTAACTAAATTATATAAAAAAATAAACAAACTCTATAACCACCAACATCAAAACCTGCACTAAAAACATCAATTAATGCTAATGAACTTTTGAATTTTGCCAAATATTTTGCATGATCAATAAGACGTCTATTAAAAAATAATTTTAAAAAATTCAAAAAAATTTGAAAAAAAACCTCGATCCCATATTATTTTTCAAATAGTCACTTATTTTTAATATAGATTTACGCAAAGCACTAGCTACACTAAAAAGTGAAATTTGTTTTTGTTGGTGTTGTTGAGTGTAATCTTTTTGATAATAATTTTTTAAATATACAAAATTGTCTTGTAATATTTTACAAATCTGGAAAAAAATTTAAAAAAAAATAAAAAATTTTTTAATTTATTAAATTAAAAATGGCATTTGGGACCGAAAGGATTCGAACCTGTCTCATATACTCAAAATTTACCCACTTAACCAAGGTGACAAAAATCACGAAATTTAGCAAAAAAGAATACTTTCCTATTTCTTTTTAATAGAAAAGTTTATAATTTTTTTAAAAAAATTTCTCTGAAAAATTTGTAAATTTTTAAATTAAAAATAGCATTTGGGACCGAAAGATTCGAACCTGCGTCCTATTCTCTAAAATTTACCCACTTAACCAAAGTGAAAAAAATCTTGAAATTTAGCAAAAAAATTATTTTCCTATTTTCTATTTCTCTAGAAAAAAAGCTTAGAAATTTTTTTTGTCTTCAAAAAAAATTTTTTTCAAAATTTAAAAAACCTTTTTCTCTTCATCTTGTTCAGTAAAAGCACTAGCAAAATTAAAATAATTTGTAATACAAGAGCATAATTTTTGTAAAGTTTTAAAGTCAATTATTGTTGAAGTAAGATCAGCTAATTTTGTAAATTGTTCACTATAAAAAAATAAAAAAAATTATTTAAAAAATTCAACTCACAAATGACAAGATGAGAGAATTTGTCTAAATTCGTTTAACAACTCCTGAAAAATAAAGGGGGAAAATAATTAATTCTGAAAATATCAAAATATTAATTCTGAAAAGAAAAATAACAATTCTGGTATTTTCCGGAAAATACACGTTAATATTCTGATATTTAAAAATACGAAAAATTCTGGTTTTGGAAATCAGAAGGAAATCAGAATTATATAGATAAAATACAAAAAATTCTGATTTAAGAAAAACACAAGGAAATCAGAATTATATAAATAAAATACAAAGAATTCTGATTTGGAAAACACAAGGAAATAAGAATTATTTAAATAAAAACACAAAAAATTCTGATTTTAGAAAAACACAACAAAATAGAATATTCTGAAATAATTCTGATTTTTGTATTTTAATAAAAATACAAAATTATTCTGATTTTACAAAAAAAATACAAAAAAACACAAAATACTTACTTCTAACGGAGAAATTGGAAAATTTTCAAAATCAAGCATAATTTTATTTAATGCATCAATTTCAATAAAATTATTTTCACAAATACAAAATAAAATTGAAGCAAGTTGTTGTTGTTGATTTTCTGTATTTTCCATCGTTGTTGTTGTAATATTTATTGATGAACTACTAGTAGATGGAGAAGCATTATGATTATTATTGCCATTATTTTTGGTATTTTGAAGAGATAATCTGTCTGAAAATTAAGAAAAAATTAATTTAAAAATTAAAAAAAAAATTTTTTTTAATTCAAAAAAATTTTTTTAGATAGAAAAAAATAATAAACTTCTTAAATATTTTTCTTTCGATTTCAAAATTTATTTAAAAAAATTTTTTTTACTCGAATGCTTAACAAAATACTAGAAAAAATTCTAAAAATAATTGTAAAAATTCTGAAATGATTGTATTAATAAATTAAAAAAATTCTGATTTTAGAAAAAAAATATTCTGAAAAACAACAATAACTTTTACTGGTGGAATAATTTTTTTTACTTAAATTTTAATTAAAAAATCATTTATTTTTTTTAAAATTTTCGCAAAAAATTTTTTTTCAAAATTTTAAATTAAAAAAATAAAACAAACATTTTTGTAAATATTCTGTAACATTTTTAGAACCTAGCACAATTCTCAAATCATAAAACATTTTTTGAGGAAAAGCTTTACCAATACATTTTAAAATATTTAAAATTGCTGGAGAAGGTCTTTGTTGTGCTTCCATTAAAAGAGCATTAAGCCTTTGAATAGGAAAAAAATTTTTTTTAACTTTCAAAAAATCCAAAAATTATTCCCAAAAAATTAAAAATGATTTTATTTGCTCAAAAAAAATTTTTCAAAAATTAAAAAAAAATTCTCAAAAAAATTTTTAATTATTTAACTTTGTGATTTTTTTTTATTAATTTTCAATAAATCTAAAAATTATTTCAAAAAAAAATTAAAAATTCAAGATTTTATTTTCTCAAAAAAAAATTCCAAAATTAAAAAAAAAATTTTTAAAAAAATTAGAAAAAATTCAAAAAAAATTTTGGAAATTTTTTTGAAATTTGGATAAAACAGAAATTTAGTTTCAAAAAAAAATTTTTTTAAATTCCCCGAAAAAAAAATAATTTTTTTAAACTAACCAAAATAGCCAATTTGAAGGATTTATTGTTTCATTATCAACATATTTTTCCAACAATTCATTTAATGAAACCAAAATTTTTTCAGATCCTCCAAATGATGTTAAAATTTTAATTAACCATAAAAATTTTGCAATTGATAAACGGGCTTTTAAAGGTGATGGAGAAATTTTTGCATGTTCCAAAGTACAAGCAATTGCTTGAATTCCAGTTATTTGTGCAGAATTTTCATTTCTTTAAAGAAAAAATTTAAATTATATTTTAAAAAATTCCAAAAATTTTCAAAAAAAAATTTTTTAAATAAAAAATTTTCAAAAATCTCAGAAAATTTTTTTTGATTTTTTCAGTACCCCATATTGCCCCATTTTCAAAAAAAAAATTTTTTTAATCAAAAATTTTCCAAAAAAAATTTTTAAAAAATCGAAAATTTTCAAAAATCTCAGAAAAATTTTTTTAATTTTTTCAATACCCTATATTGCCCCTTTTCAAAAACAGAGTCAAAAATTCATGAAAAAAATAATAAAATAAAAAAACAAACATATTGCTCATAAAAATGCTTGTCAAAAAATCTCCCCAATGTTTCCATACAGATGTTCCTCCAAGTAAATCATGATCAAGTTGTGCTGCTGCAGAAAATGCACGACCAGCTTCTTCTCTTCTTTAAATTAAAAATTTAAAAAAATTTTGTTAGAAAAAATTTTTTTGAGTCAATTCATGACAACACTCATTGTTCCCTCCCCTCCAGAAATTACAGATCAAAAAATTCATACTCCCCAAAAATAATAACGTGACAAACGGTAAACCTACGATGAATTTTTTGATTCGTAAACAGCACAAACACGTAAAAAATAATTTTGTCGATTCTTATTAAAAAAAATTTTTTTTTGAATATTTAAGATATCCAAAACCAAACCGAAGAAACTAAGATCGAAAAATCATCAGAAACCGAAAATCATAAAACCGAAAAATCATCAAAATCGGACACAACCCTCTCCCCCTCTCAAGGGCGTAGCCAGGAAGTCAATTTCAGAGTCAATTTCAGGAGGAAGGAGGTTAAAATGGGGTTCTTCAGCACTCTAGAAAACCCCCTCTAACAACAAAAATAAAAAAAAACAAAACAAACTTGTCCAATTTACTTAGTACAATTCCTTTACAAATCATTAAACGAGATATTTGATCTCTTTTCAATACATTTAATTGTACACCTTCAATTAAATTTAAAGCTTCGATTAATGCATCCTGTGCAGCATTTATTGAACGTTTTACAGATGTTGTTGATGAACTTGAAGATTGTATAAATTCATTACTTGAAAGGCGTAAAAGACATTTTATATGTTCCACCAATTTTAAATGTATATCTATTGGATGGACTAATATTGAAGAATGAAGCCTTTAAAAAAATTATTTTTTTAAATTAAAAAAATTTCTTTCAAATCCTCAGCAAAAAACTTTTTACAGTGGGGTGCAAAAGTAATGACTATAAGGTCGTGCTAAGGAAAAAAAATTTTAGAAAATGGTCTAAATGAAATTCATAATAGGTAGATGAAAATATTCCCCAAGGTGTCAGCTTCAAATATGTATATATACAAAAAATTTGGCCAAAATTAATTTCAAGCGTGAAAGTTAAAAAATATTAAATGAGTCAATCTCAATTTTAGCTGGTGCTTAAATTAAATATCCTAATAGAAACCTATCAACTATAGAAGCTATTAGAAAAAAATAAATAAACGCCCAAGGGGCAAAAAAAAAAAAAAATTGACGAAAAGAAACCTAAAGGATTTGTTGATTCAACATCCCTCCCCCCCCCCTAAATAATCATTATGAGAAAAGAAAAAATAAATGAGTAGAAAATAATCTAGGGATTTTCAAGGATCCATATACGGAAAAATCCAAAATAACAAAATTTATTTTTAGTTAAAAAAATTAAAATTAAAAAAATCAACAAACTTATTTAATTCATTTTGTGCCAATTCAAGTTGATTTGAACGTCTTAACATTCGTGATAATTGAATTTGTGTTTGTGCAAGTGTATGGACTGGTAATGTTAATAAAGATTTTTGATCAGTATTTTCATAAAAATTTAATATTGAACAAAAAAATTGTGAACGCCAAGTAAATAAATCAACTAGAGAATTTAATTGATCAATATTTGTAATTGGACGACTTCTATAAAATTAAAAAAAAATTTGTAAAAATAAAAAAAATCGAAGAGGTTTGTCGAAATGTAAAAAAAAACCGAACCGAAGAATTGAAAATTTTTCAGATCTTCTTTACATATATCCTAGGATTTTATAAGAACACACAGACTTCATACACAAACCCTAGCCTATTTAAACTATGCCAATCGATTCTCTCAAAATATATTTGGAGTACGTCAAAGAGAGATACGTCAAAGAATGGCGTACCAAAAATCGACAAAATTTGGCACTTTAAAAAAATTTCTGCTGAAAGTGTGTGTGTGGGCTTGAGATATTTCACTATACGCAATACTTATTCTTCACGAAAAATTAGGAATTTTTTTTTCTTATAAATTTCTGATTTTCAATGGTGCAGGGAAAATTTTGGGTTATATATATGTACCTCAAGAATAAGGATCCTAACTTGTCTGAACTCTTGAGGTATTTTCCCTATACCCGATCCCTTTTTTCCCTATACCCGATCCCTTTTTTCCCTATACCCGATCCCTATACCCAATTTCCCTATACATAATCCTTATTCTTAAAAAAATTTAAAAAAAAACCTCCAAGATTTTAACAAATGTTTAACAGAAGTATTTAAATTATTTGATGATGAAGAAGAAGATGATCCATTTTGTTGTTGTTGTGAAGAAGGAAAATTAATTGATTGTAAATTATTATTTACTACATTTGCAGATTCACAAACTTCATGTGTAAAATGGGCCAAATTTAAAATTTCCAAATGTGAATGTGAAATAATTGAAGGCAATTTTTTCCAATTTGTTATCAACATTTTATTTATTTCTTCAAATGCTTTTCCATCTAATTGATCAAAATTGGCAATCTGTGAAAAAAAATTTTTTTTGAAATTTATTTTATTAAATCAAAAAAAAATATTTTTTTGGTTTTTTTTTCAATTTTGAAATTTTTGAAAATTATTTGAAATTATTTGAAAAATTATTTTAAATTTTTCAAAAAAATTTTTTCCATAAAAATTGAAAAAAAAATTCAAGAAAAAAATTTTTTCATGATTTTTTTTAATTTGAATTTTTAAAAATTTTTTGAAATTTTTCAAAAAATTATTTTAAAAATTTTCAAAAAAATTTTTTTAATTGCAAAAAATTTTAAAACCGATCCAAAGATTTTTTGTAAAAATTTTTTATTTTTTAAAAACCTTTTGGCATTCTTAAAAATATTTCTTGAAAATTTCTTTGATTTTGAAAATAGAAAAAATTCAAAAATCAAAAAATTAAAAAAAAATTTTCATAAAAGTTAAAAAAAATTCTAGAAAGAATTTTTTCTCCAAAAAATTATAACAAAAAAATTTCAATTTTTCTTGGAAAAAATTTTTTTGAAATTTTTAACAATTTAAAAATAAATTTGAATCTCTTAAATAAAAAATACCCACCTTAATCATTAATTTGTAAAGATACGATTTTATTGTCATTGACGGATCACCAGCAGCATCAAGTTGAATTAGGCAATCTCTAAATTTTTTAATTAAATTTAAAAAAAATTATTTTTCAAACTTTAAAAGCTTCCAATCACTCAAATGCCAAGCGGTTTCTGTCAATAAATTAATATTTGCAACTTCATCCGAATTTGAAAATGCTTCCAATGATGTCCAATCATTAAGTTGTTTACAAGAACTAATTATTAAAAAATTTAAAAAATGACAAAAAAAATTTTTAATTGAAAAAAATTCAAACTCAATCCAAAAATTTTTTTGAAAATTTTTAAAACCCTTTAGAAATTCTGAAAAATAGTTCTTAAAAATTACTTTGATTTTTTTAAATTAAGAAAATAAATAAAAAAAATTTTAATTTTATTTTTTTATTTTAAAAAACCCAAAGAAATTTAAAGGAAAATTTTAAAAATTTTAAAAGGTTTTCAAAAAATTTCTCCAAAAAATCAAAAAAAAATTTCCAAAAAATTTCAAATAATCTTACTCAATCCAACAATTTTCAAATATTTGAAATTCTGATAGTATTGCAGGTGTTACCGCATTTAATGAATCAGATTTAAATAATTTTTCGTTTAAATACAACATTAATTTTTCTGCTGTTTCACGGGCACGAACAAAATCGCCCTTAAAAAATTTAAATTTTTAATTAAAAAATTTAAAAAAAAACCTGTTGATAAAATGCTAAACATTTAATTGTTTTTTCAAAACATGCACGCTTTCTCCATACAAAATTGTATTGATCAAATTCATTAAGCAATTGATAAAGTCTAGTTAATGAATCAAGCGTATCCTTCAATAAAAAAAGAAAATATAAATTGTATTTCATTAATTCTGATTTGTGTGTTTTATGTGTTTTTATAAAATTGTGTGTTTTTATTAATTCTGATTTTTGTATTTTATAAATTTATTTTTTAAGAAACTCTGATTTGTGTTTGTGATATGTATTCTTAAATTAGTTCTGATTTGTGTTTTACTGTTTTATTGTTTTAAATTTATATTCTGGTTTGTGTTTTTGTAATTAATTCTGATATGTGTTTTGTCTTTTTTTTTGTAATTTTTATTCTGATTTGTGTTCTTTAAATTTATTCTGGTTTGTATTTTCTTTTTCAGATTTTTATTCTGATATGTATTTTCTTTTTTTTCTGATTTTGTTCTGGTTATTCTGATTTTCTAGCTATTCTGGTTTATTCTTGTTTGATTTTCCCTTTTACCTAATTTATATTCTGATTTTGTGTTTTATTCTTTTATGTGTTTTATTCTGATTTTGTGTTTTTTTTTCTGATTTTGTGTTTCTTTTTTTCTGATTTGTGTTTTCAAATTTAAATCAAAAATATATTACCAATTTTTCTTCTGTTAAATTTGTTGCAGCATTCCAAGCTGACGTTGTTATTTCACCACCAATATTAGAAATTAATGCTTTTTTACTTATCGCAATTTTTTCTAATTTTAATAGAGCAATATGCCAACATTTAAAATTTGATCCAACATAGCTTAAAACAACTGGATCAATTTCAATTTCAGGCTTTTTACATTTAATTAAAGCTTTTAATATTGTTGAAACAACAAAATTTTCTTCTTCCTCAAAATGATTATCTTCTTTTTTTATTCTTCCATTTTTTGTTGTTGATGGTGGAATACAAAATGCTGATGAAGTTAAAAATGGAGTTATAAATGAACAAATTTTTTCACGTTCATTTTCGTTTAAATTGGACCATATTGATGTGAATAACTTGAATTTTCAAAGGAAAAAATTTTTTTTTGAAATTTAGAAATGATAATTTAAAATTTTTTTTTAAGATTTTTAATAAATTTCTATCAGATTTATTTAAAAAATCACCAAAAAATTTTTCGAAAATTTTTTAAAAATAAAAAAAACCTTAATAAATGTTTGTTGACATAATAATGGATCAATATAAAGTAAATCAACAAAATTTTCTATCCATTCAGTACAAATTGTGGAAGGTGTTAATTGTTCATCATTTGATATGCAAAGACTATAGAAAAAATTATTTTTAATTTTTTTAAATTTTTATTATTAGAAATCGGAAAATAGGATAAGATCATTTCATGAATACCTCTCAGTTTATCCTCGGATCAAAAATTCTTAAAGATATATTGATTCGTATCAGGGATGGGCCTCTTTTCAGATTTTTAAAAATAAAACAGAATGGGGAAGAAAAAATGTAGAAGGGATAAAATGTGAAAAAAACGGCAGATGAAAAACGGAAGTAGGTGGAAGAAGACACAAAAGATTCCATCCCTTGATTCGTATCAATAACCTCCTAAAAAAAGTCCGATCTCCCCACAAAAAAAATTCTTTGTTCCTTTACCTTTCCTGTATTTCATCAAAAATTTTATTCAATTGAGAGTTATTATCTTCTTTATCATCAACATCCATTGCTTCATCCTCCCCTCCTTCCTTATTTTTTCTTCTTCCTTTATCATCTTCTATTGTTATTGTATCCATTTGAATCTCATCTTCCTCTTCATCCTCCCCTACATTAACAAGATCAATTGTTTCAACATCCAAAGACATTTTTTCAATTATTTTTTCATCATCTTCCCTATTTCTTCCCTCAATTCTTCCCTCAATTTTTTCTTCCTTTTTTTCTTCATTTATTCCTCCATTTATTAATAAAGGACAAAATATTGAACAATTTTTTAATTTTAATAATAAATTTGAATTAGTTGTTGATTTATCCGCATTTAATAATAAATTAATTAAATGTGCAATAATTGAGGAAGAATTTGTTGTAGAAGAATTTAATAAATCCCAACGTTCATTTGTAAAAATATATATTAATCGAGCAAATAAATTGGGAGGAAATAAACGTTGATGAATTGTGAAAAATCTTTTTAAAAAATTTTTTAAATTAAGATATGAAGTCAAAACCCATATTTTTAGAGATATCTTCCCAAAATTTAGACAGTCCTCCCTATTTTTAGGATTCGAATTTCTTAAAATCCCTATTGACAAAAGATAAGGACCTAAGCGATGCAATCTATTTGCCAATAAATATGAGACATAAGCCTAACCTATTTTTTTTAGATATTCCCAAAATTAGGCAATCCGCTCTCTATTTAGGATTAATTTTGGTTGGCCAAAGGATGGGGAAGCTTCATGAGCACCTCATTATGAGCTTATCACCACAAAATTACCTACATCTTAACTTAAGATAAATTTTGAGAAACTTGGTTAGCCGATGGGTGAAGGAGATGCCCAAGCGATGCCGTCTACTTACAATTAGGATACACCTCTTTAAAATGTATGAGTTTATAAGTTCCTTAAAGGGGATATTCTTAAAAGTCAGGTCTAATGTTGAAAAAAGCTTTACTTTAAAAATTCAAATAAAGAAATTCCAAACCTTTTACGAAGTTCTTTATCCACACAACATAAACCCCAATAAAATGCTGGTAGAATAATTTCAATATTTAATAATCCTTCACTACTACTCAACATTAAAGACGACGAATTTTCATATAATAAAATTATTGCATTTAAAAATAAATTTTTCAATTCAAAATTTGTTGTTAATCTTGATTCTAATGTTGAAAAAAGTTTGATCAAAACTTGTGCTCCTAAACTTTGAATTTTAATATTTGGTTGAGGAGTTGATGTAATTTGTTGTAATTGTTGTTGAAATGATTCAGAAATTAATTGTACTTCTGATGTAAGAATTTCTGTTGCAATCTGATTTTAAAAAAAAATAGAAACATGTATAGTTGGATCTAGCTATAAGATATCTTAGGCTCTGGAACTCTCACAAACTCTGTCAGTTTAAGATGCGTTTTTTTAATTTAGTTGGACTCTGGGTTGGGGAGCTGTCTGTTTAAGGAGCTGCGAGACAGCTTCCTATAACAATAAGATGAGGAGCCTCTGATTGAGGAGCTGCCGAATCCTCTGATGAGAGTAAGGACTGTCTAATTGTAAACCTCAGAGTTGAGGAGCTGTCTAAGCCTCAAGGTTGGGGACCTGCCTCTTAAAACAGCCTCAGAGCTAGAGAGCTGTTTAAAAGTTGAGTTGAGGAGTTAAGCTTCCAAAGCTAGGGAAGCACCCATTGTATGAAAAAACGGGTGGGTGCTTGAGGCGCTTCCCATATTAAACGGGGTGCTTCCCATTTAAAAAACCCCTCAACATAAAATAAAAATTTTTTAACCTCAAGGAAATCTATTTAATATAGTGAGGTCCCAAACTTTTACAAAAAATATTAAAAAAAAATAAAAATTAAAAAAAAATTAAAAAAAATCAAACCTTAATAACATTTTCAATTAATTTATCTGCTGCTCCTTTTTCAATTAAAGGTATTATAACAAATTGTACAATAGTTTTTTGTGCTTCAGTATTAAAATAACAAGTACGTGAACATAATAATTCTAAACATATTGAAAGTAAATCACCAATTAATTTTTGTGCTTGTAAATCATGTTGTTGAATAGGTGTAATTGCTGTTGTAGCAGAATAAGTAAAATTTGTTGCAACATATTCACGAACAAGTCTAAAAGGTTCAGAATTAAATAATTAATTTTTGTGTGCATTTTTATTTTACTTTCAGAATTTAAAAATATTAGTATACAGTCCAGAATTAATTTCAGAAAAAAACACATTATTTCTGAATTTTAATAAACGTTTCAGAATTAATTCTGCAAAGGAAAAACAAACAATTTTCAGAATTTTGACAATTTCAGAATTAGAACAATTCCAGAAAACAAATAATTTTCAGAATTTCAAAATTATACCACTAAATATTAGCATTCCAGAATTAATTCCGGAAAGAGAAAGCACAATTTTTAATAGCTGCAGAATTATTTTAAAAAATATTTTTCGGAATTTTAACAAAAAACACAAACATTTTTCAGAATTAAATTCCGGAAAAGAAAAAACACAAATTTTTCAAAATTTACTAAAACAAAAACACACATTTTTAATTTAATTTCAGAATAATACAAGCATGTATATTTTTCAAAATTTTTCATCAGAATTTTTTCCGAATTAGAAAATCAGAATTTTTTAGCATTAAAGAAAAATTCTGATTTTTAATTCTGTTCTTATATTTGACTTCAGAATAATTAAATTAAAAACCCCCCACCTTTGTAATAGTTTAACAAACGATCCTAAACAGACAGTTTCCAAATAATTAGATTGTGCTGAATGCATTAATCTCAATAATGTAATAACTGTCATTGGAGGTGAAGCAGTTAATGAACAAGCATAATTATTAAAAGCATCATGAATACAACGACTAATATGTTGATTAAGTAAATCAAAGTCATTTAGACCAGGAGGAAGTGTCATTGCAGCTGCATTATTTTTTGTTGTTTTATCAAGAAGTTTACCCAAAATATTGTATGTACTACGAAGTATTTGCTATAAAAAATATTTGAAAATTTAAAAAAAAAATTTGAAAAAATTTTCAGAACATTTCAGAAAATTTTCAAAAATTCAGAAAAATTTTCAAAAAAAATTTCTGAAATTTTTAAATAAATTTTCTAATTTATTTGACATGAAAAAAATTTTAAAAAATATATTACTTGAGAATTGCTATAGCTCATACAACAAATTAAAGATCTTTGTAAAGGTCGAAATAAATCTACAAGCAATTGTTGAGACTAGAGAAAAAAAAATAAAATTAAAAAAAAATTTTAAATTTCATATTCTTCCCCCAAATTTCTAATTTTATTTCTCATTCATTCACCTCTCTGAACGAACTTAATAAATTTATTATAATTTCCCTTTTGTGTTAATCCCCCTTTTTTTCGTTTGTTTGAAAGGTGAGTGACAAGTAGGCTTATGACAAGTGGGTGCCATAAGCATACATTTACACATTTTCTATTCTTTTTTAAAAGAAAAAAAGGAGTTAGAAGATTCAAAATTGATCGCAAAAATTTTTCCTTTTAAATAAAATTTTTAAAATCCAAACCAAATGAGGTATAATATTCGAAAGAACATCCAAAGTTATATTAACTAATTGAAGTTGTTGATTTATTGCAGTTTCATTTGCTGTACTAAATTGTTCTGGATTGGGTAGTTGTAATTGTTTCTCAAATCTTTTAGAAAAAATTAAATTTATTTTTAAAAATAATTTTAAATTAAAAAAATACTTTAAAATTAAAAAAATTTTTTTTGAAATTTTTTCAAATAAAAATTTTTTTCAAAAAATTACAAAAAAAATTTTTTTGAAATTTTTTGAAAAAAATTTTTTCAAGCAAAAATTTCTGATAAATTTTTCTCTATTAAAAAATAAAAATTATTTACAAATTTGTCCGAATAGTAACAACATTTCCAAAAATATTTGGTTTCAAAGCTACACGTAAAAGAAGTAGAGCACGTCCTAAAAAATTATTTTAAAATTTTTTTTTTCGTTTTTACTATTAATTTGTTCAAGAGCAGAAGATCCTCCTCCACTACTTGTAGAAAACTTTAACAAAAAAAAATTTTAAAATTCAAAAAAAAATTATTTTATTAAAATACTTGATCTGTAGATGTAGCCATACGAAACAAAAACATAATAACAGTATCAATAAAATTTTTATCCATTTCTTTGTTTGAATCAGGTGGTAGAGGAATTGAAGGCTGCAAAAAAAAATTAAAAATAAAAAAAAAAATCACTTCAATTTTTTTCAAATATAAAAAAGTAAGGTGCGACAATATTTTGGCTTTCCCAACCCTTCCCAAAAATATCAAAATTCTTGACGATCCCCAAAACGAAAATTAAACACATTTTTTGTCAGCTAAACCCTAGGGTTGGACTAGAGATCGGTGTAAAATTGTGTTTGCGGGATCTCGCATGCGGGATTTTTCTTTTAAATATTAGCGAAATGGGATCCCGCGGGATAAATCCCACAATTTAAAAAAAATGAGGGGTTGCGGGACGGGATCGCGCGGGATAAATCCCGCAATTTAAAATAAATGAAGGAATTGCGGGACGGGATCGCAGAAAATCCCGCGCGGGATCCTGTCTCGCACCGATTTCTAGTTTGGACCAGGGATCGCACCGAAAAAATTCCCGATCCCCGAAAATCGGGAATTCGAAATTTTCGGGAATTCACGATTCCCAAAATCAGGAATTTTGTTTTTATGTCGGTGCGATCCCTGGTTTGGCCCGCCTTAGAAAAAAATCTTTTTTAATTTCAAAAAAAACCTCAGCATCAATATTACTTGAAGTACTAGGTTGTTGAGATTGTTGTTGAACATCATCATTATCATCACCAAGTTCTACTACAACATGCTCAGTTTTACAATTAGAATTATTTGTCAAATTTAATTGTTGTTGTCTATCTTGTTCCCATTTTATAACAACTTCACAAAATTCTAATAATAAACGTTTTGTTTCTAAACCAATTTGTATTGACATTAATTTTTGTATTGAACTTAAAATTAATTGTGACATTGAATGACGAACATAATAAAAAACTATAAAAAATTTAAAAAATTTTCTTTCTAATAAGCTTAAAAAAACCTTTATATTGTCGAATTATAATTTGTCTGAAAAAAATATTAAAAATGATAAGAAATTCTTTTTGAATTTTTCAAAAATTTTTCTGCAATTTTTAATGTTTATCGAAACTTTTCTAAAAATTTACTAAAATTTTCAGAAAAAAATTTTCAAAGAAGTTTCAAAACTATAAAATTCTTTTGAGAAAATTTAAAAAATTTCCTAAAAAATTTTTTAAAGTCGAAAAAACTTTTCAAAAAATTTTTTTGATTTTTTCCCTCGTTTCCTGAATATTGATTTAAAAAACAAAAAATTTTTGAAAAATTTCCGAAAAATTTTTTAACTAAAAAATCTCCCTTACAAGCAATGTATAATTTGTAACCCATATTGTTTAGTTTCTTCAATCATAACTTTTTTAATTAAAGCTTTTAATTGAGAATAACCATCTGTCATACGTCTAGTTACTGCTGGGATTAAAATATCCAAAGATTTACGAACCATTTCTTTATTATCCTAAAATTTTAAAAATTTTTAATTTTTTTAAAGTTAAAAATTTGGGAAAAATTGTTATTCGGAAAATTTATGAAAAAAATTTTTTGAAAATTTTTGAAAATTTTTTTATGAAAATCTTCTAAAATTTTTAAAAAATTTTAAGATAAAAAAATTTTTTTTTAATTTTTGAAAATTTTTGAAACTTTTTTTTTGAAAATTCTCTAAAATTTGTAAAAAAAATTTTAAAAATTTCCAAAAAAATTTCAGAAAAATTCTTAAAATTTAATAAAAAAAATATTTTTTCTAAATTCCAAACCTGTTGATATGCTTGTATTAAACTATTCAAAACTTGTAAAATTATAGTTCGATTAATTAAAAATTTATCAACAATGTTTGCTATGAGAAAGAGGCCAGCATATTTTTCTGTTAAATCTCCACGAAAACTTTGTTGTAAAGAAGGCCAACCAAAACTTTATTAAAAAAATTTTTTATTTAAAAAATAAAAAAAACACTTACAGCATAAAAGGTCGAAGATTACCCAATTCTTGTTTATTTCCTTGTTGCCTTAAAAAATTTATAAAAATTTAAAAAATTAAAAAAAGATTTTTAATAGGGCTATGATGTAGTTTATATGTAGGACCAAAAAGATTTACGAGACAAAATAAAAAAATTTCTGAATTTAATGAAAACATATGAGTCCAAAGAAAAAGTTTTGTGATAGTTAAGAGTAGGGTGTCCCCGAGCATGGAAAAATTTGGGAAATCCGGAACCCGAAACCAAAGAAAGAAATAACTGAAAAATCCTCAGTTCTTCGGTTCGATTCCGAATTGACAACCGTAGTTAAGGCTAATTTTGGTGTCCCCGTAGTATTGAAAAAAAATTAAAAAATCAAAAAATTATTTCACGCAAAATAAAAAAAACACATGGACGCATAAACTCTAGGTCCTAGACTCTAGGTTGAAAGCATAAACCTAGGCCCTAGAGCAAAAAATTTTTTCTTAAAAATTTTCTCAAAAATTCCATAAAAACAAACAAACTTTTTTGAAGCATCATAAATATGTGTTGAACATTTTTGAACAAATAAAGAACAAAAAAGATACATAACAATAACTAATGTATGACTTAAAGAAGTTCGATCAGATGTTGCTTTTTGAATTACTTCACGGCATAAAATTAATACAATATTGTTTTGTTGTGAATGTTTTTGATCATCATCTATCATTGATGTTGATGGAGAATCTGATGATAATTCTAATAAAAATATTATGTGTTGATTTTAAATTAAATTTTTAGTAGGCAGTAGTGATGTTCGGGAGAAGAAAAAACTCGGGAATCGGGAAACGGGAGTCGGGTCGGGAAATGACCTCGGGAGTCGGGATCGGGAGTCGGGAATTTACAACAAAAAAATTTTTGGCGCCTTCGGCGCCAAAAATACCAATTTTTTGCTATGCAGGCGAAAATTTTGAGAATTTTGGAAGGTCAGGAAGCCAGACATCTAACCTCCTGGATACGCCATTGATGTTATGATCACTCTCGACAATCTAAAATCCTTTGTCCGCGCCGCAGGCGAAAATTTTCTTAAGTCGAAGGCTGAGAACCAGACTTCGTCCTTTATTTTTGAGAATTTCTAAGGTCGTAGGCCAAAAAATCCACTTTTTCTGCGCCGCAAGCGAACATTCTGAGAATTTAAGAAACTTCATCGAGGGAATCTTGTCAAAAATATACCCCCAAGAACTAGTTCCAAAGCTAGTTCCAGACATTTACTAGTTCCGTCGTTCTAGTTCCAAACTAGTTCAGATAATCGTTAGTTCCGTAGTTCCAGTTCTGGAACTGGAACTAAAACTAATTAGTTCCGAAACTGGAACTGGAGCTTTGCCCATCACTGCTAAGAAGTCAGATATTTTTCATTTTCTGCGCCGCAGCCGAAAATTTTTGAAAATCCATGACTAACTCAATATTTCTGGAATTTTTTGACGTTTATAGTATTGAAAAAAATAACTTTAAAATTTTAAAATCAAAATCAATGTTAAAACCATTTATTTTTGGGTGGAAAAATTATTTAAAAACATTTACCAGCCCTGGATTCGAACCCAGCCCCAACAAAGCAACTGAAGTCACTCAACTTAACCACTCAACCACGTTTCAACAATAGTTAAATTGGAAAAAATTTAAATATTTTATTTTTCCTTTCTCTTTTTTTATTTTTTTTCTTTATTTTTTCCTTTCAAAAATAAAGTTTTATGAGAAAAATCCATTCTTAGGGGTGTAAAAATTTCCCGACTTAGTCGGGAATTGGCATCGGGAGTCGGGGTCGGGATCGGGAGGCCAAAAACTCGGGAAATTTCCCGAGTCGGGTGTCGGGAGTCGGGATACCCGAACATCACTAGTAGGCAGGGCACAAGGTAGGCCTAAAAGCATTGATCGTAAAGATGGTACCCGGGAATCTTCCACTTCCGTCTTTCGCTTTGCTAGACGGAAGACGGAAGCTGACACATCCCTGGGTTGTACCCTAAAGTTAGACCAATGTATAGCTCTCAAAAGCATTGCAAAACTTGGCAAGGCATAAAAAAGCAAGGCAATATCTTGCAGGGCAAATCCCAAATCAGGGCAAAACCCTAATTTTTCACAAAAAAGAAAATCATATAATAAACGGTCTTGTTGCATAAAGGCTTATATAACGGCCTTATTACCCACGATTTTATAAAACAAAAAATAATAAAATTAAAAAAAAATAAACCAGATATTTGTGGAAGAGGATCACCACCAACAACCAAATCAATATCATAATTATCAAAAGCAAAAGAAAATGATGGAGCAACAATATATTGCATAAAACGTACCAAATGCATTGAATGTCCATTTTTTGGATCAGATTTAAGAAGGTTGATAACTTTGAAAAAGGTAGCACGGCGAAGAGATAAAGAAATTTTCTGTAAAAAAAATCTATTAAAGTTTGAAAAATCGAAAAATTTTCAAAAAATATTCATAAAAATTCCAAAAACAATTCAACAAAAAATTAAAAATAATTTAAAAAATTCCAAAAATTCTAACGTCTAAAAATTTTTAAAAAAATTCTAAGATTTTCAAAAAAAAAAAAATAAAAAAAAATCCGAAAAAATCTAAAAAAATTTCAAAAAATTAAAAAAAATTATCGAAGCAATTTTCAAAAAATTCAAAAAATATTCATAAAAATTCCAACCGAATTTTTTAAAAAAATTAAATTTTCAAAAAAAATTCCAAAAAAATTTCAAAAAATTCCAAAAACCCCACTCTTACCGGCACAATTTCTTCTTCAATAAATTGTTGTAAAAATAAAAAATCTGAAGCATAATTTCTAACAAATGCAAAAGTTAAATCATATAATAAATCAATTATTTCATCTTCAGACGATAAAATTTCAGAATTTTCAACAGTTGTTTGTAAAGCCAACAAAAATTTTAATTTAGTTAAAATTATACGAGCACAATAAATTGGGACATCAAATTTATTTTCATCCAAAATTTTTGGTGGTATAAAAAATGTTTCTTCTTCTTCCTGCGGTAAAGCTGATAATAAATTGGCAGCTTCTTCGTCTGGGAAAATTTGCCCAACAGAATGACCATTCTAAAAATTAATAAAAAAAATTTTTAGAAAAAAAGTCGAAAACTTCTCATTTTCACAAAAATCTCTTAAGCTGACAACCCACAAAATAACACCTAATAAGATTGGCGGTTCCTGGGAAATCTTCGGTTATCTGATACCGACACCGATAACCGAACCGAAAATTTTCGGTTATCCTGTCTTTTTTCGATTCCGGATAACCGGAACCGCCAACCTTACCCCCTAATAATGAACTGTATCTTTTTAATATAGAGGGTATTTGTGGATTGTCAGCTTAAAATATTTTTGTCAAAAAAAAAGTTTTCGACTTTTTAAAAAAAATCAGCTCTTAAGACTTGAGTTGTGGTTCTTGTAAAATCTTTGAAATTAGGAACCGAACCAAAGAAACAAAACAAAAATTCAGAATCAACTAGTTAAACCGAAAAATACTCGGATTTACGGTTCCGTTCTGAACTAAAACACCATAACTGCCCTATTGCTTAACCGAATTCAACAAAAAATATTTAAATACAAAATATCTCTCAAATTTTGGAGGTAACTAAAAATAAGGTGGTAGTGCCATAACACAGAAAAAATTAAAAATAAAAACCTGAAAATTTTCTGATAGCCATAACTGTCTTATTGAAAATATTATATCATTCCACAATTGAATATAATTATTAGAAAAATCATTACTATCATTTAAAAGATTATGCTTCTCAAAAAATGTTGAAAGAAAACGAAGAAAATTTAACATAAATTTTTTATTGTTGTTTAAATTAGATAAATCATTTTCATTACTGTTGGGAGAGAAGATATCATTATTATTTTGCTAAATTTGAAAAAAATAACTAAACGTTTTAGCTTATTAAAAACAAAAAATCTTTTTCGCTTCTCAAGCAGTATTTGAAAATTTAAAGGCTGGGAATTTTCTTTTAGAGCACTCTCAATCCCAATTCCCGAAAATCATGAAATTCAACATTTTTTGGGGTCGGTCTCGACATCCGAAAGCGTCTTTCGTATATTTCTTCAACAACTTTCGGATCAAAATTCCCAATTACCGAAATCAAAAAATTATTTTAGAGTCATTCAAACTTTGGCACAGAAGTACAAGTACATATAGATTTTTTACAAGTTTTCAAATATTTGTTTCACGTTTATTAAAGTTAAAAAAAGTATTTTCAAACCTCAAGTAATTCATCTGTAAATTGTTGCAAAGTTGATAAATTATCAGCTATACAAAGTCTAAAATTTGTTGCATCTTCCATACTTGTAAGTAAAACAAGAAAATTAGTAGCAGAATCATTATTAAATATTTCTTTTGTTAAAATTGTTATAGGATAAAAATCACTTGAAAATTTAGATAAGTAAGAAAAATAATCATTTTGCCAAGTAATATTTTGCTGAAAAAAATTTTTTGAAATTAAAAAAAAAATTTTTTGAAATTTTTTTACAAATAAAAACCTTTGTTGTAAAAATAGATAAACATTCAGAATAAAATAAAAATAATTTTTGTAACAATTGTTGATCCAAATAATTGACATGTGTAAAAAATTGTAAAGCATTAGAAACACATTCAACATCAACAATGTTAATATTATTTGAAGATAAAGAAGCATCAATTAATATAAGGACATCCTTCTATAAAAATTATATTTTTTAATTAAAAAATTAAAATAAATTTTTTGAAAAATTTCAAACTAAAAATTCCTAATTTTCAAAAAAATTTTTACAAGTTTTTCAAAAATATTTCCAAAAATCTTTAAAAATTTCATAATTTTTTTTATTTTAGAAAAGCTCAAAAAAATATTTTTTAATAAAAAAATAAAAAAATATTCTTTCACCATGATTAATTCCAATTCTTCCATTTTAAAATTTCTAGTAGAATATTTAATCAAAAAATTAATTTTATTGAAAAATGTTGTTGAAATTTCCAATTTCTTGTCAACAAAATTATTAATAATATCTTCAAGTTTTTGGTTTATATAAAAAATATTTTCAGAATTATTATATTCTTCTAGTATCTAAAAAATAATTTTTTTAAATTTTTTATGTAAAAAATTTATAAAAAATTTTTAAATTTTTTGGAGAAAAATTTTACCAAAAAATTTTCTTCAAAAATTTTTTGGAAAATTTTTTTTTCAAAAAAATTTTCCAAAAAATCTTAAAAATATCCTACCTTCCCAATACATTCACAAGCTTCTTCCTTTAATTTATTTCCATTTTTCATTATTATAGCATTTTCAAAAATTGTTTGAAATATTTGTTCCAACAAAATTTGTTGTTGTTTTTGATGATGTAAAAATTTTGGGATTTGTATTGAAGAAATAATTGATTTGGAATATGAAGCAATATTAAAATAGAGAAGAATAAGGGCTTCTAAAAAAGAAGAGACAAAAAAATTAAAATCAGAATTTTTAAAAAATCAGAATTTTAAGAGAATCAGAATTTTAGAAAAATCAGAATTTTAAGAGAATCAGAATTTTAGAAAAATCAGAATTTTAAGAGAATCAGAATTTTAGAAAAATCAGAATTTTAAGAGAATCAGAATTTTTAGAAAAATCAGAATTTTAAGAGAATCAGAATTTTTAGAAAAATCGGAATTTTAAGAGAATCAGAATTTTAAGAAAATCAGAATTTTAAGAGAATCAGAATTTTTAGAAAAATCAGAATTTTAAGAGAATCAAAATTTTAGAAAAATCAGAATTTTAAGAGAATCAAAATTTTAGAAAAATCAGAATTTTAAGAGAATCAGAATTTTTAGAAAAATCAGAATTTTAAGAGAATCAGAATTTTAGAAAAATCAGAATTTTAAGAGAATCAAAATTTTAGAAAAATCAGAATTTTAAGTTAATCAGAATTTTTAGAAAAATCAGAATTTTAAGAGAATCAAAATTTTAGAAAAATCAGAATTTTAAGAGAATCAAAATTTTAGAAAAATCAGAATTTTAAGAGAATCAGAATTTTTAGAAAAATCAGAATTTTAAGAGAATCAGAATTTTAGAAAAATCAGAATTTTAAGAGAATCAAAATTTTAGAAAAATCAGAATTTTAAGAGAATCAGAATTTTTAGAAAAATCAGAATTTTAAGAGAATCAGAATTTTAGAAAAATCAGAATTTTAAGAGAATCAAAATTTTAGAAAAATCAGAATTTTAAGAGAATCAGAATTTTTAGAGAATCAGAATGTTTAGAAAAATCAGAATTTTAAGAGAATCAGAATTTTTAGAAAAATCAGAATTTTAAGAGAATCAGAATTTTTAGAAAAATCAGAATTTTAAGAGAATCAGAATTTTTAGAGAATCAGAATTTATATCAAAATTTTTTTAGAAAATAATAAACTAAAAATCAAAAAATTTACTCACTCAATGCAATATCTCGAAGTGTTGCTTCATTTCGCCTCTCATCAGAAAAACCATTGCTACTATTCTCTTCAATAATATGGAAACAAATTTTTAGAAGACTTTTTGAAAATATCATACATTCATAAAGAGGAATATCAATATTGAATTCATCAATTTTTGAACAAAAAATAAAAAGATCCTTTTTAAATAATAAAAAAAAATTTAAAAATATAGTTGGACCCCTCTTAATATAAAATAAACTACACCCCCTTCCCTCCAATTCTAACCAATTTTATAGTAATGGTGGTGACGGAAAACAGAGGAAAGAACCCCAAAAGTGTTAAAAAAATCAGTAGATGAGTCTAATTGAAAACAGACGAGAAAACAAATGCCGCATTTCAATTTTTTAATTTGGTGGTTAGTGGACGGGGGAAGAGGTGCCTAATCACCACCATCAAATTAAAATAAACCTTACTATAAAATTTACTCCTCAGTCCAAAGCGGGATATTTTATTATGAGTTCAAACAGTAATAAAAAAATTAAAAAATAAACTTACAATTCCAGCAATTTTACTCTTTTCAGAAATTGTAACAAATTCTCTTATAGACTCCAAAATTTTTGTTCTCAAAGATTCTTTAAAATTTTTTAAAATTGAATAAAGAGCCAAATTTGTTCGAGTAGACAAAGAACAAATTATTCGAAAAATCTGAAATTTTTATTAATTTTTAAAAGTAAAAAAAAACATTTTCAATTCACCTCTTTTCTCAAAATATAATCTGGATCATCAATAAAATTTATTAATTTTGATACAAATTGATTTAATAAATCAATTGATACAATTGAATTTGAATTATTTGGAAAACAAACATTTAAAAGTAAATCTATAGTTTTTGAAGAATAATCTAAAGCACCACTAGAAAGTTCATTTGATAAATCAGAAATCATCTGAAATATTTTTAAAAAATTTTTAAAGGCTTGGGTTGTTTTAAAAATTATTTTGAGACTTTGGACAATTTAAAAATTCGGAAAAAATTTAAAGGGCAAGAGTTACTTCAAAAAAACAAAAAAAAATTTTTTAATTTTTCAAAAAAAATTTCAAAGGTTAGGGCTACTTTTAAAAAATTAAAGAAAATTTTTTTTAATTTTTAGTCATTTTTAAAAATTTTTTTAAAGGTTTGGGCTATATTTAAAAACCAAAAATTATATTTTTAATAAAAAAAAATCTAAACAAACTTGAATACAAGCTTCAACAATTTTAATACAATATTTTTGTACTAATAAAGGAGGATAATATTCAATTATAAGCCTTAAAGCAGTACATCCTCCAAGTTTAGAAAACCATTCACAGCTATAACAGAGTAATGTAATCTTTTCAAATAAATATTCAAATAATGGAAATTGACAAATTTTTTCAACATTTTGTTCATAAATAATATTTAATGTGTCAATTATTATACGTAAAGCAAGCTGGAAAAAAAAGAAAAATTTGAAATTTAATTTAAAATCAGAATTCTGATTTTAATTAAAAATCCTCATTTGATTAAAAAATCAGAATTCTGATTTTTTTAAATTCTGATTTAATTGAAAACCAGAATTCTTATGCAAAAAATTCTGATTTATAATGAAAATAGAATTAAGATTTTTTAAATTCTGATTTAATCATAAATCAGAATTCTTATCTTTTAAAATTCTGATTTATAATAAAAACAGAATTATGATTTTTTTAATTCCGATTTACTAAAAACCAGAATTCTTATGCAAAAAATTCCGATTTAATAAAAATCAGAATTCTGATTTTTTAATTCTGATTTACTAAAAATCAGAATTCTGATATTCTTTGAAATTCTGAATTAATTCAAAATCAGAATTCTGATTTTTGAATTAATAAAAATCAGAATTCTGATATTCTTTGATATTCTTTGAAATTCTGAATTAATTCAAAATCAGAATTCTGATTTTTATAATTCCGATTTGATAAAAACCAGAATTCTGATATTTTTAAAATTCTGATTTAATAAAAACCAGAATTCTGATTTTTTAAGGTTCTGATTTAATTAAAAAATCGGAATTATATTATTTTAATTTTAAAAATGTTTACAATAGCAGCATGACAATAATCTTTGCAAGGATCAGACAATGTTTGGGCTATTACATCAATTAATACAAATGAATCCATTGAAGAATGATCTTGAAAAAAATATTTTTAAAAAAAAAATTAAAAAGAAACCTTTCCTATCATTTCCCTCAAAAATTCCACTTATAGTTAAATATTTAATAACAATTTTAAAAAATTCCAAAAATTTTTCTCTTGTTTCAACATTAAAAACACAAATAAAAATTCCTTTTAAAGCATTTATTGTTAATTCTCTTGAATTTGAATCAGAACAAATAATATACATTTTAGTTGATTTTTCATCAATTTTGTTAGAAATATTGTCAACAAATTGGGAAGAATTTTTAATTGATGATTTTTCAATTGAAAAAATTTTTAATAAAACAAATTTTAATAAATTTGCTGCAGCAAGTTGATTATATGAATTTGAAGTTGTTGTTGTTTGGTTTCTGAAGCAAATTTAAATTAAAAAAAAAATCAGAATAAAAATATAAAAAAATACTGATTTAATTAATTAAATTCTGATTAATTCTAATAATTAAATACTAATTAAATTAAAAATCAGAATTCATAATAAATTAAAATTCTGATTTATTACGAAAATGAGAATTCAGATTATTATAAATTCTGATTTAATACAAAAATGAAAATTCTGATTATTATAAATTCTGATTTAATTAAAAACAAAATTCTGGTTATTATAAAAATCAGAATCTATAATAAATTAAAATTCTGACTTAATATAATGAAAATTCTGATATAGTAATTAAAAAATCAGAACTACATATTAAAACACATTTTCGAAAATACAAAGAATAAATCAGAATTAATATTTAAATCAGAAATTTAATTAAAAAATAAACAAATCAGAATTCTTTTAAAGTGATTATTAAATTAATATTAACCTCAATATTTTACAAGCAGAATTAACAATTTGATTCAAATCAACAGTACATTGAATTAATTCTTCATTATTTACTAATTCTTCATTATTATTTTCAATTTGAATTTTATTAAATGGTAAAATTATTTTTGGCAATTTTTCTTCATTTTTATTTATTTTATTAAAATCTTGTATATTTTGAGCATCCAAAAGTATTTTTCTATTTGATCCACCAAATTTACCCAAAATTCTAAAAGCAGTTAATGATGAATGAGAATCACCATGAGATACACAATGCCATAAACCTTTCATTAATGAAGCACGTACAGGTTGCATATGATCATAAACTAATAAGAAAAAAATTTTTCCTAAAAAAAACTTTTTTCTAGAAGGTCAGCCTCAGGGAGAAGGACAACTTCAAAGCCATAACTAACAATAAACTTAAAATGTCTTGACAAGTCGATTTTGCTATGAATTCTTAGGGGCTGAGAAAACCTAAGAACAGGGATGTCACAAGTTAAGCAAAACTCAGACTTCTTCAGACCCGACTATTTTTTTATGAAATCGTGACATCCCTGCTATAAAATTATTTAGAGACCCCTAACTTTCATAGAAATATTTTTAAAACCACTCAATAAAACATACAATATTCAGGTTGTAAATTATCAACACAAAGTTCAAGTGTACGTAATCCTTGTTGAACTAATGTTGGAGAACCATTTAAAGCACAAACTAATGGATCCATTAAAAGAGGCAAATAGGGTAAAAGTGAAGATAATCGTACTGGAACTGTTAAACATAATTCAACAAAAAGTTCATGAATTGATTGTAAATGAGATCCATTTTGAAGACGATTCTAAAGGAAGGGAAAAATTTTTTTAAATAAAAAAATTATAAAAAATACCAATTGTTGTAATATCGAAGGTAATAGAGGAAGAAATTGATGATACATTTGTTCATGTGTTCCACTTCCTATTGATCTAAACAATGCTCGTAAAAGAAGAAAATAGTTAGTAGATTCGCGTGCTTCTAAAGCATATTGCATTGATTGTTTAATTATTTGATGAAGAAAAGGCTTTTATAAATATATATTTAGAATATTTTTTGATTATAAAAAATGTTGGGACCCAAAGGGGTTCGAACCCACAACCTATTAAAATTTCATTGGAAAATATCCCCTAAACCACAAAAAAAATCTCACAAGAAGATGCCCTTGACTCCTTTACACCCAAAGGCAAACTAAATTTCTAAATCCTTAAAAGAAACTGAGTTTTTCGAACCTCTACTACCTAATTCCCGGGTTAAAGTCATCGTACAAAAATCTCCTCCCAAAAAATTAAAAAAACCTTTAAAATAGTATCACAATCAGAATTATTTGATGAACAAGAAATTGCATGAAATACAAGTTTAAACAATTTTAAATAAAGTGTAGCCCTTTCATTATTTGCTTAAAAAAGAAAATTTTTTTTTAATCTAAAAATTTTATTTTAAAAAACCTCCCAAATCTGGCAATTTTGTTAATAAATATTTAACCAAAATTTGTCCAGTTTTATTCATTGTTGCAGGATTTGTAAGAAATGTACTACAAATATTTTGTAATATTGGATTAATACTTATACGTTCAATAAGAAACTGCAAAAAAATTTTTAATTGCAGAGAAATTTTATTTTCAAAAAAACCTCAATATGTTGTTCAAGTACACGCTCAAACGAGGATGATCTCATATTTGTATACTAAAAAAATTAAAATAAAAAATTTTATTTCATTGAAAAACTGCCAAAAAACGGATAAAATATAATTTATAATATTTTTAATTAATTAGAAAATCCTTGGGACCCAAAAGGTTTCGAACCCACAACCTATTAAAACTAAAATCTAGCCATTAACCCACTAAACCACAAAAAATTAAAAAATTAAAAAATACAAACAATTGCAATAAAAGCATCAAGAGTCTCCTTTTCTTCTTTTGAACGTACATTTGAGCTAAAAATTTTATAAAAAAATTTAAAAAATAATTTCAAAAAAAAAACCTAATTTTATGTTGATACACATTTCCTAATCCTCCACCTTGCATTAAATTAGATCCAATTATAAAAATATCCAAACAAATTAGTCCATTTGGAAATAATTCTAATAAACAACGTTCAACTGTTGAATCAACTTGAGGTTCTGCAAAAATTATTTTTTTAAAAAAATCAGAAAATAAATTTTGGGGAACCGAAAGGGCTCGAACCCTCGACCTTGTAAAAATAAATTCGAAAAGATAACCCATTTAACCACAAAATTACAATTTACAATCATTTGAAGAATGAGGTGAACCTTGGTTATTTTTTTAAAAATTATAAAAAAATAACCACTTTACCACAAAATCCAAAAATATTATTTTTTAAAAAATAAAAAAACAAATTTAGGGACACGAAAGGGTTCAAACCCACACCCTATTAAAACTTAAAAACAACCCACTTAACCACAAAAAAAATTTTTTAAACAACCTTGTTCAATTCCAATTTCTTTGAGTGCTATAACCATCATTTTTATTGGTTGAATAATAAATCTTTTTTTTTTTAAATTATTTAATTTAATAAAAAAAATAAATCTTTAACTAACCTCACTAAATTTTTACAATCATTTAAAGAAAGAGGTGAAGTTGGATCTTGCCAAAATGTAGCACGATTAGTTTCTATTGAAGACGACTTTAAAGAGAAAAATGTTTAAAATTTATTAAAAATTTTAATAAAATTTTCTTACGCTTTTTTCCTGTTTTTGCCCTCCTCCTCCTCCAGTAATTTCAGTTTCTTGTGTTTGCTGTCCTTCGGTTATTGCAATTGTTTTACTTGGAGATTGTAAATTTTTTTGTTCTATTGTTGATTTGATTTGTTGTGATTGATATTGCTGTTGAGGTTGTATAATATTACTTTTATTATATTTTTCTTTAATTAAAGGTAAATGATAATTAGCAATTAATTTTGCTTTTCGAAGAAATGAATTAATTGAATTACAAAGAATTAAACGTTGCTATAAAAATTAAAAAAAATAAAATCTTTGAATTAAAAAATTTGTGTAACTTTTTGTGACCCTCCCTCATTTGTGACAAATCATCCCCACTTTGTATCTCATCATCCAACTTGATAATCTAACACACTCACCTTGTGACCCACAACCAGGCAAGTAACCAGAAGAGAGGGGCAGGGGCGCAGAAAAATTTTTCCCCCTTTGCCCCCCTCCGAAAAAAATCCTGGCTACAGGCATGCCACAACACCGCCTTATGACCTCCAATTTCATTAATGAGTTCATTATTATACTTCGTGGACTAGGATTAATTTAGTCCCCAAATGTATATAAGGTTGAATCGCAGAGATAATAAAAAATTAGGGTTATAAATTTAAAATCCCCTCCAAAAAACCTTACAATTTCAGTGCCATTCTCCTTTGATTGTATAATTAATGGTTCAATTAAATTCATCATCAATTTTCCATACATTGTTTGTACATAAGGTAGAAGTTGATGATCATGTAAACAACGAGAACAAAGAAAAAATATGCTATAAAAATTGAAAAAAAAATTAAAAAAAATTTTTTTGAAAAATTTTTACTGTTTAAGTAAATGTGGAATATTCATTCTAACATGATGTAATATATCTGCAAGCAGTGAATATGACTGATTTCTTAAAAAAATTTTTTTAGATAATTTTAAAATAATATTTAAATGCATTGTTAGATACTGGTTCGACTTCAACTTATTATTTCCAAAAGTAAAATGAAAGAACGATCAGTGGGAGGGTCAGTCATAAAATGGGACTGTCAGTCAAAAAAGGACGGTCAGTCAAAAACCCGACGGTGAGTTAAAAAAGGGCGGTCAGTCAAAAAAATGACAGTCAGTCAAAAACCCGACGGTCAGTTGAAATATTAATAAAACAAAGAGTATTTGTCTCATGCAATCTCCCGAGGGGTCGACAAGTTCACCAACAATTTATAACGGCCTTCCTATGTATTACTAAACAGGGAAAATTTAACAAAAAAATTTTCTACAACACCTGGTATCCCATAATTTATTACAAAAAAATTAAAAAAAGAGAAACCTCAACTGATCCTGTGAAGTAAATGAATTTCCTAACAAAGCTTTTTCATCACACATTTTTGGAATTAATGTAATAAAATTTGTTTTAAATTCTGATTGAAATAAATATTTTAATGACATAAGTAATTCTCTTCTTTGAATTATTACTTCTGGATGGAATGAATCAATTAACATTAAAATTGCATCTGTGATAGATTTTGTGTGTTCACTAATAACTGTGGCAATCTATTTTAAAAAGTAAAATTTAAATATTATAAAGAAATTTAATTTATTTAAAAATTAGCAAAAAAGTTAGAAATTCGCTAGAACTTTTCGGACCAAAAAATTTTTGGAACCAAAATATTTGTTTCGGTATTTGGAAATTTTTGAGGCCAGAAAATATCTGTTTTAGAACCAAATGATCGTCTCGAAGCTCATAAAATTCTGTTTATAACAATAAATAGTTCTAGCGAATTTCTAACTGTTCTGCTAATTTTTACCAACTTAATCTCAAGTGGGATATACCAACTTAGTCTCAAGTGGGATATACCTAGTATAGTGGACAGTTTATCCTTAACTTAATCAAAATATAAGTTAACAGACGAAAATGAGTAAAGTTCCTTGGTCTTGAAAAATTTTCTAGTCTTGGATACTAGTAATTTGTTAAAAATTTAAGGAACAAGACTTGAAGCCAAGATTACAAACCCTCTTAAAAATCCACTTAAAAAATTAAAAAATCCACAAAAAAACAAATTTTTTAATTAAAAAAACCTGTGCTTGTTTTGCTGTATAACCAATAAAAGAGAGTGCTCTAACTTGAGAATTATGAAATTCATCAACCAATTCTCTATTATAATTTTTTTCCAACTTCAAATGTTCAGGCAATTTAATATTTATATAACGAAGAAATATTGGTATTAAATCTAAAACTTCTCCAAGTAAATGTTGACGATGCATTTGAATTAATACAAAAAGAAAAACTGACATTTCTGCCAAAACTTTTACACTTTGATTTGCTTTTGGGATTAATGTGTACTGAAAAATTAAAAATTAAAAAAAAATTTTTTGGTGGGATTTTTTTGATGTATGCCAACCGCGGATGTCGGACATGGAATTTTGGCGTGTTTTAAGAAATGAAAAAAATTAAAGTTTTGCGTTTGGCGCTCCATTGAACAAATTTTGGCGCGCATCCATGATACAAACGGTTTTCGGCGTCAACGCTGTTTGGGATTATGACTGTTTGTCATTAGGGCCTTTAGCATTATTAAATTTTCGCATGAAAGGATTTCCGAAAAAATTAGAAAATTCCAAGAAAACCCGAAACAATCCCAGTAAAAAAGTAAGCACAAATCCCCTCAAAAAACCTTTTCAAGCATTGGAGTCACACTTTCATCACTTTGTTGTGGCTGGGAAAAAGTAAGTGGTGTAGTGAAATAACAAGTTCTCAAAGCCTAAAAATTCAAAAAAAAATTAAAAAAAATATTTTTTAAAGAAACCTCCACAACACTTTCTTCTATCGTTCTTTTTGAAGTAGAAAAAGGCTTTTGTAAAAACATTGATTCATTTGCTGTATGTCTCAACATTTCTGTATAAGCATTTTTCCATTGAATAAAAAAGCTTGTCAATTCTGATGCAAATGCTGGACGAAATGTTTTGATGTGATCAGTAAGGATTTTAATTATTAATAAAGCATTTTCTTCATTTTCCTTAAAAAAATTTTTTTAAGAATTATTAAAAATATAATTATAAGGACTAATTCCCGGTAAAAATTTAATTGACAATAAAACGACGAGTCTCTGACGTCGAAGAAAAAAAACTAAAAATTGGCTTTAGTTTTCAGTCCATTGAAGAAAATGGACACTTAAGCCGGCAGGATCACCTAGGCACGCGAACATATCGGGACGGACATATTGGGATATTTCAATGTATGAACAGTTACCCTACTGATTTTAGGACCTACGGCCACTGGGTCTTGAATAGTATATTGTCCTATTGAGGAGAGTTTTATGTCACAGAACAAACGTAAACACGCAAGAAATTATTTTTGTCACACCAATCTCGATATGTCCGCACACCACATCAATCCCTTAGCTAGGGTGGTCGGTTCTAGGAAATCTTCAAGAACCGGATTTCAGAATAAGAACCAGACCAAAAAAGCATTGGTTCTTCGGTTCGATACCAACCGACGTCCTTAAGACAACAAAATTTCTCCTAATCCCAAACCTATTCTCTAGCTTACATAAAAAAATCAAACCAAATAAATAAGTCGAAGCAATATTTGTTGAAGACTTTTACCATAAGATTTGACTACATCATTTGAAGATAGACGAAATAACAATTCTAACATTAATTTACGTAGTTGCTTTAAAAAATTTTTTAATTGAAAAAATAATTTTAAATTAAACCAATGTATTATTTTCTGCAATAAATTGGGGAGAAGTTTCTTGTAATAATCTCATAAAAATACATATAAGGCCTTCAATTAAGGATGAATAAGCTGAAGTTCCAAAAAGCTCGTCGATATTTTCGCTGATTTCCTAAAATTAAAAAATAAAAAATTTTGGGACAAAATGTCATCTCGACCAAAATATTTTAAAAAATCTTTAAAAAAATTATAAAAACCTTCAAAACTTGAAATTTAACATCATCTCTAGGTGCTTCACCCAATGTATTAATTAACATATTTAAATGAACTGCCAAAGGTGGAACTGAAGTTGATGTTGATGGCATTGATGAAAATATATTTGCTTGTTGCATTCTTAATTTCAATTGGAATTTAATGCTAAAGATGCTATAACTAGAAAAATAATTTTAAAAATCTTAACGGACGCCGAAACTGTAAAAGAGTCGGGGTTTTTAGCGGAACATTTCCGTGGACATTAAATTTGAAAATGACACAAAATGGTCAAAAAAGGAAAATGAAGAGAAGGAAAGAGGAAAATGTCCTATGGAAAGGTCGCTAAAAACCCCGGCCGCCATATTCAAAAGTGCTAATCAAATTAGTTTAAATGAATTTTAATAAAGAAAAAAATATAAATAGAGTATTTATGAACTCTCTAAATTAAAAAAAACAAAAATTTCGAACAATGCTTTAACAAAAAATAAAAGAAAAAAAGTAATAAAAAAGAAGCCAATATTAAGAAATTTTCTGATAGAAGGAAAATTTCTTTGAATGAAAATTTGTCGAAAATAATGAGCAAGAAATAAGAATTTAATTTTAAAATCAAAAACCTCCCAAAAAATACTCCAAAAAAATTTTCGACAAATTCTCACAAAATTTAAACAAAAAATAACGGGAGCAAACCAACTTACCGTGAGCCCAACTTACCGAAGAGCTATAACTTCGTTCATAATTGTCAAATTCGGGACGCCCTGGTATGGTTCGATACACCTCGACGAGCTGAATCGAACCATAATAGGACGTCCCGAATTCTACCATTCCGAAGTTATAGCTCTGCGGTAAGTTGGGCTCGCGGTAAGTTGGGGTGTACCCAAAAATAACATATATTAAAAAAATAAAATAGTATATTTATATTTCGCATATTTTTAAAATCACATTTTTCTTTTTTCTTTCCGAAAAATACAAAAACAAAAAAAAGTCATTTTTAATATTTTTTTAAAATTTATTATACCTAACCAATAACAACTTTTCCACTATCTTCTTTCCCTTTTGGACGAGGTTTGCCAGTTGTAAATGGAATATAACGATATCTTATCATATGCATAATTTGTCTTTTCATTGTAAGACATGTCAACACTTGAAAAATAATTTTTTTTAATTAGAAAATTAATTAAAAAATAAAAACTGACAAAGGCTCATAATCTTTCTCCAAAATTTTTATTAGTTTATGGGTGATACCATTCGATAGAGGACCCCAAATTCTTTGTGAAGTTAACCTCTAACTAGAAAATGTTCGGAAACGTAACCAAATATACAAGAACTTTTCAGTTCAGATCCGGATATCCTGACATATATATTTTTAAAATTCGTAGGATTTCATAGGATTTCCTAAAAGAAAATGTGGTGAGTAACACGACCCACAAAAATTTTGGTGGTTTGTTTTTTCACCACAAGAATCTTTCAAAAAAAAAGTCACATGAATTTTCAGTTCAAATCCGGATATACGTCGAGTCCCTAGGATTCTCCAACAATACCTCTAACTTAAACTAAAACGCTCACAACCACTTTATTCAGAAAATTTTTTTTCAAAACCCAAGACTTGGTGCTAGGACATGCAACCTCAAATTACTGTCAGAAACCCAGAACTTGAAGTTGTTCAAGCTCTTTTCTTGGGGGTGAAGGGAATTAACAAAATAAAAAATACCAATAAAATACATGACGAGAATTGGCCAAAATACAGGTACATCAAAAACCTCAAAAAAGGTGCAGGTAAACGCAACAAGTGTTGACTTCATTGTTGATAACCTTTAGAATAATAAAAAATGTGAGTAAAAATTTCTAAATCAACCAAAATTTAAATTCAGGCAAACGCCGCATAAATGGCCGAAATTCTTCAGAATTACTTTTTGGCAAAACTGGGCCTTCATCGTCTAAAAAATTTAAAAATTGGACATTTTTCTATTTAAAGTTAAAAAAACCTTCATCAAATTCCATAGCTGGATCAATTTTTGGAGTGAGAAAGGCAAGAAATAAATTTAAATAGTAAATGAACAAAGCATATGTGACGATATAAAATCCCTAAAAAAATTTTTTTAATTAAAAAAAATAAAAAAACCTGAAGAACAATAACTCTCCAAACAAAAATGAGTATTAATGACACAGCGATGACCTTAAAAGAAAGTAAAAATGATTTTTTTTAAGAAAACTAAGGTGTTCAGTTGAGTGGAATTTCATTTGGACATTTAAATATTTTTTTGAGGTGAGGAAAAAAGTGACCAAAACAGACAAAAAAGAGAGTGTTTTGGGTGTCCGTGGGACTTCGGGATGAAATTTGGCAGACAACAGATCATACCATACTTCTACATATTGTAAAATTTTTTGTCCCACGGACACCCTAAATCTCCTTTGAAGTGAATTAGTCAAAAAAATGGAGAATTAGTCAGAAACAAAAATGGTCGAAATGACCAGTTTGGTGTAGTGGCTAAGAGCCTAGACTTTCAACTTCGGGGTCCCGGGTTCGATGCCTGTAAGGGTTTAAAATGCTTTTTTGGTACTACTCTTATTTGTTAATAACGAGTCGTGGGGAGAAACCATAGGTCGAAATTGGTCGAGATAACCAGTGTGGTGTAGTGGCTAAGAGCCCAGACTTTCACCTTCAGGGGCCCGGGTTCGATGCCTGTTGGGGTTTAAAAGGCTTTTTTGGTACTACTCTTGATAAAACAAGCATACGAGTAGCGGGCAGAAACCCCGTCTAACTAAATCATGAAATCTTGAGCCAGTAAAGGAGACTTGTACTAATACATAAGAATTCCTTAGCAATCCCCACAAAAACAAGCCAATACCCAAAGGTTTAAAGAACAAAAAACGAACCCAACGAATAGAAGTGTATGGAGTGAGCCTATCCAAGTAGTATTGATACTGCTAAATTTGTAAAAAATTAAATTAAAGCAAAAAAGAGGAAATAAAACTTACAACCCCTAAAGACGAAAAGAAACGAGAACAAAGTCCTGGCTGGTCCCGAATATCGTCCATTATTTAGTTTTGTCTAGCTTAGACTAAAAAAAGAATAAAAATGAGTTGAACACAACATTTAAAACAAAATTAGAAGAAAAACAAACAAAAATTTGGAAAAAACAAAAAAAATTAGGCCAAGTTGGAATTTACTTGTAAAAGTAACGCTCTCTTTTTCTTTACCTCTTTACTACAACGTTACTCTTCTTTTTTCATTTCTCTATCTTCTACTATAATGTTAACACTGTCTGACTTTTTTTTCGTTTGACAAATAAATTAAAATATTTCATTTCACCTAATATCAATTCGCCCAGTGGTGGGATTTCTTATGTTTTGTCCCTTGTTTTTTCCCATGTTTTTTCCTCTGTTTTCTCTCGTGTGTCTCTTGTTTTTTCCTATGTTCTCTCATGTTTCTTTTGTTTTTTCCCTTGTTTACCCTTGTTTTTGCCCCTGTTTCCCTTGTTTTCCCCTTGTTTTTCCTAATTTTCATGCCTTTTATCAATTTTTGTATCCCATTTTATCTCCAAAATATTTATTTGATCTATATTTTTGTTTTTTACTCATTTACTTTTTTTTATCAGGAGTGGTGTGACCACACAAAAAATTCCTTCTATTTATTTCCCTCCTCCTTATCTTCATTTCCAATCGAACCACTGAATTTTCTTCTGCTCATTTTATTATTTACACTAATTTATATTTATTTTTTGTGACATTTTTCCTTTTATAAACCTTAAATAATTAATAAAAAAATGTTTTTCCCCGAACGGGTTCGAACCTTGCCCCCAAAACCAAAAATTTTCCCACTTAACCAAAGTGACATTTCTCTCAATTTCACTCAAATTTTAAATTTTTTTCAATTTTCAGTATGGTTTGCCCCTTCTTTTTGACAATTATTGCTTATGCAGCTATCGCTTATTTTGTTAAACGCATTTTGACTTCAATATACAACATTGTTTTTCCGTTTTTATATGCCGTCCCACAGAATTTGCAAGTTTTGGCTGGAGCAAAATGGGCTGTAATAACTGGTGGAACTGATGGTATTGGAAAGGCATACGCTAATGAATTGGCCAAAAAACAATTTAATATAATTATAATTTCACGTTCACAATCAAAATTGGACAATGTAGCTAAGGAAATCAAAGAAGAATTTAAAGAAATTGAAGTGAGAACTATTGCTTTTGACTTTACAAATCCAAAATTGGAAGATTATGAACAACAGATATTTGCCAAAATTGATGATGTTGACATTGGAGTTTTGGGTATTTTTTATTTTAATTTTTGGTGGGTTTTAAAGGGGCGTTCCTTTGAAATTTTTTTTTGGAATTTTCTAAGGCTGAATTTTCTCTTGACTAACAATGAGCTCCTCTATTTTTTCCTATTTACGATCCTAGGGGCTTTGCTCATCCAAAAAATAAATTTCTCGTTGACCCCTGACTCCTCCACTTATCCTAAAAATTTTTTTTTAAATTTTCAGTTAACAATGTTGGGATGAGCTATGAATTTCCTGAACGCTTTGAACGTGTTCATGGAGGTATTAAACGTGTTGCTGACATCACTGTATTTTTTAAATTTAATTTCTTTTCAAATATTCCCCCATTTTAAGTTAATCAACACTTTACCGACAACTGTTCTTACTCATCATATTCTTCAACAAATGGCTAAACGCAATAGAGGTGTAGTGGTTAATGTGGCTTCTTCAGCTGCTAATTTTGACTGGTTTTATTTGGCTGTTTATAGTGCTACTAAGGTTTTTTAACTCTTTTAAAAGGGTCTAGGTCCAGTGCTCCCCACATCCATACGTCCTCCTGAGATATTTTTTAGAGTTTTGGGTCCATTGTGTTCTCCTAACCCACACTTCTTCCTGGGATTTGATTTTTTTTGGAAAAAGGTTTGGATCCGTTTTTCTTTCATGTACCCATTGTTCTTCCTCCAGAGACATCAAAAATATACCCAAGAGTTCTGACTCCCTTATATCGTTTGAGGAATACTTCTGAATCTTTCCCGGACAGAGGTACTTTTCCCTCTTTCTTCCGAGGTACTCCTTCCTATCTTTTCATTTAACTTAATTTCACCTCCTTCAGAAATATGTCACTTGTTTGTCTTCAATTTTACGTAAAGAATATGCTGACACAAATATTTATATCCAAACAGTCTGTCCAATGATGGTTGCCACAAAAATGGCAAAAATTCGACGTTCTTCATTTTTTACTCCTTCGCCTGAAAAATTTACTAGCGAAGCAGTTCGAAGTATTGGATTAACTGATGAGACTACTGGTTGCTTGGCACATCAAATTCAGGTTTATTTTTTTTATTTTAAATTTTTTTGGGGGGTTCTTGGGAAGAGTAGACGGACAAAAAATTTTTCGGAGTGAAAAAAATTTTTTGAAAAATTTTTTAAAAAATTCCCAAACCCTAGAAAAATCCCCAATTAATTTTCTCATCATTTCACAGGCTGAAATTATGTTTGGCTACATCCCTGACTATTTTCTTAACAAATTTATTCGAGACAATTCCTTGTCTACTCGAAAGCGTGCCTTGAAGAAAATTGAGAATTCTGCGAAGACTGAATAAATTTTTGTTTTTTTTTAAATTTAATTTTTAAATTATATAGGAGAGCATTTGTAATAGATGTCATTTTAATTTTTAATAAATAAAATTATAAAAAAATTTAAAAATTTTTTCCTTTGGTTTGGGGGAGGTAAAGGAAGTTTCTTTCGCTCTCCCCCAACGGATGTATTCGACTAGTTAAGATTCTGATTAAAAATAAGGAAGCGTTTCCTGCTTCAAGTTTAATTTCTAAAATTAATTCTGATTTTCTGGGGAGGGAAGAAATTTTCCAGAAATTTAAAAAGTTCTGATTCTTCTGGAAAGGACGAAATACAAACTCTAGTTGTTCTGTTGACTGACCAGAGATCTCCAGTATCTCTTTTCACTAAATACCGCTCTTCCGGAAAGCTTGAGAGCTTTGGAAAACATAGAAGAGTGTCAAGTTTCCATCAGTATTCAACCACGCCTTATTGATTTTCCGGAATGTTCCCTATTTTAAATGTTCGCCAAACTATTTTATTTTTCAATGCCAATTTGGCGAAGTGTCTTTAATTTACTCTCTCGTTTCAAACAATTTTTTTCTCTAATTTTGTTGTACAACCGGTTGTTGTTTTTGTGTGTTTTTGAGAGTGTTTACGTTGTTTTCTTTGTTCGTTTTTATGTTTTTATTCGTTTTTTCGTGTTTTCCTTTTCCCCTGACCCGCGCGCAGCAAAAAAAATTAAAAAATTAAGCTAAAAATCTTTAAAAATTAAAAAATTTTTACAAAAATCTAACCCTTTTTTCATTCAGCACAACCAGCAGACTTCAACATGCTGTACGTGGAGCAGTGTTTTTTGATTTTTTTTTTAAATTTTTTTCAAAAATTTCAAATTTTTTCAATTCTAGTGTTGGCTGTGCTCTTCATGGTGCTCATCATGGATGGATGGAAGAATATGGAATGGAGAATATGGGAGAAGCATGGAAGCTGTGGAAACCCGGTGTGGTTAATTTTTTGAGTTTTTGCTTTTTTAAGCAGATGTGTTCTGCATGGTGGTTGGTGGTGCTCTTCATGGTGGCTCGTTCTTCTACATGGTGGATGTCTTCTCTTCTGGCCCAACCGGGTTTTTTTTATTTTTGAATTCTTTTTGAAATTTTTTGTTCAGGCGAAGCTGCTCAACTTGTGGCCAGATGGGGGCCAATGGAGCGTGGAGGGAGTGTGGACAGGTTTTTGGTTTTTTTTTGTTTTCCTGGGGGTTTAAAGGTTTCAATTTTTGGGGGGTTCCCGTGGTTTTTTTCTTTGGGGTTTGATTTTTTATAAAATTTTTTCGTTCAGCTGTGCTCAACATGGTTGGACAATGGAGGAATATGGGACCCGGTGTGGTTTTTTTTTATTTTTTTAAATTTTTTAAAATGTCTTCATGGTGGCCTGCTTGCTCTTGGTGGTGGTTTGGTGGACGTGATGTTTTTTTTTAAAAAGAACTTTTTCATTTCTTTTTATTTTAGCTGGTCGTCTACATGGCTCGTCTACATGGCTGGTGGCTCGTCTACATGCTTGGTGGCTCTTGTTGGATGATCTTCAAAAATAGTAAGTTTAACAAAAAATCTAAAAAAAACAAAAATGCGAGCCAAAAATGCGAATGCGCGCTTTCCTCCCCTTCCCTCTATTCGTTTTCGCGTTTTCATTTGTTTTGTCTTTTTTGTCTGTTTTTTGAGAAAAGATTAGAATGGGCGGAATGCAGTGGTGAATGGATGGATGGATCAACAGCAGAAACAATGGATGGATGGACAGCAAAAACAAATGGATGGACCAGCAATAATGAGAGATGTATCAGCTATGGGTGCTGATTTGTGCTTCATGTGGTACAAGGTTTGTGTCCCTGACGAGAGGAAAATTTTGAGCCGGAGGGCCTGCCTTCAGGATGATTTTTATTGATTGTTATCGATTGGATCTTCTGTCTCGCTAAATTTTATTTTTGGCGTTCTGTCATTTAAAGATAATTTGTCACCTTACTATCTCGTTAGGTAGAGAAAAAGAGCAAAGAGAGAGCATTTTTTGGTTGCATTTCTCTTGTTCTCTACCTAACACCGTATTTCTTTTTCGCGTTTTTCTTTCATTTTTTCACATTTTTCTGAAATTTTTAGAAAGTTTCCGTATTTAAAATTTCTATTTTTTAGATAATCTCAATTATTTTCCTTTATTTTTTTTCAAAATTGATCAACATTTTCTTCTAATTATCTCCTTTTTGTGAGGCTTTCGGATGTCAAAAAAACTGATGAAGATGCGAAAATTTTTATAAAAATTCGATAGAGGCTTTTGATGATTTGAAGAAGACAGGACGATGGTTGTCAGGTTTGCAGCTATTTATTTTGGTATTTGGGGTTTAAAAATAAGGAAATTCTGTCTTTTATATCGTTGATAGAGCAAATGACTGTTCGCCGCCTCTACCACCAACTTCTCGCCATCCTCCAACTTCCTTTTTTCTCCATTCTCTACAGTCTTATAGTCCTGCCCATCTCCCGCTTCTGCCTCGCAACTTTCACCTCTTTTGATCTGCTACTTTTTTGCTCTTTCGGCTGCTCTTCTACGATCTACCTTTGCTTTACGACTTTTGCTTTTCAGCTCTTCAACCTACTCGTCTTCTTGATCAGTTCGAATTGCTCTTTATTTTAGATCTGGGTTATTGGTTACGACTAGAGATCGGCCTGTGTCTGGGGTCTAAGGCTAGGGTTTTCCTGTACCAGATTCCAGGCCCAGGCATTTTTTGACCTTACTGGGGGTTTTCCTGGACTACAGCCCCAGGATCCGGCCCAGGTCAATAAATCAAACTTGGAACCCAGGAACGGGCCCAGGCTTTTCAAAAATTTTGATCTCTCGTTACGACGAACCCTCCTTCCTCCAAAAACTTTGAAAACTAGATTGTGATTCGATATCGTTACTAGCCCTAGGCATTCTTCATGATTTCGTCCACGACGAGAACGTTTCGAAAAATCATCTAGCTTGCTTTTCTCAAACTTTATTTGCTTCTAGTATATATCTTGACAATAAAAAATCGTTCCGGTTTACCTCAAAATAGTTCAAAAATATTTTTCTTCATTAATTATAAACCCTCACAAAAAATGAGTGATTGACGTTAACTTGAAGGAAAAGTTTTTCTCCTTTTGTCTCCTCAAAAGCTTACCTTAATTAATTTATTTTCTTCCTTACTTTAAAAATATAAACAAAACAGCTGTCTAAAATTTGTGTGATTTTTAGATAAATATGTGGGGAAATTTTTTTTTTAATTTTAAGAGGGAAAAGAAAACAGCAGCCCCTTTTTTGCCCTTTCCAGATTTTTAAGAAAAATAATGATTGTTCTATTTTTATTTCTTAATTATTCTAAAAATCATCTAGCATCGTCTAGCATATTTTTTAAGAATTTTTTAGATCAAGGAAAAAATAGTTTAGGGATTTCCAAACTTTCAGAATAACTTAAGATTACGGCCCACTCTCGAACATTGACAATTTATATGTCATTTGAGTTAGCTGGTAAATGTCCAGTTGGCGGTCTACATGTCCGCAAAGAGAATCTGCTCTTTTCTTTCCTTTTCTTGCATTTTTGCGTTGGGAGAAATGCTCCGCTCATTTTTCCTTTTCTTCCATTTTTCCTTCTCAATACAATATGTTTTCCTTTTCATACTTGAAAAATAAAAATACCTCTAATTAGAAAAAAAATATTTTACAAAAGATAGATTTAGATTTACAAATAATAGATCTATGGCTTTCTAATAAGCCCAAAATAATGATCTAAAAAATTTCAAAATAATATTTAAGGAGACATAACCTGTTCTACGTTGATTTTCTTGTTTCAGGATACGATATTGAGTAAAGACATGGGCCCAGTTTTTACATCCATCTTCCCCCTCATAGTTTTTATTAGAGCTCTAACCCGGGCCGGGCCCGGGACCGGGTTTTCCGGGCCCGGTAGCCCGAAAACCGGGTATTTTGTAAAATAGATTTGTAAAATCTTTTTTAAAAAATATTTTGTAAAATCTTTTTTCTAATTAGAAGTATTTTTATTTTTCAAGTATGAACAGGAAAACATACTGTATTGAGAAGGAAAAATGGCAGAAAAGGAAAAATGAGCGGAGCATTTCTCCCAACGCAAAAATGCAAGAAAAGGAAAGAAAAGAGCAGATTCTCTTTGCGGACATGTAGACCGCCAACTGGACATTTACCGAGTTAGCTCTGTAAGAGGAGTCGGATGGGTACTTTATGGATACCCCCCTTAATTTGAGATCTCAGAAATTTCTTTTACATTTGGATTACACCAAAAATATTTGGGAGTTTGTGGCCTATAATTGAGACTGCTCGTTGATTTTGTCGTCATTCGAGTGCCTCCCGCCGAGCTCTTTCAAATGACTAGTAAAATTTGTCCGTATTGAGGGTGGCCTGTATTCTTACGTTTTCCAGGAGTATACCCCTCCCTTCCTCATTCAGATTTTTCAGAATTTCTTGAAATTTTTTTCTTAATTTTTTGAAAAAAATGTTTCCACCACGTCGACATAAATCAACACAAAATAAACACCAAAAATATTTATTTCCGCCAAATGAAAAGAAAAGAGCAAAATCTGAGGTCTTTATTACCGCAAATAATAGCCTTCATGCTGACGGTTGCGAACAGCAGAAAAAATATTCTAAGAGACGGAAGAGGCAACAAATTAAAAATGAGTAAGGAAATAGGTGTTTTTTAAGTGTTTTTAGGAATTTTTAAAATTTTTGGGGAAAAGATTTTTAGGTTGGTTTTTCCTTGTATTTCTAGTAGTCCGCACGGGTGTCTGCAATTTATCGAAATTTTTCTCTTCGAAAATGGCTTATCGAAAAATTCTGCTTCCACTTTAGAACTTATTGTTGTTGTGCACTCCATCTAGAAGGCAGTTTTTTCAAGTTATAATTTTTTATGATTCAATTATGACTTGCGGACAAAATTTGCGGACATTTGAGGTGTCTGAAGGTTTTCTTCAAAAAAAAATTCTCACAAATAAGTAACTTGTAAAAGTGGCATGGAAACCAATTACTACAAAATATTTGACGTTCTTTGTTCTTTTCTTGACTCTTTCTTATTCCCTTTTTTTGTCCTCATATTGCTTTGGATGTTCTTTGAAACTTAGTCATCTTAAGATTTTAACTTTGAACGGCCATAACTCGGCCCAAAGTCATTTTGCAAAAATCGGAACACGCCACAGTACCAAGTCGAGGGTCCTCTATCGAATGGTACCAAAAAATATATCAAATTTGCAGTCACAGTAAACGATGGCTTCTTGTAAGATTTTAAAGTCAATGCCTGCTTGCGGTTTACCTTATTAATTTTTTGAAAAAAAAATTTTTTTAATTCACACGCTCAAGCTTTTTAATGTAAGTCTTAAAAATATATCCCTCCACTCCACTCCAATCCCCTCTCTTCTCTCTTCAATCCATTCCCCCTTCTGTTTTCCCCTCTAATCCATTTCCGTTATAAATAAAAGTCAGCAAGGCCAGCAGCTGTTCATTATCCTCTCTTAAAAACGTCACTCATTTTCCCTCCCAATAGTCTCTGGTGGAAATGAAATATTTCCTTTCTTTTTTTCTAAAACAAGGGGGGTAAACCTATCAATATACATAAATATATTTTCTTTCTTTTTTGTTTTTGTGCCGGAAATTTTTTTCTTCTTCTTCTCTTCATTTGTGTCCCTAAAGGCGAAAGAAGCTTAAATTAGATTGTTATCGATTTTAATTTAATTTTTTTCTATTAATTTTTTTTTAAATTTTTAATTGATTTTGAAGTCAAAAATAGTCAAAGTTCTTCAAAAAAATTTTTTCCAATTGCCTTGTATTTTTTTCTAATTTATGCCTACGGGCGATTCCCTGAGATCTACCTCTTCAGAGCTTAATCCTCCATATTGGTAATTTTTTATTTTTAAATTTGGTACTATTTTGAAGCTGAGAGTTTGCTCTATCTTTTGGTATAATGTACAGGATTGTATCTTAATTTTTCTTAAAGTTTTGGGTCTTTAAATTTTTGGGGTCATTTGTCACCTTTTTATTTTTCCCCACAAATCTCCCAAATTTATTTTTTCCCAAATTTTTCCCCCCGACTATCTTGTAGCTAGGAGGCTGCGCTATCTTCTGATATAGACAACAAAATTATATCTCTATTCTCTTACAAGCTTTAGGTCCTCAAACTCTATGGGATGGTTTGTCCCCTTTTCTTAATTTTCCCTCAAAAATTTCTTTTAAGGGTTCCAGTTTGCACCAACAGTCTACCTTCATCAAACAAGTGTTTTCGTGCCTCCTCATCCCCACGTGTCTGTTTTTCTCAACATAATAAATACGAAGATTCTTCTACTGACGATACTGCCTCAACAAGTTTTTGCCTTAGAAAAAATCACAAAAAAATGTCTTCGGTTTCTTCGTCTTTTTCAAGGTTAAGAGGAACAAGTCTGACTGTAGATGAAGGAGAAAGAGAAGAGGACGAGAAGAAAGAACGGGAGAGAAGAGAGGAATCTGATGTTTCAATATTGGAAGAAATTGGAAGGAGAGAAGGGTCAATAAATGCTAGAAGAAATATTCAAAAACGTTCTTCAGGAATTTGGAATGATCCGGTTTGTTAATTTAAAATTAAATATTTTCTTAGGTTAGAAAAAATTTTTTGTCGACATTTATATGTCTTTTAGAACTTTTTGAAAATTAATTGACGCCAAAAGGGGTCGAACCTGGGACCCTTTCAAGTCAAAGTCTAACACACTAACCACTCAACCAAAAATTTAAAATTTTTTCTGATTTCTTTTCAAAATTTTTACGGATATTTGATGTCTTCTAGAACCTTTTAAAAATTAATTGACCTCGTAGGGGTTCGAACCTGGGACCCCTCCAAGCCAAATTCTAACACACTAACCACTCAACTAAAAATAAAATTTTTTAAAATTTTTTTTTCAAAAAATTTTTTTTAATTTAAGGTAATCACAATTAACGTTTCTGGAATGCGTTTTCAAGTATTTTATTTATTTAGAAAAAATTTAAAAAATTTTTCAGACATATCAAAGCACACTTGAACGTTTTCCTCACTCAATGTTAGGCAATCCAACAAAAAGACGAGCATTTTGGAATGAACAATTAAATGAATATTTTCTTGATAGGAGTAGAACATGGTTTTTTTTTAAATTTTTTTCTTATTTTTTTATTATTTTTTCAAACACAGTTTTGAATCTATTCTGCATATTTATAGGTATTTTTTGAATAATTTTATTTAAAAAATAGTGACCGGTGAAAAAACGCCTGTCCGGATTTTTTGTTTTATATGCAAATGTGCAGCTTCATACACTCTCTCGCATCGTGTCTACAAAAGTCCGGAAAAATCCGAAAAATAAGCACCGCGTTATAAAGAAGCCATTTTATTTTTTAAGCCATTTTACCACTCTTCTTTCTCTGCTGCTCTTTATTTGACCACCGGATTTTTTCGGATTTTTGTTAGACGAAATGCGAGATGTATGATGCTGCAAATTTGCATATGAAACAAAAAATCCGGACAGGCGTTTTTCACTTGTCCCTAAAAATTTTTTTTCATTTTTTAGAACTGGAGGTCAAGTAGTTAGGCCTGTTACTGTACCTGTGGAAATGTTTATTGATGAATTGGTTATTTTTTTTTTATTTAAATTGTTTGTTTGTTTTAAATGTTTATTTGTTGTTTTTGTCTTTTTTTTTAAATAAATGTTTGTAGCTATTCGTTTTTTTTGTCTCGTGTCTTCGTTGTTCTTAGGCAACTTTTCTGTTCCTTGTTTTTAAATTTTGTTTTGGTGGGTAGCACCAGGGTGATTATTACCTTTAGGGAGCATTTTCCTTCTTTTTGACTTTTTCGCGCCCTTCTTTCTTCTTCATGCCACCTTTTTGACACTTTTTTGTGTGGCCATGCCCCCTTTTGGTGATTTGTAAAGGTCCCTGGTTAGCACCCATAAAATTTTTTGATCACGACAGTTTTTTGGGTTTTTGGGAACAATATTTTGACGTTTAGTGTATTTCAGTCGAGTTTCTGGGGGAGGGAGTTTTGATGTTTTATCCAAAAAGAATCGTTCGGTGTCTATGCTACTCTATTTGTTCTTGTATTTTTCGTTTAACTTTATTTTAAAAGAATTTTAAGAAAATTTTTTTCCCATTATTTAAAGTATTTCTATCAACTAAAAGATGATGTTTGGTCAAATTTTTGTGAAAGTGAAGGTTGTAGAATCGTTAAAGAAGAGAAAAAGCCTTTAAATCCAACACAAAGAAAAATATGGAATTTGGTTTATTTAATTTTCGTAATTCGAAATTTTTTTTTAATTTTTAGATGGAACATCCAGATTCATCTTTTTTGGCACGCATTCTTGCCTCAATTTCTGTTGCTGTTATAATAATGTTTGTTTAAATATTTATTTTTTTTAGTATTTTTGGGTGTTTATCGGTTAACTAGTGTTTTAACTAGTGTTCCCCCCCCTTCCCCAGGGGAAGGCTTACGGGGGACCCCCGAACCCGAATTCCCCGCAACCCGACGTTTTCCGTACGTTCATCCCTTGCCCCTCAATATTGAACACTACTTTAAACTTGGAAGAAATGAATGTTAAAAGTACCTCTCTCACTTAAAAAAATATTTTTTTCTAGTAGTACAGTCTCTTTTTGCCTTGAAAGCATTCCAGAATTAAAATCACCTACAGACAGGGAATGGTCTTCACCTTTCTTTTGGATTGAATTTTGTTGTTGTTTATGGTTTTCTATTGGTTAGTAAATTTTTTTTTAATTTTTTTCTTGATTTTTTTTTATTTTTATAGAACTCGTTATTCGTTTTATTGTGAGTTTTTCTGTATAAAAATATTTTTTTCCGATTTAAACAAATTTTTAAAATTATTTTTAAAGGTAGCACCAAGCAGGACAGATTTTATGAAGGTTAAAAAATTTTAATTAAAAAATTAAAAAATTTTTTTTTTAATTTTAGTCATTTTTAAATGTACTTGATTTTGTTGCTGTAGCTCCATTTTTTATTAATTTAATGTATGAAAAAAAATTTTTTTTCTTAATTTTTAAAAAAATTTCCTTCTCCTTTCTTTAAAGTTTACACGACGCTGAAAATAAAAATTCTTCGTCAACATCATTTGCTGTACTTCGTATAGTTCGATTAGTTAGAGTATTTAGAATATTTAAATTAAGTCGGCATTTTACTGGATTACAAGGTTTTTTTTTGAATTTTTTTGTAAAATTTTTTTTTTATTTTTTTAAGTGCTGGGAAAGACTTTCCGTGCTTCTATACAAGAATTCTTTTTATTGGTATTTTTTAATTTTAATAAAATTAGGTCTAAAATATTCTTTAAAAAATTTTTAGAAGTCTCTAAAAATGTTTTAAAATTAAAAAAAAATTTTTAAATGCTTTGGACATTTTTTAAAAATGTTGGGCGTTGCTGGGTATCGAACCCACACCCTCTCCTTCCCACTACTTAATTTAATTGAAAAAATATAAAATTTGGTCTAAAAATTAATAAAAAAATTTTTTTTGAAATTTTTATAAATATTTATTTTATTTTTATAATGTTTTTAAACTAAAATAAAAAATGTCGGGTGTGGCTGGGTATTGAACCCCACCCGTTCCTAAATTAGTTTTAATTGAAAATTAAATGCATTAACCACTTGACCAAGCGGAATAGTTGTGTTATTTTTAAGGCAGGGAGGGGAGAAAATGAATTTTTAAGAGAGACATGTCTTTCAATTAAAAAAAAAATTTTTTCTTAAAAAAATTTTTAAAAAATTTTTTAGAAAATTTTTAGAATTTTTAAAAAAATATTTTAAAATTTTATTTTTAATAAAATTTAACAAAAAATTTTTTTAAAGATTTTCTTCATGGGAATAGCTTTAGTTCTCTTCTCTAGTGGTGTCTATTTTGCAGAACAGGGAGAACCTGGAACTAAATTTACTTCAATTCCAGCAACTTTTTGGTTTGTTTTAGCAACAATGACAACAGGTTTTCTTCAGAATTATTTAAAATTTTTTTTAAAATTTTTAAAGTTGGATATGGCGACTTGGTACCAAATGGAGTTTATGGAAAAATTGTTGGGTATGAGGAGGGGTTTTTGAAGGAATTAAAAATTTTTTTTATTTTATTAAAGCTCGTGTTGTGCTTTAATTGGTGTATTAACATTAGCATTGCCTGTTCCTATCATTGTAAGGATGAAAAAATTTTTTTTTTTGAAATTAAAAAATTTCTTTTAATTTTTTAAAGGTAGCCAATTTTAAACGTTTTTATCGTCAAGAAGTTATATTAGCCAAAATGTATGAACAAAATTCCCGTCCAGAAGAAATTAGTGCATTTATTAAACAAAAAGGGAAACATGGAGGAACATTTAAAATTTCTATTAATGGAATAAAAAAAGATGCCGATGATGATACTGATGTTGAAGGAGGAGGAAGAGGTTTTTTTGATCAACACAAAATTGGTGTTGATTCAAGCACTTTGTTGGTTTAATTGAAGAAGCAACTTGGAAAGAGCCTCTACAATATTTTTGGAGTGAATGATGTGTTGTGGTCAAGAAGAAAAATCCCAGAAAAACACACAAAATGATGGCAAACCAAAAAATTTCTTCAATTAAAAACATTTGGCACTCCTGCCGTTTGGGGGGGGGGGCGCCTCTTACATGCCATTATGAGACTAACGTGAATTTTTCTGTTAGGAGTCAACAGAGTTCACTAGCTTAAGCAATTAGGATCTGTCAAAATAGATTTGCAGAACTCCATGGGCCCAAGGGCATGGGTACTTATCGCAATATATGTTTCGGACACACCTATTTGATTTAGAAAAGATATAATGGTAAGAAAACTGCCACTCCCCCCAACGGTAGGAGTGCCAAAACATTTAATATATAACTTTATTGTTATAATAATTACGGGTATATTTTTTAAATTTTTATATAGAAAAAAAAATAAAATTCTTTCAACAATTTAACCAAACCAAATAAAAAATTTTTTATTTTTACCATTAAAACATAAATTCAAAATTTTAGGAAGACCAAAGAAAAAAAATAAATTTAAAATGAATTATATAATTGACGAGACATTTTTTTCAGAGAAAAGAGAAAATATTGAAGGGGAGAAAAAAAAATATTTTTAAAAAAAATGAAAATAGGAAAAAAAATCCTTTTAACTTTAGGCGTGGAGATGTATAGAGAATTTTTTAAATTTTTTTTTTTCTGAGAAAATTTTTTTTTAATTTTCTGAAAAAATTAATTTTTTATACATCTCCACACTTTATTTTTTAAAATAATAATTTTACAAATTTTAAAAGAGAAAAAAAATTAAAATGAGAAAAAAAAAGCATGGAAAGCATGAAGAATAAAAGCGCAAAAAATATTTGAATCGATTCAGTTTTTTGATTGTAAAATTATTTAAAAAATTCTCTTTAAAGAAACTGATTCGATTCAAACAAATATATATTTAAGCATTAGAAGACAATTTAAAAAAATGAGATGGACAAGATTGCAATTTTTAAACGAAGAATGATTTTTAAAAAATGCGCAAATGAAAATTTTTAAAATATTTTTTTTTGAGTTTTAAAAGGATTGAAAATTTATAAAAAAAAATTTTCAATGAGAGGATTCATGAGAGGGACGAAAAAAAATTTTTTTTTAATCTTTGCGATTTTTTAAAAATCTTTGCGATTTTTCAATTTTAAAGAAAAAAATAAATTCATAGAAAAAAATAAAAGAAGAAAAAATGGAAAGACAACAACAAAAACAAAATTTTTTTGTTGTGTTACCTTATTAATTTTTCAGACCTTTTTTTCAAAAAAAAATTTGGGATAGACAAAAATGAGATTCTCGTGAGAATGAGATCCTCCCCCCTTCTGTCATTTAAAAAATAAAATCCTGCAAAAGGTTTTTTTGTTCGCTACCTATTGGGTTTTCAGGCCCTTCTGTCATTAAAAAAAGTGGAAATTTTCAAAAAAATTTTCTAAAAAAAATTCTGGAAGAAAAAAGGTCTGAAAATAAAAACTTATTTTTTTGGAGTTGACTAAATTTTAAAAAAATCCTTATATCGGGAAAATTAACTTATCATTTTTTTAATTTTATCGAATGCAGCTATGCAAATCCAAACGTGAACGAACCGTTTTTTGATTACTTGATTTTGAGAAGACATGCCAAAAACGTAAAGTTTCATCACCAGCACCAGTAACAATTGATTCACCATCGGGAGACATTGCCTTTAAAATACAGGGAATTTTTTTGGCTAAAAATCAAAAAAATAAACCAAATATAAAACTCTTGATTGATGACCAGATAATTTTGTTATTGGTTGCATACTTGGATATTTCCATAAAATTACTTGATTAAATGAATAGCCATGTGTTGATACTAATTCTGGGCTATGTTTAGACCAAGCAACATTGCAAACCTTGAGTAAAGGTAGAAAATAGATTTTTTTTTAATTTTTTGGAATTTCAAAAAATTTTGAAAATTTTTGTTGATTTTCAAGAAAATTTTCTGAAATTTTTTCTCCAAAATGAGAGGGATTTTTCTAATTTCTCAAAATATTTCAGAACTTTTTTTCAGAGAAATTTTCAAAAAAAGTTTTCAGAAAATTTTTTTCAAAGGTACATACTTGACTCCCAGTCTCAACACATTGCATTGCCTGTCCAGTCATTGTATTCCAAAAGCGTAAAGATCGATCCGCTGTTCCTCCACCACTGACTAGAACACTTGGATGATGTGGGGACCTTTAAGAAATTTTTTGAGATTTTTCAAAAAAATTTTTTCAGGTTACCAAGCCAAAGCTTTAACAGCAGCATTGTGTTCCGTGTAAGTTTGTATTGGTTCATTACGACGAAGACTCCAAACAAGCAATTGATTGTCATTACCACCAGAAGCCAAATATTCTTTGTTTGGGGACCATTTTAAACCGCAAACCTTTTTGGGAAAAAAATTTTTTAAGAAAATTTTTTTAAAGAAAAAACCTCTTGTCTATGGGCATTTAAACGTTTTTCAGTCACATTATTACTTTCACGCAAATCTCGATAAATTATGCAACGATCGCGTGAACCAGAACATATTACATTATCATTCCAAGCTAAACAACCAATACGCATTTCGTGAACTTTTATATTGTGAATGCGTTTTTGTGTACGAGAATCCCAAATCTTTAAAAAGAAAAAAATTTTAAAAAGCTTGAAAAATTTTTGAAAAGCTCGAAAATTTTTGTAAAATTTTTAAGGGCTTGGAAGGCATTTAGAAAAATTTTTTAAAGTCGAAAAAATTTTGAGAGGTCGAAAAAAATTTTTAAAAATTTTTAAAAGGCTTGGAAAAATTTTCAAAAAATTTCAAAGGGCTAGGAAAATTATAAAATTTTTTAAGGCCCAAAAAAACCTGTAAAATTCCTTTATGAGTTCCAACAGCTAATAAATCTCCACGTTCTGACCATTGAACAGAAGTAACAGATTCACTATTTTCATTGCCCAAATCACACAATTTAATTACTTGACTATTACAAGCACTCCATAAATAAACACAAGTATTTAAACCAACAGATAACATATTTTGACTTGACCAATCAACAAGATTTAAATAAAAGTCATCTTGAAGTTCTGGAGCATCCAAAACTTTATATGGATTTTTTGGAACTTTTCGTTGTGGTTTTCTTGGAGATTTTAATAAACGTTGACTGTCTGGAAAAATTAAAAAAAAATTTTTTTAAAAAACATAGAGTACGGGGTTACTAACGAGAGACGTCCCCAATAGCGAGAAGGCCCTCCCTCCACGATTTTTAAAATCATTTCAGTATATGGAGTTGTCCATGAAAAAAGGAAGGCCTTGAGGTTTAAATTTTCAAGTGGTTCTCCATTGGAGTCTCCTATAGGAAGGATACCAATTCTTGACACAAACCTTACTGCATCAGGGAAAACTTTCAGGGATTCAGAAAGCTCAAATATGCCTGGGTCTTGAAATCAAGAAAGAAAACAAAAAAAGTAAACCTGCAGAAAGTGGACTTGATGAAAATAAAGGTGATGCTGCATTTGCCAAACTACCACCAACAGAATTTGGCGCTTTATGTGTATATTTGAACAAAGAATGAGGTGTACTTCGTTGTAAAATTTGGACACTATCGGTACTGTCGCAATCACTCTTTAAAAAAAATTAAAAATTTTAGATTTTTTGCTTGGAAAATGGTGTGGTAAAGGTCGAGACTAACGATTGAGCGGGCATAAACTGGGAGTAAGTTGGGCGAGAATTCAGGACCTAGAGTCCAGGAAAAGTCCAATAAGTTTAAAATATACTTGGGCATGAATTTTAAGTACAGAAAGAGGTCATTATTTGGCAAAGACAAATTTGACCGGGGCAGGATCCTGAGAATTTAATCGTGAAAATCCAGCAAGTTTCAAAAAATACCCGTATATGGGATATTGGAAAGCTAACCAGATCTTTGTCCTAAGCCTTACAGTTCTTGGCAGGCACGTAGCTAGGAGAGATTGGGTGTCTGCCCCCCTGATTCCTGTGAGAAAATTTTTTAAATTCTTACCCTAACATCAATAATTGAATGTTTCAACAATTCATTCTTCAACAACGCTCGATGAGTAACCGAATCATGTCCAGTTTCTTCCAATGGAAGTGCTCCAGTATTAGGTCCATTATTACCAACACTACCATTATTATTCATTGAATTAGACGAAGGTTGTTGCTGTTGTTGTTGATTTGGTAATTGTTGATTTGGTTGTTGTTGAGCTGTAGATGAAGTACTACTTTGAGTATTTGAAGCAGCATTTGTCTTTAAAAAATGAGAGGATTAGAGATATTATTTTAAGAACATGGGTAATAGCTTGTAGTTAAAAGAGCCTTTCTCCTCCCTCTATCGGACGGAATAAAGGAGGACCCTGTTTTATTTATTAGGGGTAAAAAACACGGGGAAATGTGGGGAACTTAAAGTTCCAAAATTTCCTTTTAATCCTGTCTGATATATTTTTTGATACTAAAAATGGAAGAGATGATGGAAGGAGGTTAATGTAGGAAAATGAATCCTTAAAGAGGGGGGGGGGTCTTTAAAAAAGAGGGATGTCTTAAAAAGCGCAGGGACTTTTAAAAAGAGTAGGGGCCCTTAAAAATGAGAGGGGTCTAAAATAGGGTAAAGGGGCCATTAAGAAGCGAGAAGAGGACTCTAAAAGGGAGAGGGCCTTAAATGATAAAAAAATTATACATGATCATCAAAAAGTTTTCTTGCTGGAATATTATTCGAAGCATCAGTCAATGGATGACTTGAAATTGATGCATATTTAAATGCCCATTCTTGTTCACTTTCACGTATAGGAATATATCTATCACCTCCATCAGGTCTATATTTTGTTGGTGTTGTTTGTATAGAACCTCTAGAAGTTAAATATTTTTGTGGTGAAATTGGTGGACGTTGAAAAAATCGACGTAAATAATCTTCATTCATTATTCTTTTTTTGAAGATTAATGAAGAAAATCAGTTGAAAATAATAAAAAGTCTTGAAACAATAAGAAAATTTTGCTGAAAAAAAATATTTTTATATTTAAAAACGAAAGAAAACATTAGAAGCTTAATAATAAGGGTTTTAGAATAGGGGGAGCAGGCCAAGGTACCGCAAGCCCAAGTTACCGCTGTGCTATAACTTCTTTCAAAATATTTAGTCGAATCCGGGACGCCCTAGTATTGTTCGATGCGCCTCAACGAGCTGAATCGAACCATACTAGGTCGTCCCGGATTTGACAATTCTGAACGAAGTTATAGTTCTGCGGTAAGTTGGGCTGGCGCGCGGCCACAACGGCGCGAAGCCACAACTTGCTTCAAGTTGTCCGAATCTTATCAAATTTAGTATAGAAAGATTTTTCTCATCGAGCTAAAGAAATTGGTACCAAAGTTGTTAAGGTCCAGAAATTTTCAAGCTAATTATGGTCTTGCGCCGTTATGGTCACGCGCCTACATGGGCGTGTCCCCATCGAGCCGAGCCGAATAACAGCGCAGAATCGAACCTAAAACCGGAACAAAAACAGTTATACAACACGAAAATAGAAAGAGAAAAAAACTTTAAAAAAGAGTGACCACAGGTCATGAGATTTGGCATAATGTCTATTTTATTTTTATTGATTTTTCTTTGGCGTTAATTTAAAAATGAAGTTCCTTCGAATTTTATTGCGTGTGAGAAAAAAGTTTTTTTTCGGTTATGCGTCATAGGTTTTGCGTGAAGTAATTGATTTTTTCTTTGGTTTATTCTTTAGTCTTATTTTGCCTTATTTTAGCTTTTAAAAATTTGTATTTTTAGAGGAATTTTGCTGCTCTAATTGGCTTTAAAAAAATTTTTTTAAGAACAAAATTAGAAAATGCTTAACAACGATTTTGCTGCCGTTCTGCTAGTTAAAAGAGAAGTTTTTTTGTATATGATTCCACCATTATCTGGAACTAAAGGATACAAGTAAAAAATTTTTAATTTTTTTGATTTTTTTTTTGAATTTTTTGAAATTTTAAAAAAATTTTAGGGCCTCTGATTGGAATTTGGCTAACCCTAATTGGACTGGTCGTTTACGTTTGGTATCTAAATCTGATGATGTTTTAGAAATTCGGTTGGAGGATAAGAATACGGGTAATTTTTTAATATTCTGTCTGTGGGACCAAATGTCACCTTTTTTTATTTTTCTATTAGAAGTTCATTCCTCAAGTTTAGTCACTATCTGACATTTGTTTCCCACCTTTTTAGCTTTAATAATTATTTTTGGTATCCTAGAAAAATATTAGCCGCACCTGGATTCGAACCTGTGCCCCACCGATCATATTTAACACTATTCCACTTAACCAAAAAATATTTTTAACATAAAGGTCAAGCAGATTCACTCCTCGAATTTACCCACTCTATCTGATATCTTTCATACTTTTCTAGCGGTACTTTTTGTTTTTGACATTTACGGTCACTTCAAGATTTTTTGCGGACTTTATTTGCGACAAATTTAAAAAAATATTTTTTTCCTTTTAAAGGTGAACTTTTTGCCAAAGCACCAATAAATCGGCTCAATTCTGTCGATTTTGAACCAGTTGTTGATTCTTCCCGTTATTTTGTTATTCGATTAAGAAGTGATAATGGACAAGCAAGATTTGTTGGAATTGGATTTTCTGACCAAAGCGACTCTTTTGATTTGAAAGTTTCAATTCAAGATTATTTTCGAAGTGCTTTAGAAGTTGAAAAGGAAATTAAAGCCGAGGAAAGTGGAGTTAATAAAATACCTGTTTTAGGCGAAGGTTTTTTTTTATTTTTTGAATTTTAAGATTTTTTTAATTTGCAGGGCAGACGCTTACACTCAATTTTGGGGTATATTTTTATTTTAAATATTTTTTAATATTGGATTTTAATATTCTTGTAAGGTTTATGTGTCAATTTCAGTCAGAAACATTATTACAAGTCCTTGCAAAATTATTGCCCATAGTTGGGTTCGAACCCTCGTCCCCATATCTGTCAAATCTAAACACGATTCCACTTAACCATAAAATTTGAAAAAAAATTTTTTTAATAATTTTTAATTTTTTTTAAAGAAAAAAACAATTGTCTCCAACGACAATCAACGTGTTATTTCAAATAAAGAATCTCCAAATAATTCTGGTTCAACAACATCAAGTTTTCCTCTCCTGCCTCCGCCACCGCCTTCATCTTCCTCTCCTTTAGTTCGACGTTGAATAATTAAAATTTACTTGCCAAGAATTTTAAAAATTTGTTGGAGAATTTTTATCTTTATTTTTGTGTGTGGTAATTTGAAGGGTTATTTTTTTATTAGAATTGGTATACATGTAATCTTTAATTTGAATTAACTGATCAGTGCTTTCTCGGTTTCATAAAATTTGAAAAGGTTCCACGGTTTATGTTTACGTAGCTTTGGGTTCTAACGGTACAAAAAAATTTTAACGTCCCAGTTCTAAACCACTATTATTGTTTTTTCTAAAATCTGGAAAGCATTGTATGTATAACTCTGATTTTGTCATAATATTCATATTCTTTATATGTATCCATATCATTTTTATATACCCAAAAAATTTCTGTACGCTTTATAATTTTTTAGTCACGTTTTTGACTTGAAAAAAAATTTTAATTAAAAATTATAAAGCGATTTATAAATTTTATTTTAAATATATAATCCTTAAAGACTAAATTATTTTTTATTAAATAAAAATTGTGCGTGATTAAATTAGTTTTTTGTTATCTCACGTTGTTTAAAAATCAACAAAATATTTTTTTAATGTTTTAAAAATTTTTTAAATTATTTTTTAGAAGAAAAAAAATTAAAAAATGTCTGGTGGAAGTGCAACAATAACAGCAGTAACTCGTTTAAAAAAAGATTATCAAAAATTGGTTCGTGATCCTGTGCCTTATGCAATTGCTGCTCCTTTGCCTTCAAATATTTTGGAATGGTTAGTTTTATTTTTTAATAATTTTTTCGTCATTTAAAAATCGTTTTTGGTTGTTTAGAGTGGGTTTAGTCATGTTTTGTATTTTTGTTAGTAATTCCGTGTCCTAGAAAAAATATGGGATTGCCGTAAGGTTCGAACCTTCGACCCTATTAGCAGTCAAATCTCTAACGATTTGCACTTAACCAAAAAGTTAACTAAATTTTATTTTGATCTATTACTCCCCTCTCGACTTCAAAAATCGCAAAATAATTTTTCTTAGTTTTAGCTGTATAGATTTCAAACGCTAGTCCCTCCCTACATCCCAACGTTTTTCTTAACCAAAAAATTCTTTTTTTAATTATTTACTTTCTGCCTCACATTGGAAAATCGATAAATAAATTTTTAAAATTATTTTGTTATTAAAATTTTATCTTTTAGGCATTATGTTGTGATTGGAGCTCCGGATACTCCTTACGAAGGTTTATTTAATTTTATTTAGATTTTTTTCTAATTGAATTTTTAAGGTGGTTATTACCATGGAAAATTGGTTTTTCCACAAGATTTTCCTTTTCGGCCGCCGTCTATTTGTAAATTTATTTTCATTTTGTTTACAAAATTTAATTAAAAATTGTTTTTAAAGATATGCTCACTCCTTCAGGCAGATTTCAAGTAAATACAAGATTGTGTCTGTCAATATCAGATTTTCATCCAGTTCGTTTTTTTTTAATTAAAATTTATTTTTGGGATTTAAAATTAATTGTTAGTCATTTTTAAGTGTTAAAAATTTATTTTTAAATTTAAAAAATATATTGACCCCAGGAGGGTTCGAACCCAGACCCAGCTCACTTTATTGAAAATATAAAATTTCCCACTTAACCGCCGATTTAAATTTTTAATGATTTTAAAATTTTTAATTGCACAAAACTCCTATTTTGACCATCAGATACTTATATTAACCCTAATAAGGTTCGAACCTGCCTCCTTACTTTATTGAAAATTTAAAAATTTTCCCACTTAACCAACAAATTAATTTTTAAAATTTAAAGGATACTTGGAATCCTTCTTGGTCAGTTAGCACAATTATAATGGGACTCATTTCCTTTATGAATGAAAATTCGCCAACTCTGGGTTCTTTGCTTACTTCTGATTATGAAAGGAGAATACTTGCTAGGTTTTTTTTGAGATTTTTAGAAATTTGAAATAATTTTTCTAGGCGTTCTCGAGAATTTAATCTCAAAAGTCCCCAATTTTGTGAAGTTTTTTCTGAACTGGCTGAACAGATTCGTTGTGAGTTGGAAGAAGAAAGAGCTTTAAATGCTGAAAGTAATGGGTCGAACGAAAATGTAAATAATCAAACAACAAGGTTTTTTTTAATTTAAAAAGGGCATTTTGAGATTTTTTTTGAAATTATTTTTAAGAAAAAAATTTTCTAAGAATTTTTTTACTTGAAGATACCTCGTGTATGGCTTTTCCGCGTTAACCCCATAATCCTCCCCTCTCTTCTTTTTAGAATTACAAGAAAAAATTTTTTTAATTAAGGGCATTTTGAGATTTTTTTAAAATTATCTTGAAAAAATTTTTCTATAAGAAAACTGAAGGAAAAAATTCCTCATGTATAGCTATTCAGCGTCCAACTCAAAATCCTCCCTCCCTTCTAAATTTTAAAATTTCGAAAAAATTTTTTTCTAATTAAAGACCATCCTCTTCATCAATTACTGCAAATTTACTTATGGTTACTGGTGTGGTTATTCTTATTTTTGCTGTTCGTTATGTGGTTTTGAATGCAACATCAGCCTAACAATAAGGCTTGAAGAAAATATAAAATTAAAAAAAAATATACTTGAAATTCTTCTTGGTAAAAATATGTACTATAAACACCAAATATTTACAAAATTTTGAATAAAAGTCGCAAAAACTACTATATGTTTTTGGGCTTTTTTATAATTATTTTAGTTAATTAACTTTATGGAGTTTTAACTTAGGGGTAGAAACCCGACCCTCGAAACTTTGACTATTTTTTTTTGGCAAAATCTCTGATTCGAACTTTGACGGCTCTACCGCGACAACACCCGTTCCCCGACACTCTCACTCCTGAAGGGTTGGGTTGCTACCTTAATTTAACCTTAAAGCCAATCGAAAAAGAGATTCTTTTTTCTTGTTAAATAATATGACACTACTCATCAGGGGTTTCCCTAACAGATTTTAAGAAGGCTAAATACCTAAGAAAATGTAAATTTCGGCGAAAGGCACACTTCTACCCCTCATGTCACCATTTTCTAGAAAAATATTATTAATTGTTATAAAATTCCAAAAAATATATATAAAAAATTATACACACCTTTTTCTTGACGTATAAAATTTATCAAGCATAAAATTTCTTTTTTTTTTAATTTTTAAAGGATTTTTTTCCTTTTTTAATAATTAATTTTTTTAGGATTTTTTAATTTTTAAGAATTATTTTTTTTTAGAATGTAACAAACTTCTTTTTCTGTTTTTTTTAAATTTAAATGCCTTTTGTAACAGCAATAATTAATAAATTTGTAAATAGACGTCATACAAAATGGCTTCCTTTAACTTTAATTTTTCTTTATACTTTTGTTATTTTTTGGTTTGGAAGACTTTCAGCACAAATTGGAATGTTGGAAATTAATTCTTTTTTAGCTATTAAAAATCTAGGTTTTTTTTTATTTTAAGACTCCTAAAATTAATTTTTTAGTTCCTTCAATTGAATTTCCGTTAATTTTGCCTTCAACGTATTTGATGGTTTTGATTATGACAAAAGCAGAGAATTTAGGTTTTGAAGATTTTTTAGTATTTAAAAATTTTTTAAAATTCTTTTAAAAAATTTTATTGGGGTTTTTGACGAAGATTTATTAGAAAAGTGCTTTAAACCCCGGCAGTGTTCGAACCCTCAACCCCTTTTTCCTTAAAACTTTTTTAACCAACTTAACCACAAAATAAATTTTTTATATTTTTTGAGGACTTGAAAATTTCAAAAATAACTTCAGTCATTTTTTTATTCTACTTCCCTGCCGGGGTTCGAACCCACAACCCTCCTCCCCTAAATTTTTAATTTTTCCAACTTAACCATAAAATCAATTTTATTGATTTTTGATGGACATTTAAAAATTTATAAAATAATTTTTTTTTAATTTTTATTTCTTTTAAAAATACTAGAATTACGTAATACAATTAGACAAACATGGCTGCGTTTATCCACAAAAACTCCAAATCTTTACATTCATAAATTTGTGCTTGGAATGGATGAAGTTAAAAATAATCATTTTATAGAAGAAGAAATGAACAAACATTCAGATTTACTTTTGGTCAATTTAACTAATGAATCTTATAAAAATTTGGCAAAGAAGACTTTAATGGCTTTTAGGTTTTTTAAAAAATTTAAAAAATTTTTCCTAAAATGTCAAGAGCTCAAAATGGTCAGAAATTTTATTTTTTTATTTTCCAGTTCAGTTTCTGAGCAATTTAAATTTTCCTATTTACTCAAAGTCGATGATGACAGTTTTGTCAGACTTGGTGCTTTATTAAACGCGTTAAAAGACATCGAACAACATCCTTTACTTTATTGGGGTTTTCTTGATGGACGTGCAAAACCTATGCGTGGAGGGAAATGGGCAGAAAATGAATGGCGTTTATGTGATAGATATTTGCCTTATCAGGTTTTTAGAATTTGTTTTTTTAGGTTTATCCACAAAATTTTTGGATTTTCTAAACTTTTTCTTCAAATTAAAAAAAATAATTCCCAGCTAGGATTCGAACCCACGACCTCTTTCCCCTAAAACCGTAATCTTACCAACTTAACCATAAAATAATTTTTATTTTTTAAATCTTCAGCTTGGTGGAGGTTACATTCTAGGCCAAAAATTAGTCAATTATATTGCAAAAAATGCTCATCTTTTTCAACTTTATCGAAATGAAGATGTTTCTGTTGGTGCATGGTTGGCTGGTTTGAAAGTTCGTTACGTGCATGAGTAAAATTTTTTTTACTTTTTTTTGATTAAAAATTTTTATAGTCCACGATTTGACACAGAATGGACTAGTCGTGGATGCAATAATGAATATTTGGTTTGTTTTTAAATTTGGATTTTTTTATTTAAATTTATTTCCCTGACGAGGTTCGAACTCACGACGCCCTTCCAAAATTTAACCCACTTAACCACAAAATGAGTTTTTTGATTTTTATACTTTAGTGGAAATTAGAAGTGTATTATAAGGTTTTTGGGGGAAATTAATAAATTTATTTCACTATCAGGATTCGAACCTGACTTGGTTCTTCCACTAATTCCGAAATTTTACCCACTTAACCACAAAATAAAAAATTTTTTTTATTTTTCAACAGATAACCCACAAAAAGTCTATGAATGAAATGCAAACGTTATTTAAAAGTTTATCATCTTTTGGTGTTTTGTGTTATCCAAGTGAATATCGTCTTCGTCCATCTTACATTTATAATTTTTCCAAATTACCAAGTGAATGTTGTACAAGAAGAAATGGATCCAAAATTCCCTGAAAATTAATCTAGTTTTCTTTTTTAATAATTTTTAAATTAATTTTTAAACTAATTTTTGGTTCTGGTCCAATTTATGAGTCCTTTGTCAAAAGTTGAGTTCAAGGCGGAGTTGTTGGTATTTAGTGGGCCAAGCAGGGATGTGTCGAAACAGATTTTAAAAATCGAAAGAAAAAACACCAAAAAACGTAAATAAGGTGAAAGACGAAACGGCACACCCCTGATACCAAACTAGAAGAAAAGATTCATTGGACTCATAGACTATACCAGCGAATAATTTTTTTAGTAATTATTTTAGATCTCACTAATTTTTAATTTCATAAAATTTTTAAAAAAACATTTTTATTTTTAAATTTATTTTTCTATAATTTTGTTTTTTTAAAACAATTATTATATTTAGAAAATTTTTAATTTTTTAAATTAAATTTTCAAAAGTTTTTAAGCAATAAAGAATGTTAAATGATATTTCTTTACAAACAGAAACGGCATTAGTTTTTTTAAATGGCCTTTTAACAATTTTATTGAGAAATGCTTTGGTTCAGTTAATTTATAATGGTGGCGGAACAACAATGAATCAAGAGGATTTGAAATGGTTTGAATTAAAAATTTTTTGGGGAATTTGAATTCATTTTTTTGTTCTTTTCAACTTTAGAATTAAAAATTATTTCCCTGCCAGGGTTCGAACCCACAACCCTGTTCCCTTAAAATTTTTCATTTATCCCACTTAACCACGAAATAATTTTTTCTATATTTATTACTGGCTTTTTGAAAATTTTAGAAATAATTTCAAGCATTTTATTAATTCTATTTCCATGTCAGGGTTCGAACCCACGACCTTGTTCACTTAGAATTTTTGATTTTACCCACTTAACCACAAAAACAAAATTTTATTTTTTCATTTTTTAATCTTTCCCCTATGCGGCTTTATAGTTCAAACTTTTTATTAAATTCTCAATTTTCAGGCATTTATTCACTCTCGATTTCCTTACAATTGTAATTCCAATGTTTCTTATTCAAACACTTCTGGCTGATTATTTGTTTATAATACTTGGAATATTTATAATACTCATTTTAATTATTTTAATTTTAAATAAATCAAAATTTCCATCCAAAAGGTTTTTTTAATTTTTTAAAAACTTCAAAAAAATTTTTTTTTTGAAGGAATCGTCCACATGAAGAATCTCTTACTATTAATTCTCAAAATTCGAAGCTTCAATTCTGTGATCTGTTCAATTGTTGTAAACTTGTTAGGCCTGATACATGCAGAGCTATTTATAATTCACATACAATGTTTAGGTTTGAATAAAAAATTTTTTTTATTTATTATAAAGAGTAGGGTTGTTCACAGTCGGTTAACTGAAAAACGGTGTTTGTGACAAATTAACCGAGAACCGGTGTTACCGTTTAATAACTAGTGAACACCCTAATTGAAATTAGTATTGACTAAATACTTCTTTAAAAAAAAATTTTTACGGACAAATTTAATTTCGCATAAACTGTTGGTATTTTCTCGCAAATTATTTGGCGGATGGTAAACAAAACATAGTGACTTATTGTTATGATTTTTGAAAAGGTTTGCCATTTTTCTCTCAAAGATTTACAAAAAAAAATTTTGTCCGTAAAAAGAATTTTTTTCAAATTCCTTAAAACATTTTTCCCCCACAGAGCTCTTCTTCTCAATACAACAGCTTTGGCAATTTTAGCTGTTGACTTTTCAATTTTTCCTCGAAGATTTGCCAAAACTCATTATTATGGTCAATCTTTAATGGATACTGGAACTGCTGCTTTTGTTTTTGTAAATGCTTTGGCTGATGAAAGTGCTGAAAGGGAAGGAAGAAAACCTAAAGAAAGGGCTTTAAAATCTACAATGTAAAATTTTTTTGATTGATTTTTCCCTAATTCTGTGAGATTAACCAAAAAAAGTTGAAAAAACACGACTGACCACCAACCGGACTCGAACCCGGTACCCTCTTTAACCTATGTTGGGGACTCTACCGACTTAACCATAGTGGTTAGGTTTTGTGGATATGGTTGTAAGTGTTCGGTTGGTGGTCAAAAAAAAAAAAAGGTTCGGTTGGTGGTAAGTGTTCGGTTGGTGGTCAAAAAAAAAAAAAAGTGTTCGGTTGGTGGTTAAAAATTATTTTGGTTATTGTTTAACTATTTGCGGACAAAAAATTTTTAAAAATTTAATTTTTTATTTTTAAAGGAATTTATTCTTCTTTCGCATTCCAACACTTTTGGTACTTGCATTACTTGGTATTGGGCGTTCATTATTTGTTCATTTGAGTGGATATGGACAGGATGTTACAGAGTTTGCTTTAAAAAATATTTCATTAATTTTTGATTTTTTTATAAAATTTGCGGACACAAATTTTTGTCCGCAAAAATTTTTTTTCTAAAATTTTTTTCTTTTTTTTTAAGATACGGCGTTCATTGGAATTTTTTTGTTACTCTATTTTTCATTCGGGTATTTTTTTATTTTTTGAGAATAAAAATTTTTTCTTCTCCCCTTTTCAACAGATGTTTGTTGCAATTGTTCCAACACAATTAATTATATTTATTGGTTTACTTATTGGTTTAATTTATCAATATTTATTAACTTTTGCTGGTTTGGAAGGATGGTTATTAAAATCTGAATATGGAGGAAGACATGGTTTTGTTGATCAAAATCGGGAAGGAATATTTTCTTTGTTTGGCTATTTTTTCATTTATTCTGCTTCGTTTCTTTATGCAAAATGTTCAGCACATTTTTTGGAAAAGTGAGTGATTAGAAGAAAAAAAATTTTTACCAAAAAAATGAAAAAAACTTGATTAACCATCAAACGGGTTCGAACCCACGACCCCTCCACTGTTTATTGGGGACTTTACCGACTTAACCACAATGGTTAAGATGTGGCAGATATTATTTATGCTACGGTTACATAAAAATCGCGCGCGACACGCGACAGTCGCTAAACGACATGTCGCCGGCGACAGTCGCTAGTGGCGTGGTTACATAAAATCGGCGTCTTCCGCAAAAGCGACTGTCGCAAAGCGACAAACGCTGATTTTATGTAACCACGCCACTAGCGACTGTCGCGCGCGTCTTGTCGCCTAGCGATTGTCGCGTGTCGCGCGCGATTTTTATGTAACCACTAAATTATTAGTTTTTCTATCTTTTTCAACTATATTTTCTTTATTTATTTATCTCTAATTTTCACGGTGGTGAAAGTCAGAGTACTGTAATGTATAGGACAATTTGTTGCCACTATTTTATTGTGGCTTTTATATTGTGATTTTTTAGAATTTTTCCATTGATATTTCGATTAGAGGTAGGCGCGGGACAGGATCCCGACGAGATTTTCCGGGATCCCGATCTTAAGGCCTTATAAAATTCTCTAAATTTTCGCCTGCGGCGCTGGAAGGAGTCGTGTTTGACCTTTGGGTCTGGGTTAGGGTCATGTGCCAGAGTCAATTATATATCTCCTGGCGTTGATATCCGCGGATTTGGAGCATCATATCCGTATCCATCCGTATCCGTCCAGTTTTTAAAAAAACACTATCCATATCCGTCCGTATCCGCGGATACCCGCGGATATCCGGATATTATCCGTATCCATGCACAAGCCTGAAAAATTCAATTTTTAAGGGAAAAATGCCATTTTCAAAAAATCATATCTCTGGACCGGAAAAAGATATTTTTAAGCGGTTTTGTGGAAAATACTCAGAAAAATATGCTTTATCAAATGGGTTTGTCTAATTTTTTCAGAAAAATTTTCCGCGGATATAGGATTTGGTATATCTGGTAGATCCGGATTATCTCGGCCTATTTTCAATTTCATGAAAAATGCAGAAACATGTCAACTGAGATACGAATAGAGCTTTCGATTGCTATATAGAACGTATTTTTTGAATAAAAAATAGTTAATTTTCATTTAAATTACTCCTGTCCCTATCTTTATGTCGACTACTGTAAATAAGATTAAATTTGTAAAAATCTAATAGATTTAGAGGGATATCGGTGGATCTATATGGGTCTTATATCGGAACTAAAACTCCGGTATACTAAACTATATCCAAATCCCGACTCGGGATCCCGGAAGTGCGATTTTGCCGACCTCTAATTTTGATCAAGGAAATGGAGATACAGTACTTCAAAAAATATTTTAAACCCCTAGAACTTTAATAAAAAATTTTCTTTTAGGCTCATTTTAAAGCCCATAAAATTTCAAAAAAATTCAAAAAATTCTTTTTATCTTTTTTTCCTCCGCGAAATAGGGAGGAACTCATCAAGAAATTGTCACTTTTTCATGTTTTTGATATCATTTGATAGAGAATCAAAAGCTCTACAACATATCAAAAAATCAGAATTTTTGACCGTTGATAAAAAAGTTATAATATAAATACTCGATGGCATACTGAATATCTCAAAAATATCGAAAAAAAGAACATTTTTTGCAAAAAGTATACCTTTTTCAAAATCAATTTTAACCCATAAGATTTAACTTTAAAAATATAAAATTTATATTGATCGATAGAGAATAAACTGAACTTTCAGAATCTTTTTAAATTTTGAAAATCGGATCAGAATTGATCGAGAAATAGCATGTCGCAAAAAAGTGACGCCGAAAATTCAAACATGTTTGAATCAAAAAAAGTGTCGCCGGCGACAAGTCGCCGGCGGAAATCGCATTTTATGTAACCACTAGAAAAAGCGACAAAATCGCGCGCGACATGTCGCCGGCGGAAGTCGCGGTTTATGTAACCACTCAAAAAAGCGACAAAGTCGCGCGCGACAAGACGCCGGCGGAAGTCGCTTTTTATGTAACCACTAGAAAAAAGCGACAAAATCGCGCGCGATTTTTCTCTCCTCTTTTTACATTATCTTTTCTGTCGCGTGTCGCGCGCGATTTTTATGTAACCGTAGCATTAGGGAGTCTTGGTGTTCAAATTTATGTTTTGTAAAAAATAAAAAAATGTGACCACCACCCGGACTCGAACCCATGACCTATTTTATCACTACAGTTGGGAATCTAACCGACTTAACCACAAAAAATTTTTTTCTAACTTAAAATTTTTTTTTATTTTCCAGAGAAAAACGTCTTTCACTTGCACGTACTCTATTACTTTTCTTAATCAGCATCTTTTGTTATTTGTTACAATATTTGTTGGAAAATTATGGTTTACGATTGCAAGCTTCAAGACGTCTTGCAAATTTGACTTATTGTTTTGCCATGGTTTGTGAATTTATTTTTTAATTTTTTTTTATTTAAAAAACAATCCACTTTAGTATTTTTGAAATTCGTTCGAAAAAATTTTTCTGGAACTTTATTTATTTTTTTCCCGGCTCACTGTGGTTAAGTTGGGTAGTGAATTTTTATTTTTATATGTTCCCATAGGGTAGAGGGAGGTTGTAGGTTCGAGCCCGGTTGTAATTAATTTTTTAAATTTTCTGGAATTTCTGGAAGGTGTTTTCAATCTCTTTTTTTTATTTTTTAGTCATTAAAATTTTTTTCAAGTTGGCTTTATTTTCTGCTTCAACAATTTTGCTTCAAATTTTTCAATTTATTGCTCCAATGCCGCGATCAAAAGGTGGACTTGTAGAAGCAATAAGTAGAAATGCTTTATTACATTTTCTGATTGCAAATTTATTAACTGGGTATTAATTTTTTAAAATTTTTTTTGGAAAATTTTTTTTCTTTTTTTCAGATTTGTAAATATGTTTAGCGACAATATTTTAGAACTTAAAGGAATAGTAACTCAAAGTTTAATTCTAATCATATATTCATTAAATACCTCATTTTTAATTTATTTAATTCCAATAAGAAGAACCTCAAAATAATTTTTGAAAAAAAATATATAATTTAAAAAATACTCAATAAAAAAAGAAGGGCTTGAAGAAGATTTTAAAAAATAATTTTTGATTGTGGTATTATTTTTGTATTTAAAATATATGTATAGGTATTTTTGATATTTAATTTATTTATATAATATTTAATGGGATATTATTAGGGAACGGATTTATATGGATTTCCATATTTTTTCCTGGCCTAGTTGGGGGGTTCTGGAAGTCCAAAAAAGGCTGTTTCTGAGTTATCAATCCATATCTCGTCATTTTTTTGTAAAATTTTGCCAAAAATTAGTCAAAATTTTCAAATTTATTAAATTTTTTTGGTCAAAAAATTTTTTATAAAAATTTATCTGTAAAAATTTTCAGTTTTCGGCCCTTATTTGAACCATATTTTGGATTTTAGTCCATATTTTTCGATTAATAGTCCATTTTCAGTCCATATTTTTCGATTAATAGTCCATATAAATCCGTTCCCTAGATATTATATATGGTAGAAAAATTATATTTATTTTTTATTAATAAAAAAAATTTTTTATTTGAATTGTTCAAAAGAATATATATAAATTCTTTTAATATTTTAGAAAAATTAAAGGAGAATTTTAGTGAAATCTCGACTATGACTTTGGTTTTTGGAATTTCTGGGTGAGCCATTTAAGTAATTTATTTAGAAAAAGAAAACAAAAATTTTCTAATTAAATTTATCAAAAAAATTTTTTAATTTTAGAATGAAAGCTATATTTGGTCTTTAAAAGCGAAATATAAGCGAAAATGCAGAAACAACCATTAAAAAGGTTAAAAAATGGACGGATTTAAGAAATGGACTATTAGAAAAATAGGGAAGAAGGGAGATAACACAATTGAGGATTAGGTGTCCGCAAAAATTTTTAGCGACACAAGATAATTGCTAAATAGAATAATTAGGGTTATTCCACGGGCCAAGAGGCAAAATTTTGAGAAAGCAGAAAAAGCAAAATTTGGGAAGGAAACCAGGACCAGGATGGAGAGAGTGGAACGAGAATTTTCAAAAAAAATTTGTGCTAGGATTTTTCTCCGACGAAGGGAGAACGGGCAAAATTTTTGGAAGGCAAAGTCTTTAGGGGAGAGTGCGAGACTAGGAAAAAGGGACCAAAAAACGAAGGATAAAAAAATTTTTCCCCAAACTTTCGTAGACAGGGGGAAAAATCCTATAAGAAATAAAGCTAAAATACAAGACTAGTTTTTAAAGAAAAAAATTGAAAGAGAGAAAGAGGTCTTTAAAAAATTTTAAAAAAACCTGAAAAAAATAAATTTTCTAAAGGGAAAAGCTCTCCTCTAAATTGAACAAAAAGTGAATTTCCTTTCTCTTCTAAAAATAGCCATTAAATGCTTGTATCACAATTGATTGCATAGGTCCTAATCTAATTAATTTTTTTCTAGTCAAATCCAAAAAAGAATTTATTGGGTAATCCTCTAAAGCATTTATAGAATTTGCAATAACCCTTCCATGCCATTTTTGATTTTTGCTATTTTGTTGAAAGAGGGGAAAAAGTTGTGATAGAGGTAGAATACGAGTTATTGAGCCAAAATTTGCAGCAAAAATTGTTATCTTTAAAAAAGAGGAATTTTTAGGGAAATTTTTAAAGAATTTTTCTAGGAAATTAAAAAAAAAATTTTTAAATTTTCAAAAAAATTATTTTTCAAAAATTTCAAAAAACTCTAACCTCTCCATAAAATTTTCTATCATTTTCTCTATTATTTTCAATATATCTACAAAGCAAAAAAGCATCATGTTCCATAGGTTTAGTAATATAAACATTGCCATAACGTAAAGAATTACTATATTTTCGTAAATTTGAAAGCCTCAAAAAATTGCGAAAAATGTTTTGAGATATTTGGTTGGCCTAGGAAAAATTTTAAAAATTTTTTGAAAATTAAAAAAAAACCTTGGGTTTATTCAAGCTGGGAGGTGTTGTAGTAATATTGGTATTATTTGTTGAAGAGAAATGGGGGTTTTCTTCTTCAATTTCATCAATATTCCAGCCAAGAGGGCCTCGTTGGGGGAACTGTAAAAAAGAAAAAATTGAAAAAAAAAAATTTCTGAAAAATTTTCAAAAAAAAATCAAAAAAATCTCAGGCAAACCTTCCCTCTACTCAAATCTTTTTGGCCAATTTCTTCTCCATAATACAACAACGGCGTTCCAGGCAAAATTAAAATTAGTTGAATTAAAATTTCTGCAATTATTCGACTGTCAACTCTGGAAGCTAAACGTGGTGTGAAGGCGTTTCCAAAATTCCAAACAGGCCAGACCTTTTTAAATTTTTAATTTAAAATTTAAAATCAGAATTCTGATTAAATTTTAAAAAATTCTGATTAGAAATCAGAACTGAAATATTCTGATTTAAAAAAAATCAGAATAAATTCTGAAAACAAATTCTGATCTCAAAAATAAATCAGAATAAGTTCTGTAAAAAATTCTGATTTCGAAAATCTGAAAATTCAGAAAAAAAATTCTGATTTAAAAATCAGAATAAATTCTGAAAAAAATTCTGATTTAAAAAAATCAGAATAAATTTTTAAAAAAATTCTGAATTTTTTTTTCAAACCTTTACTCGATCTTCATCCTTCTCCACTAAACCAGTAGCACTTCTTTCTTCATCATTTTTATGAAAAATTAATAAATCTGCTATAATTTCATTAGCACATTCCCCGATATTATTTCCCTTATTTTTTGATGAACATATTAAATTTCCAGAAGCTAAACTTTGTAATTCTGTATTTACAATTAAATTAAGTGAAGCATGTTCTATTAGTAACCGTTTTGAAGCTTCTGATAAATGGGCGTGGGAAGCAAAAAGAAAGCTTTAAAATTAATTATTCTGATTGTGTGTTTTTAATTAATTCTGATTTTGTGTGTTTTTGTGTTTTGCTTTTCTTGTGTTTTTTAAATTAATTCTGGTTTTTTATTTGAATTCTGACTTTTAATATTATTATTCTGATTGTGTGTTTTTGTGTGTTTCTGATTGTATTTTTATTTTAAATTCTGGTGGTTGTGTTTTGGTGTTTTAATTCTGATTTAGTTTCTTGTATATTTAATTCAGATTTTTATATTTATTTAAATATTCTGATTTTATTTTAAAAAATACATTTTTTCTCTAGCACTTCCTCCTCCTCTTTCATCATCTAAAAATATTCTTAATGAACGTAATATTTTTGCGATTTTTTCCCAATTTGGATCTTTTCCATCTTCACTTCTATATAAATATTCTATTGAGGAAAAATGAAATCCATCAATTCCTTTATTAATCCAAAAGCTTAAAGCTGCCTGAAAAATAATATTTTTTCAGAAATTTATCAGAAATTTTATATTTTTTAGATATTCTGATTTTTATTAAAAATGTATTTCTGTATTTTTCTGATTTTGTATTATTTTCTTAATTTTTTAATAATTTTGTAGTAATTTTCAGACATTCTGATCCAGAAATTTTAATCAGAATTTTTTTGAATATTCTGATTTTATTTTTTTCTTATAAATTCTGGAGTTTGTATTGTATTTTTGTTTGAGTTCTCATGTGTTTCTATTTTTTTCTGATTTTTTTGTTTCTGATTTTCTGACTCATTATTTTTTTCCTTCAAAAAATTCTCTCCCAACAAATTAAAATTTCCCCCTTTCAGAATTAAAATTAAAAAAAATTTTTAAAAGAAACCTTAATTGTATCAGAAACATTTTTATTTGTCCAATGTAAAACAGGCAAATCCGGACGGTCTTTAACATGAAAATATTTTAGTGTAGAACCACAATATTCTGAAATAAATTCTGAATTTGGTATTCCCCTTCTCCAAATAAAAAAATCAGCAAAATGAGCATCTTCTGGATGGGCTGAAGCTAAAGCACTTTTATCAAACCAAGGATTTGAAATTGAAGTTAGAACAAGGGGAAAATCGATGAGAACACGAATTCCTGTTTTGAAAATGTGGATTTGTTTAATTCTTTGAATTTTGTTTGTGCGTTTATTTTTGGTGAGATTTTGTGTAAGTGCTCAAGTCTGGTGGGTTTTGTGTGAAATAGATTTGTTCATTTGAAGCGAATCATAGGCCTGAATTAAGAGAAACCATACGGGCTTGGGCTTTGAACGGCACAGGGAACAATGTGGTTTTGTTTATTTGGGCAGGATCCTATTTTTGTAGTACAGGAAAAATCAAGCAAGCCTTAAAAAATGCATGGGCCTGAGAACTGCTTGATCCTATTTTTTTGGTTTTCCCCGTGGAGTTAAATTTTCGGATAACCAAGGGTCCTATATATTAAAAAAAATTTTTTTTAACGAAAAAAACCTTTTTTATGTGCCTTTATTATTAATTCATTAAATTGTTCAAAATTTCCAATTTTACTTGCCAATTTATTATATTCAATAACACCTAATCCACTCTTTTCAACACGCATAATTGGACGTAAAAATATTGCTCCAACACCCAAACGTCGTAAATAATCCAATTTTTGAATTATTCCAATAAAATCACCAATTTTATCGGAATTTGAATCAGAAAAAGAAAGTGTCCAAATCTTTAAATTTTTTAAGGAAAAATTGTTTTGATTCAAAAAAGAATTTAAAAAAACCTCATATATTATTGAATCTTTCCACCACTCTCTCGTTGTAAATTCACATTTTGGGTGAGAAAAGGTTATCAATATGGCGATTAGAAGTGAGAAAATCCAGCCAAACCAAAATATTGAATAGAAAAAGCACCTAGAAAAATTTTTGAAAAAATTGTCCGCAAATTTTTTTGCGGACAAAAAAATTTGTCCGCAAAAATTTTTTGCGACACTGACCCACAAAATAATTTTTAAAAAAAAACCTTTTAATCTTCCATTTTGGATCATATCTACATTCATTTATTTCATCAATACTTAAAGGCCCTCGTCTTCTTGCTTTAGGTATAAATAATAACTTCCTTCCATCTTCACCAGCCAATGGATCAAAACATATTGGAATAGAATTATTTTCTATAGCAAAAATATAACTATCAGATTTTGTTGTAGAAATTCCGCCATCTTTCATTTTGTTGAATTTATAGAAAACATTGTTGTCTGAGTGTTCCTTGAACGTTTAAAAAAATTTTTTGGAAAATTTCCTGAAAAAATTTAGGGCAAAATTAACGAGAATGTTTGAGACTCTAATGTGCTGTTTTGCTTATTTTAGATTTTTTATTGTAGCGATGTTAGAGAAAAAGGAATATTGCTCTCTAACAATAACTCATTGGGAGGATGTTTTTCTCTGACAATATTTTTCTCTAATTATGTTACAACAGGTACCTATACACACTTTGCCAATTCCACATTTTGCCAATAAGGCTAAAAATCCGCGTTTTGTCAATAAGCTTATTGGCAAAACGTGATATTTACCCTTCTTGGCAAAATGTGGAATTGGCAAAATGTCTGAACACGGTTCAACATAAAATCTAAAATCAGCAAAATAGGAGTATATTAGAGTCTTAAATTTTTTCATTGATTTTCTAGGGAATTTTGTGTACATTTTTAAAAAAATAATGATAATTCGGTTAAAAAAAAATTTTTTTTCTTTCCAATTTTTAACAATCATTTTTTTCATTTTTAGATTTTCACATCTCTTCAAACAACTTTAAATTAAATTTAAATAAAAATGAGTTCAATTGGTACTGGTTATGATTTGGCTGCGTCTACATTTTCACCTGATGGACGTATTTTTCAAGTAGAATATGCAGCTAAAGCTGTTGAATCAAGTGTGACTGTTATTGCTTTAAGTAGTAAAAAGGGTGTTGTTGTTGCTGTTGATCAACCAATTCCTTCAAAACTTGATATTGAGGTTTTTTGATTTTTTTAACGGTTTGATTTGGGGATTGATTCAACCCAGTAACGATTTGATTCAGGCCCATATCTGGTCGAAAAGTCGATGGTTGAGAAAATAAGTCCGGAACAGGGGTTTGGGTAACCTGACCCATCTCTGGTTAATGAAAAAGGGGAGATCCATCCGGCTAAGTAATTACCAGGTCGAAAAGTCGATACCTACCCGAGGGCTACACTAAAAGAGAAGGTTCTTGATGCTTTTTCCTATTAAATTTTTTTCTTGTGGTCTTCTCATAAATCAGCATTTTCCTGGGACGTGTTAATGTTCAAGACCTAGGGGTTGAACTTTTAACTAGAAAATTTTATCTTGTCATATTTTTTTAATTTTTATTATTTTTTAAGGGAGCAAATAGTCGTATAATGCGAATTAATAATAAAATTGGATTTGTTGGTTCTGGACTTTTTCCTGATGTTTTTGCGTTGTGTGATTATGCTAGAGATGAATCACGCAAATATTATAAAGAATTTGATAGACCTTTGACTGTTAAAAAACTTGCTGGGAAGGTTTGTTTGTGTTGATTTTTGGGAGGAAAATTTTATTTTTTTAAAAGGTTGCCGAGCATGTTCATATTTACACGTTGGGAATATCTCGTCCATTTGGAGCTTCTACTTTTATACTTTCTTGGGATGAAAAGGTTGTTACATTTTTTATTTTTAAAAATAATGTTGGGCTCCTTCCCTTAACTCCGATTTTTTAATTAAATCTCCGACCCGTCTAGATCGAGTCTTTTTTGGCTAACATAATTTTTTAGACCTCGAGGTGGTCTGGATCCAACCCTATCGATTTTCCCAAATCTGTCCGTTCCCTTCGACATTATTCTTCCGTTTTGGAGGTTTAATTTTGGGGCATATTTGAGTTTGGGACCTACAGCGATTGGTCTGTGTCCGTTATTTTCTTAACGATTTGTTTTGGGTTTTTGAAAAAAAATACTCAAAAATTAATGATTATGTGGGATTTTTGCTTTCTGTCAAACATTCTTTTCTAATTTTCTTCTTTAAAGGTTGGCTCTTCAATTTACTGTATTGAGTCATCTGGCCAATGCTACAAATATTTTGGATGGGCTATTGGGTTTTGTTTATTTTTTTAGATTCTTTTTTTTTAAATTTTTTTCTAATAAAGAAAAAATGCTCAAGCAGCAAAAACAGAAATTGAAAAAGTTCAAGAAATTGATGGTCAATCAAATTTGAGTAAAGAAGAATTAATTAAACGTGCTATACACGTTTTGTTAACAACTAGAGAAGAGGGAACGACTGGACATCGAATTGAAATGGGCTGGCTTGGTGAGGATTCCAATGAAGTTTTTGAGGTTTTTTTCTTTTTTTGATTGATAAATTTCTCTCGGCCACCAATCGGTATCGAACCTTGGTCCCCGAAAGAGGCTTAATCTCACATGTATCCCACTTAACCAAGGGATACAAAATTTTTGTTGTTTGCTCGTCTTCTCCATTTAAGACCCCGGAAGAGTAGAATATTTTTTAAATGCCCATGACCACCAATTGGTATCGAACCTTGGCCCCAAAAAATGGGATGTTTTAACCACTTAACCAAAAGGTACAAAAAATTCTCTTGGTAGTGCTACCCCTCGAAAAAGTTTTTTTTAATTAAAGGGTAAATTTTATTTTTCATAAAGATCAGAAAAAAATTTTTTCTTTAAGGGAATTAATCAATCTGAAGTTGACAAATTGGAGGAAGAAGTTAGTCAACAAATGGAGGATGAGGAGGATTAAACTAAAAAATCCTTTATGATGTTTGGAAGGAGGAATCTTGTGGTTGGGAAGGAATCTTTTGTTGACCAATATAATTAATATATTTTTTTCTACTACCTACTATTTTATATATTTGAAAAAAACTAAAAGGTTTTCTTTTAAAAATTTTTTTGTTTAAAAGGAAGGTCTTTGAGGAAGACTTATGTTAGGAAGTTGGTAAGTTCAATTTCTGCTTTGGGATGGGTCGTGTTAACAAAAATCTTTTTAGAAAAGGTTTTAGTTTTTTTAACTTAACCTTAAAAAAATTTTTTTCTAGTTTGACCCGAGTCCCTATCAGAAGAAAATTTTGAAAACCCTCGACATTTTCTCAACCAGGCCCACCTCTGGTTACTTTTTTTTTTTGCTTTTAAGTAATCATAGAATGGGATTCTATAAAAAACATTTTTTAATTATTTCAACAATTTATTCTCCTAAAATTATTAATTATTTTAGAAACAATTTTTAAAAAAAAGTGAATATAACCACAAATGCAAGGCTTTTAAAGAACAAAAAATAATTTGGGAGATAAAGTGGTATAACATTTTTTGGTTGAGAGAGAGATTATTAAGGCAAATAAAAATACATAAAATAAATATTCTAGATATATGTTTGTATTAAAAGCAGAGATAAAAAATAAATTAAAAATGCAGCTGCAAATATAAATAACCCTCATGAATAGAATTTTGATATATAATTGATTTTTTAGATTAAGGAAATTTTTGGCTTGAAAATTATTTTTTGAGATTTTTTGGATTTTTCTGAATTTTTAGAAAAATTTTTAAATTTTTGAAAAAAATTTTTTAACCCCCCTTTGAAATTTTTTCGAAAATTTTGACCTCCCTCTTTGAAATTTTTTTCAAAAATTTTTTTAACCCCCCTTTGAAATTTTTTCAAAAATTTTTTGCCCCCTTTTAAAAATTTCCAAAATTTTTTAGACCCCCTTAATTAATTAAAAAAATATCACAAAAACTTGAGACATTGTTTTGGTACTGGATCATGTATCCGTTTACAGAGATTCTCTTCTAAAGCATAAAATGCATCATTTTCCCTTTGACCATCCAAAACAACCCATGGAACAAAATTAAAAGAATCACCGATAGAAATTGTTTTGTTTCCAGCGAGAGCGTGAAGGCGACGACCAAGTTTGCCTATAGAACAAGTCCATAATCTGAAAATTTGAAAATCAGAAAAGATCAGAATTTTGTTTTAAGAGACCAGAATTTATGAAAATCAGAATTTCTTTATTCTGGTTTTGAGGAATCAGAATTTTAATATTCTGATATTTAAAAATCAGAATTTTGGAACTCAGAATTTTAAGAAAATCAGAATTTTTGTATTCTGGTTCTGAAAAATTGAAAATCAGAAAAGATCAGAATTTCTTTATTCTGATTTTAAAGGACCAGAATTTTTGTAAATCAGAACCAATGAAAATCAGAACTTATGAAAATCAGAATTTTTGTAAGTCAGAATTTTTGTAAATCAGAATTTTTGGAAGTCAGAATTTTGTGTATTCTGATTTTGAGAAAACAGAATTTTTTTAAATTTCAGAATTTTTAACACAAGAAAACCTCCTTACAAATCAGAAGAAGAATGCCCATTTAAACAACTTCTAAAAGCTGCAATTAAATTGTCTTTGCCTTGAACACATCCAATTAAAGGAATATGGCTTTCTGGATCTGGTAAATGTTCTATTGCACAATTCATTAACTGATTCAATTCGCATTCATCTTTTCCGTGTTGGCAGTCACATCTGGAAAAATGAGAAGAATTTTTGACAAGAAATATGGGTATTTTAAAAATTAATTTTTAATAGCTATAAAAAACGGCTTCGACCACCAATGGGTATCGAACCTTGTCCCTAAGGAGACGCAAAACCCAGGCGTTTTAGCCACTTAACCAAAGGAGCATAAAATTTTTTGGGTGTGCTACGAGGTCGGCCCCTCTAAAAAGCATTTTTAAATAATAAAAAATGTCTTCGACCACCAATGGGTATCGAACCTTGGTCCCTGAAAAGATGTAAAAGTCGTAATTTTTAACCACTTAACCAAAAAGGCAAAAAAATTTTTTTTTGGGTGTTCTATGATGTAGAATCGATTCCCGGGATCCTATAGATCAGAAAAATTTTCAGAATAAAAAGTCAGAATTAATTTTAAATTTCAGAAAAAAATAAACTTGTAATCATCCTCTTCAGCTACACAACTAGCTTTTCCAAAAGGCACAAGAGTTACGTTTAATCTTCGTGTAGAACTCAGCCTCGACCAGGAAGGCAATAATTGGCGTCTGATAAAACCTGAAAAAGGTTTGGTTTAATTTTTATTTTTTTAAATTTTTTAATTTAAAAAACCCGTTGTGTCTGGACATTGTGCTTCCATATAAATTGTTACTTGAACAACATTTGCCTTTTTTGGTGGAGGTACAGCAACAGGCATTAATGGAGGTGGAGGTTGATTTTCTGGTTCTTCTTTAAAGGTCTGAAAAAATTTTTTTTTTAATTTTTAAATCTTTTTCTGGAAAGAATTTTTCTGGAAATATTTTTTTGAAAGTTTTTATAAAAAAATTACCCAGAAAAATTTTTAAAAAATTTTTGGTGTTTTAAAATTCTGATTTTTGTGTATTAAAAAATAAAATTAGCAACCAATTTAAATCCAACCGTTTCCAAAGAATTAATAAAAATATTAGAATTTTGATGAAAAATTAATAATAATTTGAATATTATATTTACAAAATCTCTGACAAACATAATAAAAAAAGGGGGCGCCGCAATCAACAGCAAACGCTTCTTTTTTTTCTCTTTCAATTTTTTTTTCGTCAATTTTCCGGACCAATTATTTTTTATTTAAATTGTGGGGAGAAGAAAATGAGAGAGAGATTTTTTAAAGAGATAAGGGTATTTAAAAATAAATAAAAAAAAAATTTTTTTGGTGGATATTTTTTGGATTTGTGGGGCTCTTATTTTAAAGTAAATTAAATAAAAGGAGGATGAGCCCACCCGTTTAAAAAAAAAATAAAAAATTATATAATGATGCAAAAGAAAATTAATTATATTAAAGAAAATTTTTTTCGTGTCAAAGAGTGAGTGATTGATGGATCAAGTTCATCATTTGGACGACAGAAAAATAAAAACACTAAAAATACTAGTGTTTTGACACTAAAAAAACTAAATTAATTGACACTAAAAAAATTGATTTTTGCAGAAAAATAGAGGGAAAATAAATTTTTCTAAAAATAAATTGTGTATTGTTGTTGTTTACGGATAATTAACAACACAATACACAAAAAATTAATACACTAATTTGTAAAAAAATAATAAAGGGGAAGGGGGTACAAAAATTGGCCAAAAAAATTTTTCTCTGGAAAAAACAAAAAATTTCTAACAGTTAAGCAAACAAATAAATAAAAATTTAAATTTCCACGTCGTTATATTTTTTGTGTTTTTTGGTGGTAATGGGTGCAATAAAAAAAGAGCCACAAAAATTATTCACATCTCATAAAAATAAATTCTTTCCCCTACCAAGAAATTTTATTTATGATTTCTCTCTTTTATTTAAAATAAATTGATTTGGCCGAATTTTTGGGCCAATTCAGAATTTATATTTAAAAAATTATTCCAGAAAAAAATTTTTTTTATAAAAAATATTCCAAAAAAATATTTTTTAATTGTGGGGGAGGCAAAAAAGATGACTAACCCCAATAAAAATTTTTTTAAAAAATACACAAAAATCAGAATTTTTTTAATTTAAAAAATTTAAAAAAAATAAAAACAATAACCTTACCATTTGATTATTTCCGTCCTCTTCAAATTTTGAATTTTGCCTGAATTTTTTAAAAATTGGTGGTGGCAGCAGTCGTTGTCTATGAGGCATTTCAACAACATTTTCAGTTAAAGAATTCCACCAAATTAAAAATAAAAAAGCCAAAATAAATAATAATAAATAAAATAATGGCCTTGAAATTTTATTTTGATGGCGATAATAATGACGTAAGTGCATTTTGAATTTTTAATTTTATTAAATTATTAAGAGGATGTGTTGTTCAAAAATTAAAATTTTTTATTTACATGCTTAAAAAAGCTGAAAAAAATATTATTTTAAAAATTATACACAGAAGAGTTCGCGATCTTAGATGCACCCTCCCCCTTAATAATACACACATTCTCTCGATTTTAAATACCTACGGGGTTTTTTTGAAAAGTTCGTTTGAACTACTAGGGGGTAGGAGCCGTATCGGAATTTCGATTTCCGAAGGCTTTTTTTTTATCTTCAAGATTTTTCTTGAATTTATACAAACAATTTTTCCCAGTGATGGATGTGGATACAGATAATTTCAAAATGCCTGCGGAGACCCATGTCCAAGATCCATGTCCATTACCAAGTCTGCTTTTTCCGTTTATTTTGTGTTATGTAAAATATCGAGACATTCTCACTGTCTCGATTTTAAAAAGTAAAGAAAAATTAAGTACAGGAAATATGAAAAAAAAATTATTTTTTTTTCTATTTGTATTTATTCTTTATACAATTCCCAAAAATAATTTAATATAAAGAAGCTTTTTTAAATAACACATAAAGAATACATGTACCTATTCACAAATTGGCTAGAAGACGGAAAAAACTAGTCCTATAAAAATAAATAAATTTGTAGAAAGAAAAGGAGGGGGATGTTTTTTTAAAAATAATATTATGTTTAAATTGAAAATCGATAGTGAAATAAATGTTTAAAAAATCAAGGGGGGAAAATAAAAATCAAAGGGGGAAAAATCAAAGGACCCATTTAGGCGCGCGGCCATAACGGCGCAAAGCCATAACTAGCTTGAAAATTTCCGATTCTTTCCAAATTTAGTATTTAACGATTCCTCTCGTCGAGCTGAAGAGATTGGTACCAAAATTGTTAAGGGCCAGAAATTTGAAGCAGGTTATGGCTTTACGCCGTTATGGCCGCGCGCCTAATTGGGCTGTATCCAAATCATTGAATAACTCTTAATAATCGTTAGCGCGCATTTTATAAAATAGTGTTAAATAAAAAAAATATTATTTAGAAAAATGATTAATGAGAAAATATTAAATAAAATGATTAATTAATTTTTAGAATTTTTAAAAGGGAAAAAGGAGAAAATTAAATAGAAAATTTTATCAATAAAAAAGGGAAAACATTGAAAGGAGCAAAGGAAGGTCTGCGCAAGAAAGAAAGAAACCAACAAAATACAATTTAAAAGAGCTTAGAAAGGGAAAGGGGATATATAAAATCCCCGACCTTAATCCTTCTTGTTAATTATATTTTTCAAGTTGATGGGTTTGGCGAAATGTTTATTTTTATTTAAAATGACAAAAAATCCAAAAATGACATTTGATCCCAAAATTTTTTTTTGAAAATTTTTTTGATTTTTCTAAAATTTTTTTAAATTTTTTTAGACTTTTGGAAGCCCTAATTAATTTTTTTATTTTAGGAATGTGACAATCACCTTTAGAAAGGTGTATAAAAGCCTCCCCATAATTTTCTATTTAACTCAAACCAAGAAAAGAAATTCATCATGCCATTCCTTTTAGTTATTAATGCATCGATTATTGCTCAATCTCTTCCATTTTTTCTTCTGCTTGTTCCTAGTGTGTTATCAAATTGTTGCAAACGAAAAAAGGTTAGGTTTAGAGATCGTGTAGGGACAAAAAACTGTCCGGACAAAATAAGTTTGCGAAGTAAAAAACCAGACCAGACCCTTAAACCAAAACCCAATAGCCGTAGGGGCTAATATATTAAGAAAGCATAATATCTGGAAAATTTGACTCTTGTTCCGGAAAAATTAGGATCTGGATCGAGATCCAGGCAGATTTCTAGTCCGTACGGTATTTTGTTCGGACGGTGTTTCGCCCCCCCCTACCCCTGTTAAATATTAAAAAAAAAATTTTTTTTTACAGAGATTTAATGGCCACAGCCATTCAACAACAATTTCTTCAACTACCGACGAACATCCAAATGGATCAGATTCTACTCCTATAGAAAAAGTAGCAAAAGTTTCAACGTCAAAGACGCCAAAAAATGTGAACAAGAAGGGTCTTTTGGAAGTTAAGAATCAGTCAAAGAAGACCGCAAAATTGGGCCAAGCCAATAAGAATGAAGAAAAACCTTTAAAAATTAAACAAATCAAAATTCAACCAAAAAAGAAGAAAGTTAAAGAGCCAACACCTCCTTCAGTAAAATTAACGTTTGTTTCTTTAATTTCTTGGGGTAAAGGTTGGTACTTTGGTCCCTAGAAAAATTAGAGAGCCTAGATCTGGTGGATCCAGGCTTTGATTCTTCGTTGATTTTATGGCCTTGATTTTTCTGTTTGGTCCTCAACCAAAATCAAAAATCAAGGTTTTTTTAGATGTCCATTCTCTAGAAATTTGGCACTTTGGAGGGCCATAACCTGGCCAGATCAAAAAAGGGCAAAAACTGTTCAAATTCCTTGCTAGAAAAGGCACATTCTCTATCGAATGAGCCCGGTCTCGACCGTTTTTAAGGCGGACACCTCGTAACCTTTCCTTTGTGAGGATTAAGTGTCCTTTTGATTTTTTGAGGGTAAAGATAGCCAGTAGGTAGCTGGCTATCTTTAGCCTTGCTTTTTCGTTGATTTTCGGTGCTGCTGAAGAGACTTTTCATATTAGTCCTAAAATTACAATTTTGGTCCGAATTAGACTGGTCGAATTCGGGTCCTGGATTCTCAAATTTAGTTAAGGACAAGTTAAGGTCTATCTTTACCCTTTTTATGAGTTTTTAAATATTTTCCCGAATTTTCAGTGCCAACAAACCATTAATTCAACAACGTGTAATCGCTCTTAATACTTCTGGTTCAAGAATAACTCCAGTCTCTTCAAGTTCTTCCTCTGGCTCAAAATCAAACAAATCACTTAAACCTAGCTTGATTAAACTTAAAGAACAGAGACGTGAAAAGTTTGCTTCAATTATGGAAGTGCATGAAGATTGGGAAGTATTCAAGGATGCCAAGGTCTTTTTATATAATACAAGTCACTATAAGTTACACTCCGAAATGGAGTAAATATTCGCTTTTTATCTGGTTGGCCATTGGGGTAGGAGTAGGGTGCGGCACGATTCGTAATTCTGTACGGAATTTTAAGGGGTTGGGTGACAAACGGATTACGGGATTAATCCCGCGGGATCATTCCCGTTCGATTTTTTAAACTCAATCCTTTACGTGATCTCGGGACAGCTATTTTGTCGCGTCCTCTCCTGGGAGCTGAATAAGTACATCTTCTATTTGAGTAGACCCCTCGGTATAGGATACATACTGAAGTCTCATACTCCTAAGGATATCTAAAAGTGCGGTCCGGCTCAACTTTTTTTAAATTCGAGACATTTTACCTCGTTTTTTAAGCCTCATTGTCTCGCATCGGCAGCTTCTCATCTTGGCAATCAACAATCTTATCCAAATTTGTGGAAGCCAGTACATCATGAAAGTTATAGAGCAATGCAACATTAAAAAGGATTAAATAAAGTATATTTTATTATTGTATAAATAAAAATATTTTGTTGTGATTTTTCACAATTTAATTGGTTTTTTAATTTAATAAAGAGCTTAAAGGATGATTTTTTATTTTTTTATCAATGTTGATTTTTTCATTTGAAATATTTTTTTAAATTAATTTTGTAGGGAATTGAGAAGGTTTTTTGACCGTGTAATACCAAAAGCCTTTAAAATACCAAAGGCCTCCAAAAATCTTTGAATTTTATTGTTAATTTTTAAATATTTTTGGGGGCACGCGAACATATCCGGACGGACTTATCGAGATATTTCAATGTACGAACAGTTACCCTACTGATTTTGGAACCTACGGCCACTGGGTCTTTGATAGTATATTGTCCTAGAATAAAGTTTTTATATTTTAGAACAAACATGCAAGAAATTATTTTTGTTATTCCAATCCCGATATGTCCCCATACCTTTTTGGGCACATTAACTAATTTAATTTCTTTTAGCATTTTTTTTTCAGTTAATTTTTTTGTGCTACAATTATTATTAAATTTTCAAAAAATGCTTTTTTCTCTACCAACAGAGGTTCAACTTGATATTTTTAAATTATTCAATTATGAAGAATTATGCTCAATCAGACAAACAAATTTATATTTTCGAGACTTTATTAATAAATTTGAAGGAGAACTTGCTCGAGAAAAACTGCATAGCGTTTCAATTGTAAAGATTTAATTTTAATTTAATTTTTAAGAATTTATTTTAGGACCATTTCAGTAATACGTTAAGCAAACAAATTGATTATAAATTAATTAAATCTAAAAATTTTGACTTTGCCTTTTTTGCTGAGCGACATAAAGAAGTAAATGAACAAATTGAACAAAAGGTTTCTTTTATTTTTTATTATTACCCGAATCTTTTTTTATTTTTTAGTGGAGCGATGGACTACAAAATCCGATTCCCTTATATTTGTCTGCTGAAGGATTAAAAAGTTTCAATGTTTTTATTTTCATAGATGAAGGTAATCTATTTTTTCGATAAGAAATTCGGATGGCGTTCAAAGCTAACATAAGTGATACTTTTCCCTTTATTGCACCGGACAGACCCCCTTTTTTCCTCTCTTCCATTCAAAAATTAGGGAGGAAAAATGGGAAATAAATATCAAAAATAATCCGTTTTTTTGATTGTACTCAAAATTTAGAAAGGCAATTTGGATGGAAAAAAGGAAAAAGTCTGACCATTTTGCAAAAATATAGGGGAAAATTGGGTAGGAAAAAAAGAGGTCTGCTCGGTTCAATATTACCCCCTATTCTTCTTCTTGTACGGCTCCCAATTTGCCTTGGGTTTGGAACTGAATAAAAATAATTTAAAAATAATTAAAGATAAAGAGATAACAATGGTAATACCAAGGCTGGTCCCCCTTTTTTCTGTTCCCCTGACCATTTTGAGCTTTTTTGCTTGACATATAATTTACAATTTATCATTCGAAAGAGCTGTTCGAGTTGAGTAGAATGCTCATAACTATGTTTATTTAAGTCAGATTTTGATGACTCAGCTTATAATTTGCCATAAAAAGCTTAAAAAATCAAAAAATAGAAAGTGAAGAAAGGTGGGACCAGCCATGGTATTACCATAACATTTTTAGATTACGACAATGAAACATGTAAAATTATACTTGAATTGCCAACAATTATTAAATCCAAAGAAGATATCAAAATTGTCTATTATTATTTAAATAAATTATTTAATTGTTCTTTCGACGCTGGATATTTTGATGAATTTATATTTAATTCAGAATTGATTGAACTATTATTTGGAAAAACCCCTAAATTATTTTTTATTGAATCGATTTTTAAGGCTTACAACACTGAAAATTTAATTAAATTTGTTTCAAATTATTTAATCAGCAATTGAGTTGACATTAAATTTCCACAAATAAACAACACTGAGGAATACAAAAATGTTTTATCTAAAATTTTAATGACTGGAGAAAAGTTTGAAGTAATCAGTTTAACGTTCCATAAATTATTATCGTCAGAACTTTTCGATTTTATTATAAATGTAAGTGTTTTTTTGTGTGTCTACCAAAGTGAAACCGATTAAACAAATAATTATTGAGGATATAGTAGATTCAGTTCTACTTAACTTTGAGTCCAATCAAAAAATAATTGGATTTTCTTGGTGTTGCAAAGTAGAAGTATTGTTCTAAAACATTTTTTATGTTTGAGACCTACCCCACAGGATTTGGGGGGGGGGGTGTAGGGACCTATCCCACAGGGTCTTCTGTCTGTGGGTCTACTGTCGCTACGCCGGCTGGTAACTTCAATTTTTTTAATTATAAGAAAAATTTTTACTTCCAATTTTAGCTTATTAAAACATCAGATTGTTCAAAAATTGTGGCTATTATTAGAATGAATAGTCTGCGTATTAATTTTACTAGTTTAAATGAAAAAGCTGAAAAAATTAAAGAAATACGTCCTGGATATACTATTTTATATACAAAATACCAACTTTCCAACATTTTAAATCCAGAAATGAAGTTTTCAATTTGTATTGAAGGACCCGTTTATAGTCTGGGCTGTGAAATTAAAAGAATCGATTGACGAATTTTTATTTTAAAAGTACAAATAACGTGAAGGAGGTCTGACCATTATGTACATTTTAAAAAGGATGAATGTTGTGACTTATACTAGGTTTTTTGTTTTTGGACCGATTAGGTCAAGTGAGGTGTCATTCGAAAGAGCTTCGAAAACTGAATCGAACTAGGGGTGGGAGAAGTTGGTACGACAATCAGGGGCCGAGTTACAGACTCATGAAGTTTGAAAAAGAGAAGGGGGGAGTAAGCTCATTTTGTGGTGAAAAATTCGAAAATCCAAATAATAGCTCATTCGAAAGAGCTCCTCGAGCTGAGTCGAATGACACCAAAATCAGCTCGAGATCTTGATTCTGGGCCAAGATAAAGAGGTTCAAAATGGTCAACATAAACCTATGGGGCGTCGGTGAGGCGCTTGTGCAAAACTCCGCGCTTCGCGCGGAGTTTTGCGGCACGCGCCTCGCGGGGAGTCAACGGTCGCTGGGTCTGGGTCAGTAACATAAACCTATTCTTATCTCCCTTACTCTGGACGTACTTGGGGCCTCCGTAGCAGCAAAAACCTCAACAATGACGATAGGTAAGGAGCTAAAACAAACGATCATAACTTTGTCCAATCAAGTCGGATTTCGATGATTTTGGTGTCATTCGACTCAGCTCGAGGAGCTCTTTCGAATGAGCTATTATTTGGATTTTCGAATTTTTCACCACAAAATGAGCTTACTCCCCCCTTCTCTTTTTCAAACTTCATGAGTCTGTAACTCGGCCCCTGATTGTCGTACCAACTTCTCCCACCCCTAGTTCGATTCAGTTTTCGAAGCTCTTTCGAATGACACCTCACTTGACCTAATCGGGCCAAAAACAAAAAACCTAGTATAAGTCACAATACCCAAAAAGGATTAATTTAAATTAATTTAATTTTTCTGCATTAATTTTTGATAAAAAAATTATTTTTTTATTATTTTCATAAATCTGATGAAAGTTTAAAAAACTAATATTTTTTTAAATTAATACCGACGCGTTAAAATCTTGATAAGGCGTCGGGGGAGTGAACATCATACCCGCTTTTTTTGAATTTTTTTTGCTAGAAAATGAATTCTTCCAAAATTTTAAATTTAAAAAATGAAATTGAAGACGAAGAAGAAAATGATCTAGAAGAGGATGAAGATGTTGAGGAGGAAGAATGGTCATTAAATGATGAAAAAGATTTTTTGAGAACTTTGGGTGCATTAAAATCTCGTGATCCTGAAATTTATCAAACTGAAGTTAAATTTTTTAAAGAGAAGGAAAAAGATGAACAGGAGAAGATAAAGAGGTTTTTTAATATTTAAAGAATTATTTTTAGGGGTCGAACCCTAGATTTAAAAAAAAACCTTTGGGAAAAAATTTTTAGGTGGGTGTATATTCCTAGGAAAAAAGCCAAGAATTTTCTAGAGTAAATCGACGATGTTCTATCGAGTGGTACCAAAAAAAGTCCAAAATTCTCTTACAGTTAGTGAAGTTTCCTTGTCAGTCCCAAATAATTTGACTTTTTACTAGAGATCGGAACGGGTCCGTGACCCGGGAACGGGAATTCCTTGTCCGAGTCCCTCCCGGTCAACTTTCAGAACCCGTTTCCCGGACCCGGTTTTTTCAAAATCCCGATCTCGACTTTTTACCATTTTATTTTTTAAATCAAATTACTAAAAATCTAAATTTTTTTGGACTTTAGTGGCATAATTTAGGGGGTGTCAGGTTCGAACCCGCTCAGGGCCCAGGTAATTTTTTTTGTCTTGCATATTTTATTTTTTAATTTTCCAGTAATGAATCATCCAAAAATAATTCATCAAAAAATTTACAACAATCAAAAATGACTTTAAAAGAATATGAACAAAAATTAATAATTGAAAGAGGAGGTAAATTAAGTGAAGATGAGGAGGAGGAGGAAGAAGAAAATGGAGAAATTTATAAGGAGGAATTAACTAATGGACTGAATAAAAATGATTGGGAATTGAAAAATGAGTATGATTTTTAATTTTTTTTGATTAAAAATATTTTTTTCTGTTAGATTTAAGAAGGCTTTAATTTCTGATGATGAAAGTGACGATGATGGCGATTTGTTAAAAAAGAGAATAAAAACTGAGGAAGAAAAGGTTTTATTTTTATTAAATTTTGTTTTTGTATTTTTGGCCTTCTCTTTAAAAATTAAAATATCAATCCGTTCGATTTTTTAAATAAAAAAAATAGTTGAGGTCAACCTAGATAGACTTTAGCTGCTTTTCTTTGTATAAAGTGTAAGAATTTAAATCGAAGATACTGCTCGTCTTTGGTACTCTTCCGACCTTTTGAAAGGTCAACCTTTTTTCAGAGTATAACACGAAACGGGATACCGTCCCGGAGTTTTTGGTTTTAAGAAACACGAGATTTCCTAGATTTACGGAATTAACCCCGTTGTAGCTCGTCCCGTTCGAGTTTTTGAGAAAAATTTTTTTTCGAGTTTGCCTTACCCTTTTTAAGTATTCAAAAGACTCATGAATAAATTTTTTTTCAAGGCAAAAGAAGATGAAGATTTTTATGAATGGATTAAAGGGTCAAATCAAATGGAAGTTGAAGATAAACATTTGGTATAATTTTAATTTTTTTAAAAGATTTTTATTTTTTAGAAAAAATTAAAAGAAAGATGGACAAAAAATGACCAAGAATTGGGTGAAGATGAACGTTTTTTGAGAGATTTTTTATTAAATAAAAAATATTTGGGAGACTCGAAGGAAGAGGAAAAAGGGAAAGAAGAAAGGTTTTTTTGAAAATATTTTTTGAATTAAAAAATTTTCTTTTTGAAGAATTCCAACATATGAAGAAATTATTAAAGATGAACAAGAAGAAGATCTTGCTGACCAATTTGAACAAAAATATAATTTTAGATTTGAGGAACCTGATCAGGAATTTGTAAGAAAATTTTTTTTTAATTTGATACTTGAAGGGTTTTTTATAATTTTTTGGAAATTTTTTTATTTAAATTTGGCAAAATATGGGGTGTCAGGTTCGAACCCGTTCGAGTCCCAAATATTTAATTTTTACTTGGTCACTGTTTTATTTTTTATAGAAAACGGGGAAATGATCAAATATTAAAAATAATATTTTTATCCAACGTTTTTGTTTTTATTTAAAAAATTTTTTCTGAGCAACTTAGGGGGTGTCAGGTTCGACCCCGCTCGAGTCCGGATAATTTTCAGGACTATTTTACAAATATTTTTATTAATTTAATTAATAGTTAAAACAATATCCACGTACAATAAATGAAGCATTAAGAAAAAAGGAATCAAAAAGACATAAAAAATTGGAAGAAGAAAAAGAAGCTAAAAAACGTAAAAGAACGCATATTGAAATGGTTGAAGTTCCTTTTCGTTATAGACAAGTTGCTCCAAATTCTTTTGGATTGAGTACTGATGAGGTTTTTTTAAATTACTTTTTTTTTAAATGTTTTCTAAGAATTAAAAAATTTCCTTTGATGGGTATCGAACCTTTATCTATTTGGCGTTGGAGGACTAGTCGTAACCCACTACACCACACGAACTAGGGAAGGGTTTTCTTCAGATTTTTTCAAGAAAATTTCTTCATAATTTTCTTCAAAAAAATTTTCTTTGTTGTTTTGAATGTTTTTTAATACTGAATTAAAATTATTCTCCCCTGTTGGGTATCGAACTTCTGCCTATTTGAGGTATTGTAGCCTAAACGTAACCCACTACACCACACTTACTAGGTGAAGGAAAAATTTTCATAAAGAATTTTCCTAGCCTTTCTAATGACTAAAAAATTTTTTAAATTTTTTTCAAAGATTTTAAATTCTGATGATCGTTGTTTAAATGCATGGGCACCTCTCTCAAAAATTTGTCAATATCGTGATGATACTGAAGAACAAAGACAAATTTTATATTTTGAAAGGAAAGCTAAAAATATTGAAAAGAAGAGAAAAATTTTGGAAAAGAAATTGAAGAGGTTTTTGTTTTAATTTAAAGAAATTATATTTAAAAAATTAAATTTAGTGAAGAAAAATCTGAGGAAAAACAAAAAGAGAAGGAAGAGGAGAAGATGGAAGAGAATGATTTTAGGGAGGATGAAGAAGAGGAGGAGTATCAACAAAATGGGGAGGATGAATGGGAGGAGTATCAGCAAGATGAAGAAGAGGAGTATCAACAAAATGATGTTGAGGATCATTTTCTTGATGCTGAGGAAGATGAAGAATCTTTTTCAAATATTCCGAGTACTTCAAATAATAATGTTGGAATTAAATCGAAAACAACACTTAAAGGACAGTCTATTGAACAAGGAGGAGTAAAACAAGGTTTTTTAATTTAAAAATTTTTAAATAAAATCGATGAGTGTGAGATAGAGTGTGTGGGTTTAGGTAGGGTTTTTATTAAGTAATGGATTTTTTGAGTTAAGTTTAGTTTAGACTAGCCTCCGGTTGGATATGTACCCTGTTATTTATTGCTAAATGCCTGTCTCCGTCTACTTAGGCGCTTCACTTTCAGGTGTCTTATCAATTGAGCTACCCATGGTATGCCTCTGCTTCTTATAGATCTTAAATCCCCGTAAAATTGTTCTTTAAGCTGGATTAGATGAGAAGGAAAAATTTTGGGAAAATTTTTAACAAGTAAAATTTAACTTTTTTAGAACCTATGGAATTAAATCAAGAAAAAATTGTTGAGAAATTAAATGAAGAACAACGAAAAAGCAAGAAAAGAAAATTCATGATAAACAAAAATTTAAATAAAAAGAAGAATAAAAAACAATTTAATGTAACAGAATTAAATAAAGAAAGACTTAAAGCTTATGGAGTTGGAACTATAAAAAAATTAAAAAGTATTCAATTTTGTAAAAAGATGGACGAGAAAGAGATGAGGAAGAAGGGGAAAATTGAAGAAATGAAAGTGGTAGGGGAAGAAAATGGAGAGGGAAGAAAAAAGAAGAAGAGGAAGAATAGAAAGAAGAAGAAGAAAATGGAAGAGAAAAATGATGAAAGGAAGGAAGAAGAAAATTGAGGAGAAAACTAGAAGAAGAAACTTGGAAGGATTTTTTAACAATGCAGGTTTGTTTTGTTTTTGGCTTTTCACTGGTGCTAGAGAAGAGGAAAAAAAGGTCAGTTTAATTTTTAAATATCTTAAAAAAATTTTGGGGATAAAATTTAAAAACTAATTTTCCATTTAAATCAGACCTGGTCACGGATATTGATTTTGGTATCCGGATATTTACAGCGGATACAGGCGGATATCCGCAGGCATTTTGGTATTATCTGTATCCGTATCCATGACCAGGTCTGATTTAAATATATTTCAAAATCTCTCAATATTATATTTTAATTGTTGTTCTTTTCTGACTTGTTATAATTTTTATAAAAAGATTTCTAAAAACAAAATTCTCTAATGGGGAAATTTTTGAAATTGGTTGCCTAACCTATCAGATTTTTTAAGAGAAAAAAAACTCGTTAGCAATTCCTTTTTATTTTTTAAAATGAGTTAATTTTTGTCAAAAAAATAAATTAAAGCAAAACTTAATAAAAAATACGTAGAGTATCAATCAATTTTTTCGCGATTTTTTTGGTTTTGGATTTCCACCATATTTTTGTTCAAGATGAGCAAGAAAATCGTCCTTAAGAAAAAAATTTTTTCAGACTTAAAAAATTTTCTTTGTTTTAAAAAAAACCTGTTGTTTCTCTCTTTTCTTTTGATTAGCCAAAATTAAAGATCCCAAATCTCCTTTGCCTCCTTTAGCTCCTCCATTTTCTTCTTCACCATCCTTACTTCCCCCAGCACTTCCCAAAGCACGCATTTCTTCAACAACTTTTTCTGCTCGTTTAGCTTCATATGCAGCTCTTTTCATTCGTCTAACACGTGAAATTGGCTTTTCATTTTTGTATTTTGGAAGTGAAGGTAATTCTCCAAGTTCAATAAAATGGCGAATAATTTCGCGGATTCCTTTAAAAGAGGGAAATTTTAGGGGGGAATTTTAAAAAATTAAATTTTAGTTCAGTTGAAATCTTGTTTTAAGATACCCCTAAAAATTGGGTATACTCAAAGGTACGGGGTTTTTTTTAAATACGGTTAGATGTTGGATGGTGGGATATCTGCCAGATCGATACCTCCCCTCCGCCACTTACTTTAAAGTACCCGCATACGCTTTTTCAGTCCAAATAGGGATGCCAAGGGTTGAGAAAAAGATCGCGTCTGGTTTCGGTTGGGTCTTCAGAATTTTCTTCGAGTCGGGCTCAGATCTAAAAGAGACCGGGTTTCGGATTTCGAATAATTCGTGGCATCCCCGGTCCCAAAGGTCTAAAATGAGGTCTTTGACGACTGTATTTAAAAAAATTAACTTTAAAAAATACTAAACTGTCTTCATTCTGAACATCAGCTCCAATAACCGTTTCCAATATTTTGTCCATATCTCCTTTATATTTAACATAAGCATTTTTAACATCATTCATTTCTTGTTGAGATCCTCTAAATTTTTTTAAATATTCTTCTATATCTTCTTTTGTAACTTTTTTAAACATTCCACGCCAAACAGAAAACCAATCTTTGGAATTTTCTTCGTCATCGTCATCAAAGTCAAATTTTCCTGTAAATTTTTTTTTAAATTTTTAAATGGTCGGACTTCACTATAAGATACCCCCAAGGAACAGAACTAGAATTCCTCAATTCAAGAAACCTTTTTTAATTTGGTTGGACAGTAGGCGTAGAGAAGCTAGATAAGTGATACTTCCCCCCACGCACATCAAGGGACCTCTCATTATAAGGCACAATTTTAAGGGTACTACTCAAGCCAATGAAGGGGGGTATGAGGTCCAACGATTTTTTATCCCACGGTTATGAGGTCCGGCGATTTTTATTGTCCCACGGATGAGAAGAAGGGTTGAAGTCCAACTATTATTTTTTGAAAAAACCTGTTTCCATATAAACCGAACGCTTCTCAGAGTCGCTCAAAATATTATACGCCTTGCTAAGTATTTGAAATTTTTTTGTAGCCACTTCTCTTTCCTCATCACTATAAATATCTGAAGCAGCAAAACGATCAGGATGCCAAAGAATTGATTGTTGATAATAAGCTTTCTTGACTAAAAAGAAAAAAATTTTTTACAAGAGAGAAGGTTCGGTTTGAAGCTTACTTTTGGCTGAAGTTAAATTTGTAGTAGTTCTTTCCAAATTTAAAATAATGAAGAGATCCTTGGTACCAAATATACGTAGACAATCGTTAGAAAAAGTCATTTTTCTTTTAAAAAAATATAATGAAGATAATATGCTCTAAAAAGGTTATCTTAAAAACAAAAAATAAAAAAAAGAGGATTTGTAAGATAAAATTCAAAGCCAAGCGAGCTTGGAAAAATCCCCATTCAAATAATTTTTTAAAATAAATTTATTTTAAAATATTTGGCATTATGTATTTTTAATATTGGTTAGAGTGAAAAATTAGGGAAATAGTATAGAAGTGAGAGAAAAAATATGTGCGAGAAAATTTATTTGTATTTTTCATATTCTGCCAAAACACATTTTGCCAATAAGGGCAAAACTTGTCTTTTGGTCATAATTTTTTGGCAAAACGTCGATTTTTTGGCCTTATTGGCGAAATGTGGAATTGGCAAAATGTCGCACTTGGAAATTTTTTAAGGATTTCTTAATTCTTCGAGATTTTTTTTATTTTTCTTTCGAATTTTTAAATTTTTTTTTTTCAATTTACAGAAAATTTTATCAATCTATTCTGACTTAATTCTTATTGCTACAATGTATACACCAAGATTTCCCAAATCTGTCAAAGAAAATATTAAACCGCGTGGAGTTTTGGGTATTTTTTTGTTAATTTTTCAAAGAAATTTTTAAAATTTTTCAAGTTCGTGAAATTAATTCTTTAAATAATGATTGGAGAGAAGCATCTTCTTCTAATGAAAGTCAAATTACTTCAATTTTAAAATTTCGTGACCAAGTGAAGCAAATTTCTAAAGAAGAATTGAAGAAACAACTTGATGATCGTTTTTATCGTTTGGTTAGTTTTGAACAAGTTTTCTGTTTTTATGTCGTTGGGCAATTTGTTTTTTTAATTTGAATTAATTGTATTTGGGCTAAGGCTTGCATTTTTGTTTCAAGGTTTTGGTTTCAGTTTCCAGAGTCCATTTTTTCTTCCGAGCCTGTTTATTTTTTACGTGCCATGGATTTAGCCCTTATCTATAAATTAAAATACAATCCAATTGGGTTCTACGTCCAATTTTTTGAGAAACTCGATTCCTAATTGTTATAGGATAGAAAATTCTTCTTCACTAATTATATATTAATTTCATCAATAAATTTTTAGACCAAAGCCGATATCGTATTTGAAGATGACAAAATGGAGATGTGAAAGAATGGAAATGTAATTTTTAAAATCTCAAGGAACTTGATGTCACTGGTTTCCTGTTTTGAATCGACAACCCTTACTCTATATATAATTTATTTTTTGCCTATATAAAATGTTTGAATAATCTTTTTTATTTTTTTAAACTATTTTTTCGCACAGTTTTTATTAAAACTTTTGATATTTTGTCTAATTTTTATTTGATTTTTAGTTGAAATTAAAATTTTTCTTTTAAAAAAATGGATAATTTGCTTTCAAATCCTTCAACAATTATTGATGCAACAAATTCAATTAATGGACATGAAGGGAAGACATTTTCTGAATTGATTGGTTCAAATCCTTTATTTACTGGAGGTGCTGGATTAGTTGGTGTTGGTATAATTCTTTCATATTTTCGAAGATTATCTCTAATTGGAAAAGAATTGTTGAAAAGAAAATTTATTTCAAGATTGGAATTGGATAATACTGACATGTTTGTTTTTTTAATTTTTTTTTTAAATTTTTGATGACGTTTCGAATAGGCTTATTAGAGTTTTAGGGGTAGTCTTCGAAGACTAGAGGGCTTTTAATAAGGTAAAATCTATTTTGGAATCAGACAGAGTTTATGGTTTTTTAGAGAAAGAATCTAAATAAATTTATGTTGTTTATTCGGTTGGTTGCCTGGCCACATAGTTTGGCTTTAGAATTAGGATCTGAACCAGACCTGGTCACGAATACTGATTTTGGTATTAGGATATTTAAGGCGGATACAGGCGGATATCCGCGGGCGTCTTGATATTATCTGTATGACCTGGAATGGAAGGGAGAGTACATGAATTGTACGAGATATCTCGAAAAATCTCGATTCTCGGCAACCGACCGAAATTTTTGTTTCATATCTCAGGGTCTCTATGTTAGAATATTTATTTTTCATGCCATGTGTTCCTTTTAAATACTTTTTTTCTATTTTTAAAGAGCCTTTCAATGGGTTTTGGATTATATAAACAAAAATAGTAAAAGACGTACAAGTATTTTGTCAGTCAATACTTCGCAATTATCTGATGATTCTGGACGTTTAAAAACAAGTTTTATGTTTACACCTGGAAGAGGGACACATTATTTATTTTTTAAAAATCGTTGGGTACAAGTTAATAGAGAAAGACAAAACCAAACGATAAAAAAAGATGGAATGACTCGAACGGCATTAGAAGTTGTTTCTTTAACTACTTTTGGTAATTTTTTTTAAAAATTTTTCTCCTATTTGTGGGAGTCGTTCTGGGACCTTCGATTATTTCTAATAGGCGTGCCTCACTCAGTATTATAGACACAAGACTGGATAACATATGGGTGTTAGTAAATTATTTAAACGTTACCTACGCATATCAAGGGTTTGGGGAAGCTCCCCCCTCGAAATGGGGCAAAGGGAAGAGGTGAAGGATGATCGAAAAAGTGTAAGTTTTTTCGTCTATGACCGTTCAAGTCCAAAAAATTGTCGGCTGCGGCACTGAATACAATTTCTCACACCCTAGTGGCCTTTTCGATAGCCTCTTGGATTTTTTTAAGTATTTTATTTAAGGTGGAAATCCAACATTTTGGAAAAGTTTTCTCGAAAATGCTGCTAAAGATGCCCTTTCTCAAGTATTTTTTTAGCTATAATTTTTTTTATTCACTCAAATTTTTTTCAAGTTAGAAACAGGGCTTTGTGTTTATATTCCTCATGGAAATTCATGGCAACGTTTGGGTGCTCCAAGAAATAAAAGGCCAATAGATTCGGTTATTTTGGATATTGGAGTGAAAGAAAGACTGCTTGATGATATTTCTAATTTTTTTACTTCACAGCAATGGTAATTTAAATTTTTTTAAATCTAATTTTTAATCAAATAAAAATAAATATCCCCGGACGGGTTCGTACCTTGGACCCCTTTATTTTCCTATTTACTTGAGCATTTTTCTTCTTGGGTTGATATTTTTCTCAATTTTAATGTTTTCTGAGTTCTATGTTTAATAATTTAACAAATAAAAATAAATTCCACCAAGTGGACTCGAACCCGTACCTCCTTTTCTTGGTGCTATACCACTTAACCAAAATGCCTAAATTTTTTATTTTTTTAATAAGCCAACATTTTTCAATATTTCCAGGTATATTGATCGAGGAATTCCTTATCGTCGGTATTTTTTAAAATTTTTTTTCTTTTAATTGAATTTATTTTTTAAGGGGTTATCTTTTACATGGCCCACCAGGAACAGGCAAAAGTAGTTTTATTTCAGCCTTAGCAGCTCTATATGGACACAATATTTGTATGTTGAGTTTAAGTGATAGATTAATTGATGATGCAATGCTTAATCATTTAATGCATAATGCACCTTTAAATGTTAGTAAAATAACAGGTTTTTCTTTTGAATTTTTTTTCGCCAGCTTTTAGTGTTCATTTACTTAAATCCTTTCGAATGGATTTTATAATCGAATTTGTTAAGGAAAACATACTTGGATAGAAAATAGTATCTATTATGTTTATTTAGTATGCCGGTTATTAAGTGATACCCAGCTTTTTCGATTATTGCCTGTTTTCATCCTTTAATTCTTCGGTTATGTCATGGGTTTTGGAGTTTATTTTAATTGAACTAAAGTCGGTTTTTTGTTCGGATCTGTTAGGTGGGTTCCCCTAAAGAAAAATAGGTGTAAAATTGTCTTTGGATAACGGAGATATATATTGATTAATAAAATTGACTCATATTTTTATAGAGTTTTCTAGTCATTGAAGATGTTGACAGCGCATTTGGAGGACGTCATGATGGTGTAATTCAACATAATCCTGTTTATGATGGTCTTAGTCGTGTTACAATGTCTGGATTGTTAAATGCAGTGGATGGGGTTTTTTGAAAATTTTTTTGAATATTTTTAAAATTTCTGTTTGAAGGTAGCTAGTGCAGAAGGCGGCAGAGTCCTTTTTATGACTACAAATCACGTGGAAAGGTTAGATGCTGCATTAATTAGACCTGGACGTGTAGATGTTTCACAACATTTTGGAAATTGTACTCCTATTATGTTTGAACAGGTTATTTATTTTTTTTTAAATTTCGGGTGGAACGAATTTTATTTTGGTGACGAAGGTGAGGCTTGTCTAAAAATTTTTGAGAGGAAGGATCTAACGGGTATCGAGTTGGGTTGGTACAAGGGGATTTGGTGGATTAAGAGTGGCATGAAGGGGGGGGGGGGTCGTTTTGATGGGGAGAGGGGGGGGGTAACATTGGTGTGCGCCAAAATTTTGGCGTTCCTGATCCAAATTTTTTGAACCTATATTTATAATTGTTTCAGCGCCACAGGCGGAAATTTTTTGACGCCCTTGGTGCCAACAGGATTTTTCTTTCTTTTGTTTCGGGTAACCCGTGATTCTGAAGCCATTAGCTCGCTGTATGTAGCCTTGGAGAGTTTATCGTTAAACTGGCTAGAAATATTTTTACATCTTGGAAATTAAAAAAAAATTTTTTTTAAAGATGTTTAAACGTTTCTTTGAAAATGTGCCAGATGTTCTTTGCTCAAAATTTCGGGATAAAATGCTTTCTATCGGGATTGAATGTTCACCAGCTACAATACAAGGACATTTACTTAATTTTAAAAAACAACCTGAATTGGCAATTGAAAATGTTGAGAAATTGAAAAGTTAGAATTTTTGGAAAAATTTGTTGAATTTTTTATAATTTATTGGTTAGGCTTTTTTTGTTTTTTTTTAGATTTTTATTTTTTTTTCCTAGGCAATTTACAAACATTTTTTTTAATAATTTTTTAATTTTAATTTAAAAAAAATTTCTATTTTTGAATAGATACTTTTAACTTTTAAAAATATGCATAACAGGGGATGACACGGGTTATCCGATACCTGAAACCCGGACTTTTTAACCCGACCCCTGATCCTAAGAAAATTTTAAAAACACCATTCGAACCTTGGCTCGACTTTTTTTCTCAACCGGTGACATCCCTATATGCATGGATAATTTTATTTTTCTTTTAATCATCATAGTTTTATTATTAAAATGACAAGTATAGTTCAATCAGCGCAACCTTTATCTGAAGTAAAAAAACTTAAAACATTCGATTTGGCAACAAATTTGGAAACTTCTATAATTGTTGGCAGTCAAAATACCAAAACTGATGATGAAGTTTACGATACTGCTTATCTTACAGAAAATGATGGTTTAATTGCTGTTGGTTCTAATACGGAAAATTTGTTAATATTAAATGTGAAGAATGGGAAGAGGAATTATGCAAAAGGTTTTTAAATTTTTGTTTGGAAATTTAATTTTTTGGGAAAACGGGACCTCTAGTTTCACAGTTCAAACTAGGATAGCGCCTTCGGGGGGAGGGGTATTGGGTTTAGCGTGGTAGAGCTTTTGGGTAGGGGCTTTTTGGCTAAAAATTTGTCTGGGGATGGGGTGCTACCCTTGTTTAAATGATACATGAAGCGCAGATTTGGCTCGAAACCCAATCGAGAAATCTTTTTCCCTCTCCAATTTTTTCTTTTCCTTCTCAATTCCCCTTTATTTTGCCAACAGTTTCTCAAAAAGGATTAATTTTTATTGTTTTGGGAGGAAGGGAGGAAATCTTGTACATTTATAAGGTGAAACCTAGGGAGAAAGGGAGCCCGTAAACGGTAAATTTACAAATTTTTTAATTAAAGGTCATTCACAAAGCATTTTATGTGTCGATTCCCCAATTTGGAGCAATTCTTTATTAGCCTCTGGTTCGAAGGATAATTCAATTATTATTTGGAATATTCAAAATGCTGAAAAAGAAGATTTAATGGAAGTGGATGACGAAGAAAATGGGGAGGAGGATGAAGAGAATGGTAAAAATAATATTTTGGTTAAACAAATGGCTATAGCTTCTGGACATACACATTCAGTTTCAAGGTTGTTATTTTGTTAACATGTTTGAGAATAGGGTTGTCAGTTTGTAACTGAACCGAAGGGCTGGGGATTTTTCTATTCGGTTTGGGATATCCGGGGATTTTCGGAAACGGCAAGCCTATTATAGAAAATAAACGGTCGGATAACGTTAGAAAATTGTGTAATCTTTACTGAATCAAAAACTTATAATTGTTTAAATTATCCGGAAACCTATCTTGAATGCTTGGGGCTGATTTAGATGTACGTTAGGGTTGTTTCCTTTCTTAGAAGAAATACTCTTCCATGATTTTCTAAACATCCATGAACTTGTCCTTTCCAACAAATCAGTGAACTACCCTGCTTTAAGACCCTTTCTAATCTTTCAAAAAAATTTTTAGTATTTCATTTTCCCATTCAAACAAACCACCATTCCTTGTTAGTGTTTCTCATGATACTACACTAAAATTGTGGCCTCTTGTTGATTTAATGGTTAAACAAGAAAAATTGGAAGAAAATGAAGAAAATAAATTGTAAGATTTTTTAAGAAAATTTTTCTAAAAAATTTTTCAAAAAAAGACTTAAACTTTCTGCTTCAACAACAATTGTTGCCCACACAAAAGATATAAATAGTGTTGATGTTAGCCAAAATGATAAACTTTGTGTTACTGCTTCAATGGATAAAACAGCAAAATTGTGGCATATAAATCTTAAAACTATGGAATTGGCAAATGCTGGAATACTAAGTGGACATAAACGAGGAGTTTGGTGTGCAAGATTTTCAAAAAATTTACAGGTTTTTTTTTTATTTTTTTTATTTGTTTGTCTATAATTGGGAGAGTAGGTTAGATTTTTTGGTTTCTTGAATTCGGGCCTGGGTCGAGAAAAAATGTCGGATAGGGTTTCGAATCTGGTTTCGACTTTTGGTCGAATTTTCGACCTTTTTTCTGGTAGAAGAGGAAGCTATGAGGAAATTTATTGGAACCCGTGGGTGTAGGATTGGGTAGAGAGGGAGAGTTGGGGAAATTGAGAAGAAAATAATTTTGGAGTATTTTTTTTAATTTTTGAGGAGAGGAGGTAACATAGGTGTTTACACAAGGTTTGCAAGCAGTTAAGAAAAGTGGTGATGTGATGGAGGATCAATCCTCCAATGGAGTTGTTAGGATCGATCGATCTCCATCGATCCTCCAATCCAATGAAGTTATTGAGGAAGGAATTCGGAATATGTAGAAGGATTTAAGAGATTCTTTAATCTTTTTGGGGATAGGAGATAAACGTAGGAGACCTCTACTTCTTTTTTAAATTTTACTTGCTCTTTAGAGCTCCTAAACTTTATTTTATTTTTTTTCAAGTTAGTAGCAACATGTAGCGGTGATTGTACAATAAAAATATTTTCATTATTAGACAAAAGTTGTATTAAAACACTTGAAGGACATCAATTTGCTGTTTTGTCAATTCTTTTTATTGAAAATTCGTCAAAATTAATTTCTGTTGATGGAGGGGGAATTTTAAGATTATGGAATGTTAAAAAAGGAATTTGTGAATGTGTGGAAGAAGGACATAATGAAAAAATTTGGTCTTTGAGAGAATTACCTAGTGATATTAATTTGCACCAAAAAAGCGAGGTTTTTAATTTTTTTTAATTTTATAATCCTAGATTTGATTTAATTCGAAAATTAGGTCAAATAAAAAATATTTTCCCTGAGCGGGGTCGAACCCACGACCCCGCTTTTTTCAAGGACACTCCTTTTTTCACATGCTATTTTATTTTTAATAATTTTAAATTTAATATTGTAGTTTATTTTACAATTTTTGAATTGATGGTTACAAAAAATTCACAGATAAAATATATTTCCCCTGAGCGGGGTCGAACCCACGACCCCATTTTTTCCACGACTCGCCATTTTTCCAGTTGAAATTTCATTTTTAGAAATTTTAAATTTAATATTGTTCTATTTCACCATTTTTTGATCATTTGATTTTGAAAAATGATCAAATAAAAAATATTTTCCCCTGAGCGGGGTCGAACTCACGACCCCCCCCCCCCATTTAAAATTTTTTTTATTTTTTCTAGGACATTGAAGAAGAAACAGATGATTTAAATAAATTATCCGATTCCTATTGGATTACTGGTGCTGCCGATGGTTTGCTTACTATTTGGAGGGATAATACAAAAATCATGAAAGCTTTAACACAAAAAGAGGCAACTAAGAAAATTACTGATCAACAAACACTTTCCAATTTATTACAACAAAATCATCTTTTTGAAGCATTGCTTTATACGTTGGATTTGGATTTGCCTTTTCAGTTAGTTTTTCTAAAATCTCGGTAATTCTTCGGTTCGTAGCCCTCCCTTCTTTTTCTGACCATTTTGAGCTTTTCCCGTTTTTGTTTTTGACCATTATTAGAATTTTAAAAATTCAAAAAATATTTAATTTTCCTCTAATTTTTTCTCTGATTTTCTCTCCATATTTCAGATGTCTAAAAATTTTGCAACGACTATCGTCTGATATTGTAGCCACCTCGGATAATGATCAATTACAAAAATTAATTAATATAATTAAAAAATTGTCAAAAATTCAATTATCGACATTACTTGGATATTCAACACAATGGAATACAAATAGCAGAACATATTCTGTAATGATTTTTAAAATTAAAAAAAAAATTTTTTTTGAAATTTTTTTAAGGTTGCCCAGCTAGTCTTAAATTGTGTTTTGAGGGCTATACCCCCAGAAGAGTTGATGGAATTACCCAATATAGAAAATATTGTTCAACGTTTTTTGCCTTATTCATTAAGGTTTTTTCAATTTTATAATTATTTTTTTAAAAAATTTTCAGACACCAAGAACGAATAAAAAATTTTCGTAAAAGTGCTGCTCATATAGACTATATGTTTTCTTCTATGCGTTTAAATGAAATTTAAATTTTTTGATTAATGTTGTTTGGTGGTTAAGTGCATACGTGTTGGATTATTGGGATAATCATTTCTTGGAAGGTCTTGGGTTCGAATCCAGCTGGGTCCTGATAATTTTTAATTTGTTTTCTATGCACTTTTTATCTCAAAAATTGATTATATTTTATGTTGTTATTGTTAGATAAATTTTATTTTAATTTTTTAATTTTTTTTCAAAGCATTTATTTGCTATAATATTTATTTAATTTTAACCTTTAATTTAAAAATTTTCTTTTGAAAAATGGCTTCAATAAAGAATCAGAAAAATGTTCAAGATCAACCTGTTGATGAAGAAATGCCTCCTTTGGAAGATATTGATGATGATGAGTTGATTGAAGAGCCACAAATAAATGAGGAGGATGATGGCGATAATGATGGATTTATTTTGGCTAAAAAGGTTTTCTTTGAAATTTAAAAGAATTTTTTAAGAGAATTTTTTCCATTTTTAGACCAACAAGAAACGCAAACTTTTCAAACTTTCTACTGATGCCAACCAGCCTGATGCTAAAAAAGGAAAAGATAATGTTAACTGGGAGATGAGGAAAGTTTCAGTACCTCCACATCGTTATACTCCGTTAAAGAAGAATTGGTCAAAACTTGTTGCTCCGATTATTAATGAATTGAAAATGCAGATTCGGTTAGCTTATTTTTGTTTTTTTTATTTAATATCTCCAAAGGGAACCGTTGTTGTTTATTAAACAAGTTTTGGACTCCCTTGGGATCAATTTTGGTTGAAGAAGAGCGACTATTGGATGAAGGGAAAATATCTGGACAGTTTCGAATCCTCGACCCCATTCTTTCTCTTTTTACTGTCGAATTTCTCACATTTTACTATATATTGAGCTCTCTAAGATTCCTTAGTGACGGAAAAAATAAAATACCTAGGATGGATTAATCATTGACCCTATTCCCTCTACTTTCAAAAATTTAATCTATTAAACACAATTTTTTCAAGTTACAATCTACGAACTCGAAATGTGGAAATTCGATGTCCAAATGCTGATGGAAACAAGACGCATTTACAAAAAGCTGCTGATTTTGTACAAGCATTTTTGTTAGGATTTACTATTGAAGATGCTGTCGCTTTAATTCGTTTTGATCATATGTTTATGGAAAGCTTTGAAATTAATGACGGTTTACTTTTCTTTAAATTAAAAAATTTTTTTCCTCGAACGGGCTCGAACCCGCGACCCCTCTTCCCTAAACCACTTAACCAAAGTATTTAATTTTATAAACTTTCTTAAACCACTTAACCAAAACATCTAAATCTTTAAAAATTTATTTTTTAAAGTCAAAACCCTTCGTGGTGACCACCTCAGTCGAGCAATTGGCCGAATTGCTGGAAAGGATGGCCGTGTTAAGACGACAATTGAAAGTGTTACACAAACGAGAATTGTTTTGGCAGATGATAAAATTCATTTACTTGGAGCTTTTAATAATTTAAAAATTGCGAGACACACGATATGTTCTTTAATTATGGGTATATTTTTTTAATTTAATTAAATAAAAATAAATTTCTCCAAGCGGGTTCGAACCCGCGACCCCCCCCCCCCCCCCCACATTTTTCTGTTTTTATTTTTTCTGAATTTTTGACATTTTAAATATTTCTAAATTTATTTTTGGATCCATTTTGAGATTTTTAATGCTTAAAATTTAATTTTGGAAACAAATGAAAATAAATTTCACCAAACGGGTTCGAACCCACGACCCCTATTTTTCTCTTTTATTTTCTATCTTGCTGTCTGTTTACATTTTAAATATTTTTAAATTTATTTTTGATCTATTTTTGGAATTCTTAATTATTTAAATTTAATAATTTTCAAAATAAAAATTAAATTTCCTCGAACGGATTCGAACCCTACACCCCTCTCCCCTACTTTTTCTTAATTAAACCACTTAACCAAAATACATAATAATTATTTTTTCCTAATATTTAGGTACCCCAATAAACAAGATTCACGGAAATTTGAGAAGTTTGGCAAGTAGATTGGCAGAACAACTTTAAAAAATAAAAATTTTTTATGTTGACAAGGTGATTTGTTAAATAAAAATATTGTTGAATAAATAAAAAAAAAGGTTTAATTTAA